TGCTAACCCAGGGATGGTCGATCTCAACCAGGAGCCCTCGCTCTCCAGTGTATCGATCCTCCGCGGCCCGGGGGAGCTGGTGTTTCATGGAAGATACTTCTTAACATCCTCAGCAGAGCCCCGGCATGCCGGTCATTGCTGCCTAAGCTGACATGCCGACGTTGGCTGGTACCTGCCTATGGAAAACCCAGCTCAGAGAACAGCAAACGAATGGCAAGCTCAGGAGCTCCCACTCCATGTGCATGACCCGGATGATCGACAAGTATGAGATGCGCAGCCGGGCAATCATCCGACGCAATCCCAACCCATCCTGTCCCCAGCCTCGAATTGTTCCGCCGATCCGACCGATCAGTTTGCGACATGATGATGCGGCCCTGTCGATCATCAAATCTGGGGAGGGAATGCTGAAAGCCAGACGCAAAAGCTGTGCGATGCAACATGCCAGCCAAAATCCGATTGAACATGGTCAGTGCGTTTACAGTTGGCACAGCTGTCTACTGCGCACTTATCGTGAGTCACTGATATGGCGACATCGCTGCGGCTTCATCGCACACCGCAAAACGCCATCTTGTCGAGTTGGGCATTTAGGTGGCAACAGAGCGACTGACAGCAGCAGCACGCGATAAACCAGCAGCTTTCTGGAAATTGAAATCCGATTAAAACTGGGCCAGATCAGCCGTGGATCAACCATGGATGCTTGGGATCCACACGGATGAGCGACGCGCAAACCACCGCAAGGGATTCCAGCCCACCATTGCTGTTAGCGGTGCAAAATCTTATCGCTAGCGTCACTGTGTGGCCACGGCCCGGTTTATTAAACGGCCTGGGACTGGCTGGAGGCCGAGTTCACAACGATGGATGACGGCTCATTGCTGCCCATTATTTCAGCGCCTTATAAATCTCCAGAGCCAAAAAGCAAAAGAATCGCCCTGATACTCCGCTGGCCCGGTCCACTTTGCCTCAGCGGTGACGGAGACCTTATCCCGAAATCCCTTAAAAACAATCACCAGACCGCAGGCGGATCAGGACCCTGAAGTGCAGTAGTCCTTGTGCCGAATCGTTCTTTTCTTACCCCGGTGGTTGTGTCTTTACAGAGGATGCCGTCCGACCAGCCCTACCCGACCCGGGATGATGCCTCCCGATCCCCGAGTCCGAACAACGGCAAGAACAAGACCACTGTTGAAGTGACGCAGAACAGCCTGGACTCGGCTCCATTGTCTCGGCGATCCTCGCTCTCACTGACCGACCAGGCCAGCAGTAGTAAATTCGCCTCCACCCCCGCGACCGGAGCTCAAACCCCGGATCCTTTGTACGCCCACCTCGCCGGCCACGACGACACGCTCAAGAAATTCCCCCAGGTTATTGCACACGCGCGAGATGACAGTGAAGACGAATCTTATGAGTTGCCTGTGGCACGACACAGTCGCGGCGATGCAGATCCTACCGATGGCCAGCACCTCAGCTACCGCCGGCCTTCTATGGTCGCAGCTCAGGGCAGGGACTTCCCCGACGAGGCCGGCTCCCCACCCCCTAAGCCCACCCAGGGTCGTCCACCAGAAATCAGCAGTTTCGGTGCCGAGATCGTGTTGATCGCGGTCTGCTCCGCAGGTCTGATGTTGTTTTCGTTCCTCCTCGGAGATGTGCTCGCTCCGCAGCTCCAGTTCCGGCAAGCCCTCGGCATCACCAATACCGAGCTACCCTGGCTTGTCGGCTCCTTCAACGTCGCCAATGGCTTGTCCGTCGTGGTGTCCGGCTCGTTGACCGACCTGACGCCTCCCAAAGCCCTTATGGTCGGCGCTTTCCTCTGGCTCAGCGTCTGGAACATCATTGGCGCCTTCTCCGTCCACCCCTCCCGTTATGTGCTCTTCTTCGTGGTGCGCGCCATGCAGGGCCTGGCCATCGGCGTCTTGGTCTCCGGTAGCATGAGCATTCTCGGCCGCGTCTACAAGCCAGGCATTCGCAAGAACCGCGTCTTCTCCGCCATGGCCGCCTGCGCCCCGTTTGGCTTCTCCCTGGGCGCCATCGAAGGCGGTCTCCTCTATCAAAACCTTCCATGGATCTTCGGCTGCAACGCCATCATCACCGCCATCTGTGCTGTCGGAGCTTACTTCTCCATCCCCCCGCTGCGCCCTATGGCAGACTCCGCCGGAGGCGAGGTGCCCTCGCTGCGCCAGTTCGACTACCTTGGCGCCGCCTTCGCCGTCGGCGGCTGTGTTTGCTTACTCTTTGGACTGACCCAGGGTGGCGTCACCGACTGGTCCGTATACACCTGCGTGCTCACCGCAGTAGGCATCGTACTACTCATCGGCCTCTTCATCGTGGAGCGCTACGTACCACGCCCTCTGATCCCCAACCGCCTCTGGAATACCAAGGGCTTCACCCCGCTCATGATCGCCTACTTCCTGGGCTTCGGGTCCTTCTTCGGCGCCTGGCAATTCTACGCCATCCAGTTCTGGCTGCGCATCCAGCACGCCAGTCCCATCGATGTGGCATTATACCACCTCCCAAACGCCATTTTTGGCGTCATCGCCACCTGGGTGGTCAGCCGCACCTTGCATCTCGTCCCGGGCCACTACATCTACACTATCTCTATGTTCGCCTTTACGCTCGGACCTGCTTTCTTCCTTCCCCAGAGCCCTACCACTACGTACTGGGAACTGTCTCTTCCTGGTGTGGCGCTTGTTACCTTTGGCCCCGATTTGGCTTTCGCAGCCGCTTCCATCTTCATCACTGGTAATGTGGCGCGCTCGTACCAGGGCAGTGCGGGGAGTCTGCTGGTTACGAACCAGAATCTGTCGTCGGCGATTATCACCAGTGTGGCGGATGCGATTGGCACGCGGGTTGATAAGCAGGCTGATGGGAGTGTTGGGCTTACTGGACTGCGTGCTATTTGGTGGTTCGCACTGGCGTGTCAGTTGCTGGCAGCGCTGGTTACGGTTACGTCGGTGAGGATACCCAAGGAGGAGGAGAAGGAGCATATTACTTGATGCCCTGATGGTAACATGTGTGTTTCATTCTCGGTTTCGTTTTTCGGGTTGTCACGGTGCGTTATAAAATAGATAGATGGTTGGGAACTACATTCTATACATAGATTTCGGCCTTAATGGATTCAAAATGCATCCATAATCAAGCATATCTTCAATACTAATATACGAACTACTATACTCTTCCCCTCTCATGATCCACCACTGGTAAAGGCAGCTCCCTATGCAACCTCACCCGAATTCTCTCATCCTCATCATTACCATCCAACAACCCCCTCCTCAACAAGAAATCCACCACCACCACCGCACTATTCGGCTTAAACCTCCCCTCCCCTAGCGCCTTCTTCACCTCCTTTACACCCCACAGCCTAAAATCCTCCACTTCACTATCTGCCGGACTTGGAACCACCTCCTTCCCCAACCTCAACTCATACAAATACTCCACCTCGGGCTGCAACAGCTCCACCATGCCTATCCCCCCAACGCTCTCCTTCTTAACATGGAAATATGAAATCCGATCCACAAACCTCATTTCCCTCTGCATCAACTCTTCCGGGATCTCCGCCTCCTCGCTCGCCTCCCGCATGATGGCCTCTCTCGGTAGTAGCCCCATACTTAGTCCCCCCGCGGCAGTGGTGTCTAACATGCCGGGGTAGGTCTGTTTAAGGGAGGAGCGTTTGGCGATCCAGATGTGCGGTGTGTTGGAGACTTTGTCGTCGGTGTAGCAGAGCATTTGCACGCCGTAGGTTACTATGCCGAAGAGGGCGCTTGCGGCGCGTTCTATTTCCAGGATGATGGTCCCGTCTGGGCCATAGAGGGGGAAGGTCTCGTTGCGCCAGCCGCGGAGGATGCCGTGGGAGAGGAGTTGCTGGAGGGTGGGGAGGAGGACGGCGGTGCGGGTGGAGGCGGTTGCGGTGGGAGGTGTGAGGAGGGTGATTGTTTTGTTGGAGGGAGTGGTGTTGATGGTCCAGGTGTTTGGTGGCCAGGGGAAGGTGGTTATGAGCTCATTGGGGACGTAGCCTAGGGTTTGGGGAATGCCGGTGATCCGGAAGGCGTGGTAGTTTTCCAGGATGGGGTTTTCCGCATCGTTGGTGGTGGGGTAGGGGAAGCTGTTGGGGAGGTTAGATGGGATTGAATGGGATTGAATTGAATGGGATTAGAAGGGTGGATGAACTTGCTTGTCGAGGTCTGCTACGACCTGGTACATTAATGATGTTGTTGACATGCTGTGTGTTGTAGTCAATTGCAGTAGTGGGTGTTTAGTTGAGTCCAGATGCGGGGGGATGTCAGGGTCTAGTCTATCTAGGTGGACAAAATAATGCCATTAAACTAGCAGATCAGTTAGCTGCTAGCTTCCTCACTAAAATTACTCTGTACTGTTAGCTGTTAGTGATCGGGCCGAGCTCAGACTGGCCGCATTGTTCCTCTGCAGAGATCATCAATCAAATCGGAAGTTTTAGCTAGCTGTGACCCTGCAGATGCCCAAGTATTGGGGGTGATAGAGATCCCCATGAATAAAGGAAATATTACAGATTGGGCAACTTCGAAAGTATGAATTCTACTTCTCGCTAGTGATGGGTGAGTAAATATGGAGAATTATAATCATAACATGTCTTAGGTATAGCTGCACCCGATCACGTGCACTAGCCTTGCCAGGAGTGGAGGATTCCCACGAAATGAAGTCATTCAGGAACAGCCCACAACGCCTCACTTCTCCCCCTCCCATCGTCCATTCTCTCTTTCACTCACATACCACCATCATCTTCCATATATCTCCCTGAACATATTTAATTACCGTGGCGCCTCAACAACTCCCTCGCTTTCGCTGGCGCCCCCACCGGGCCCCCCTCAGGCTACCCCTTCCTCCTCCGCCCCTCCGCTTCCCTGCAGCTCGCCATTCGCGAACAGGCAAATTATTTCGCCATTTCCTTCGCTTCCTGTTCGGTCCGCACGCCCCTACCCGTGCACAATCTCGTCTCTGGAGTCTGCGTCACGAAACACTCCCCGCTCTTCGACATCGAGCACAGGCGGGGCTATACCGGGCCTTGGTGAAGCGGCAGGCGAGACTAGCACGCAGTCGGGAATCTGGTCGTAAGGGTATCCTTGGTTACCTGAACAGAAAGGGGAACCGCTTGGCTGGTCGGACAGCTCCTGCGACGGGTGGTATTGTACATAGAAGGCTGGCGCAAAGCACCGGGGCTTTGCGAGCGGGAAGAACCAAGAGCTCAGGCCTCACGCCAATGTCACAGTACGAGCCTTCATCCTCGTCAGCATGGGGCTCTAGTACTGGGCGGGAGAGGGGAGCGCGCCGCAAGAAGGTCTTTGACTACTTGAAGGCTGCCAATGAGCTGCGCCAAACCTATGCTGCGCAATGGTCGGCGCAGATCGGTGGCCAGAGCGACTATGACGACTATCGTGATACCCCGGGCGCATTCCCGGACGTTGAGATTGCGCGATCCGAATTTGAAGAGATGGTGATATTCCCGAGCTATGCGAGGCGATTGGTGAAACATGAGCATGTGGATTCATACTATAGCCGCCGTCGAGGATCAAATGCCACCATTGAGGAGTATCGGGGCGAGTCCGATGGCTTTGGCACAGGCATGCCGATATGGGATGAGCTGGAAGACCAGAATGCGATCGTCGCAGTCGATGTGCGTGGCTGGGTATACGCACCTCATCGCGGGCCGATGACTCGAAAACATCGTCTGATGGTCGCTCTCGCTAGAAAGCTCAGCGGAGTACCAGCTCCTATGAACAGCACGAATGACGGTGATGAACATAATGCAAATGACTCTAGGACTGAGAAGGGGGACGAAGAGCTGGTCAATACGCAGGCACAATCGATCATTAAGCAGGCTGAAAAGGAGGCTGATCCCGTATGGAAAGACAGCGCAGAAGATCGTGGTGCCCAAAATACTCCCGGACGACCTCTCCAGAGGGCAGCAACGGCACCGCTGAGCAAGGATGAACTCTCCGTCGCCAATGCGCACCTCCTGGAGCGATTACGCCCTTTCTTGACGAACCCGGTAACAGGAATTCCCGTCACTGTCTTCTTCTTCAACAACGACAAAAGTCAGTCGAGGAGCGTGATGACCGATGAGTCCGGTCACTTTCGCCTACGAGCGTCACTACCTTTTATCCCGACTCACGCCCGTGTGCTAGCCTCCGAGGATCTCTCAGCTGTGAAGGAAGTCAAGGTCATCGAGCCCACGGGCGTTAGCTTGATCAGCGATATCGACGACACGGTAAAACATTCTGCTATTGCTAGCGGGGCCAAGGAGATGTTTCGCAACACCTTCGTCCGCGAACTGAACGAGTTGACGGTCGACGGTGTTACTGACTGGTATGGCAAGCTGGCGAAAATGGGAGTCGACCTGCACTATGTCTCTAATGCCCCCTGGCAACTCTATCCTCTTCTGGAACGCTACTTCAAGCTCGCCGGCCTGCCCCCGGGTTCTTTCCACTTGAAACAATACAGTGGTATGCTTCAGGGGATATTCGAGCCTACGGCGGAAAGGAAGAGGGGCTCTTTGGAGCAGATTTTGAGAGACTTTCCTACCCGCAAGTTCATTCTCGTTGGAGACAGCGGTGAAGCGGATTTGGAGGTATATACCGACATCGTTCTAGCAAACCCGGGACGGATTCTTGGAATCTTCATTCGCGACGTCACCACCACCGATCGACAGAAATTCTTCGAGAAATCAGTGGACCACTTGGAACATGATTTGAACCGGAGCCGCAGCAGTCCGCAGCTTGTGGAAACTTCTGATGCCGTGTCTAAACGTCCGGCATTACCACCTCGGCGGCCCGTGGAAACAGCCTATCCGTCCGCGGATGCCGTGAGCCTAGACAACGCTGACTTGATTGATCTTAGCGACGAGGTGGAACAGAAGATGTCTTTGGCTGATGTGAAGAAGCCCTCCACCGGGCGCGGACCACCCGCGAAACCTTCCAAGCCCTCCGCGTTGCGCTCAGTCTCGACTAATCCAGACATGAGCAAAGACGAGCAGCCTTCACTTCAAGAAACAGCCAAACGAAAACCTGTGCCACCACTACCCCCACGCCGCTCTTCCACTAAGTCCGATGTTTCGTCCGACAACATACTTGATACCGAGAATAATACGCCTGTGAATAATATAGCGAGACCAATGTCCGTACGTCCTAAGCCTAGCTTACAAGATATCTCCAACGACAACGGGACTGGCACGAGGTCGACTCGCTCAAAGCAAGCACCGCCACCTCCTCCACCACGCAGAACCAACACAGGAACTTCAACCCCGGGTTCTATCTCGTCACAGCAAACTATCAACCGCCCAACACCCCCACCCCTTCCCCCGAAACAATCATACCCCGCATCTGCAGCCACAGCAGCGCTACAATACGCCTCCGACCGTTTGAACTGGTCTCCAACCCCATCGAACATTCTCCGACCGGCCCAGCCAAACTCCTCAGCAAGCAGGTCCAGCACCAGCGTCGACAGTAGCACTCCGAACTCAACGGCGGTCCCAGCAGCCCCTTTGCCCAACAAACGAGAGGAACTATGGCGACGTCGCTGGGAACGCGCCCAAGAACTTCTGGAAAAGCAAGGCGTGGTGCTGGGCAGTTGGCGCGTGGGCCAAGATGCACAGGACGTGAGTTGCTGGTTGGTAGAGGAGGCGATGAAGGATATGAAACGGGGGTGAGGAGTAAGCTAGCCCGGAGGGTGGCAGAGCCAAGACCCTGGTTGGTCATTTTGCATATACACATACGTATATATAGCCTCTCAGCGTCTTCTGGGAGGTTGTATAGCCTCAATACATTTGAAAAGTAATAGATACCATTAGTGTGGGCAGCTTAGTGAGCATATACACTTCCTCCGCACCTTTCCTAGTAACTTAGTATCTTACTGCCAGAGACGGTGTAACTAGTGCCAGGGCTTGTGACTACTGCGTCCTCGTGGCGACCACTTGGAATTTAGCCGCTTGAAACCATACGTCCATACTGTAACGTTGCTGGCGCTTTCGCTTACATCTCATCTCGGTCGCAACTTTATGGCCCAGCTATCCCAACCTCAACCATTAAAAACCACCAGTACTGTCGATTGACGATAATCTCGACTTTCACATGCCAAATCACCGCCTCTAAAATGTTACATGACGCTGAGTCCCGAAGATCCGCACATCAGGCATTCCTGGGGATGAAGAGGTGAAGAACCTCAAGCAGCAGTAGATCTCCATCTCGTTCATTCAAGAGTATACAACAGCGTCCCCCATCCCAACTGATCATACCCACCACTCGTAGTTCCATAATCGCCACCACCGCCCTCTGCTCCATCGCCATCCTCAACGACCAAATCCCGATATTCCTTTGTGTAAGTGACATTCAGTCCCTTGAGTACACCATAATGGTTATACAGCAGCTCCCAGATGGGTCTGATATCTCCGCGGCTGGAATTGCTGATAACCGTCTGGTTCACGTCGTCGCTGTTGTTGTATGTAGTGTAGGGAACCTCGTTGCCAAGGTTGTATTTGGCGACGTATTCCGCACTAAGTTATCTTTTTGTAAGCATGATGTATTCCATACTGAGAGGAAGGATAGGGGAGGGAGAAGATAAACCAAGTGTAGGAGAGAGAGAGAAGGGGGGGGGGGGGGGACTCACCCAGCCAGAATGCGATTATCCAAATACTCAAACAAATCCGTCCCCTGATTATACGCCGTCAGGGCAATAGGCCCCAGGAGAGCAAAATCCAACATCGAATGGCCCTGGTCACGCCCTGCCTCTTGACCCTGACCCAGGGATTCCCCACCCACCTCATACAGCTTCCAGATGGCCTTTTCAATCTGGCCATTTCCCTCACCAGACTTGAAATAAGTCAATCCCTCATCGAACATAGTTTGATTATCAGTCAACACGCCAATAGACAAGACGGAGGCAATATTGCACAAATCCCAATTTGCCCAGTAATGATCAACAGCAGCGCCATGGTGATTCTGCAGGAAATCATGATTAAGAGGATAAAAGACGTCGACCATCATGTTCGCAAAGCGGGTCAAATTAGCACTCGGCCATGCGGAATACGTGCGCATGATCTCGGCGACGTTGGCGAATTCGTACCCGTATATGCCCGCGGCGAGGTACATGTCGGTCGTGCCGGAGATCTCGGTCAGGGTGGAGCTCCATTCGTCGAGGATGTTCACGACAACGTCGGCGTAGCTCGTGTTGCCAGTTACTTTCCAATAGATGGCCATCGCGTAGGCGGCTGCTATGTCTCTGTACAGAGAGGGATAGTTCTCGGTGTGGGTGCCATCTGCGCCGCGATAGACGATTGTCTTCGGGGAGGGCGTGTAGTCTAGGTTGATGTTGGAGCTGTTGGACAGTTTGTACCAGCCTGTTATCCAGGGTTCGGTGTTGCTGGATACTTTGGAGGTGATGCGTGAGAAATCAGAGGCTGTTTGGAGGAGGCCTGGATGAATGAATGAGGATGTGTCACGGTGGGAGACTTGAGATGGTCCATGACTGGAAACATCGAATGCTGCCGCCAGCGAGCAGAAGACCACCGGTAGTGTCAATTTCATCCTTGGAATGTCGGTTGAGACACAATGCTTCCCTCTGCTTCTGTGACATTTTCCTGTAGGGGTCCCTGGTTGGGTTTGCTTTAAATATACTATTCATGCTCGGTCCATTGGCCGGTCGATTAGCCGACCTTTCTCATTCTTCGTCGATTTAGGGAAATTGGGATCGACCCTGCGGGTTTTGCCGTTTGTAGGTAAAACAGGCCGGTAGATGGACCGGCACGAATTGCATAGCATGGCGATACAATTGAATAGGAGGTTCAGGGTCCATCCATCATCTATGTGTGACAGACACTGTGGGGAACAGGACGTAAGCCAGCGGAGGAAGGATCGGCTTCGGCCCCTGAGGGATAGATAGGATTGAACCACCAACACGGAGTAGGGTCCGTTACTTGGCCCGGCCGTTGGCCGACCATTCCTCCGATCTACTATCCTCAGTGGACTAAATCTTATATTAGTGTATAGTATCATCAAGGACATTCTGCTCATCTAATCTGATCTGCTATTAATAGATCAATGAACTCCCGTTTCCTTCACCTCCAAATCAACCACCCCCTTCTCATCCACAACTGGGCGTCGATCCACCTCCAACTCCCTCTCGCCTGTGGATTCCATGTCATAATTCTTCACAACAATCCATGTCGGAATAACACACAACCCTAGAAAAGCCGGTCAGTATTCAGCCTCTTCTTCAGATATCAATCCCACTTACCCAGCAAAATAGTATTCACAGCCATCGGCACCCGTCCACCATACCAATCCCTCGTATTTAATCCGTAAGAAATCGCCTCACCAAAACTCTCCTGACCGCGCAACACACCCGTCAACCTGGTCAACTCGGCGATATTATCAGTCATGCTTCCGACCAAATAATACAACCAATTCTGGCCCGTCTGCTGCGCAAACGTCCACATGAAGAGGACAAACGCGCCCTTAGTGAACCCCGGACTAGTGTAATCCATCGTCCCCAGATCAGGGTTCTTTTTATGGGCTGATGTATATTGCTCCTGCACAACCCAGCCAAGAATCCACGCCGTCACATGCACAATGATGACCCAATACCAGCCGTACGTGAGACGTTTCTTAGCGTCGATACGCTTCCAATCCAGCCAGTGAGAAATGATTTGCGAAGCAAGGATGGTGACCCAGTCGGAGAGGAAAGCGATGAGCGCACGAGCCCGGACCCCAAAATAGTACGTTTCGAAGTTACTCGAGTACTCATTGAAGTAGACGGCCCAGAAAACAGGGAGAAGAAGGATGACGGTGCGGTTTTTACATGTTTTCCAGAGGGCTTGGAATTCCGCTTTCCACGAGTCCTCGACCCGAAGGATGACCGGGGAGCCATCGGCGCGTTGGACTTTGTTGGGCGGGGTGAGGAGTAAAGCGACGGGGACGGCGAGACATTGTAGCACGATGAAGACAATGTAGGTGGAGTATCCCACGCTTCCTTTGTCTTTGTTTTTAATGTTGAGGGCCAGGACAATCGAGTTCCCGATGATGGGTCCGAGGGTGCGCCACCAGACCCAGATGTTGAGGTATCGGGCTCGTTTCGATGGTTCAGGGTATCCGATAGCGATGGCGCCTTCACTGGCCCAGAAGAGACCGGCCGAAATGCCACATGCGACGGCACCGACCAGAACTAGCCAGACGTTGCCGAACCGGTTGTTGGTGTAGAGACCGGCTGCGTAGACGGGGTAGCCGGCGGCGCCGAGGAGAAGGGCCCATTTCAGTCCAATCCGGTTGGCGATGGGCGCGCCGAAGATGCAGAAAATGCCCATGAGCCCGAAAACCAGTGCGTTGGCGGCATTCACCAGAAAAGGTTTCTCTTCGCCTCCGGCTCCCAGGGAGTTCATGGCGTTCCATAGCCCGGGGGCGAGAAAGCCAACAGCACCAATCACGCAGGCATTGAAAAGGGAGGTGCGGTACCACACTCGTTTGAGTGGCACTTTGCCGCCACTTCCATTCTCAGCGTCAGCCATAGTGAACTGAGATCAAGACTGGAATTATTCGTGGGATTGTTCGGAAATAAACTTCAGGGCGAGAGTTAAAGAAAGGGACGGCAGCTCGCCGAGGTTATGTATGATCCGCAAGAACACGCCATTTTGTTGTGCCAGGATTTCTCGCAAGCGAAGCGATGATAGTCTGTTCTATGTTGCGCTATATTAGGTCATGGAAATGTCGTGATGCATGTGTACATTCGAAAAGAAGGAATAACAGGGCGGCCAGGGCCGCTGAAGACGGCTGTCGCAAGCGGCACAGGCGATGGCGAGATCGGAGCTTAGTCTCCTTCGCCAATGAGAGAAGCCCTAGCAATGGAGCATGACGAGTTAGTCATTTTGTCGTCAATGACTTTGAATATTAGCATGATTGTAGGATCGATATTGGACAGCAAAACTTCGAAATAATCGACATGGTGAGTTGAATGTCACTCACTGCCCACGGTTGGCGCTGAAATTTACTTTCGGCCAGGTCCGATGCGGGGGGAAACCCGAATCTCGGTTGCTGTCAGGACAAGTTAAAGTTATCAGATAATATTGAAAGCAATTATCTAATCTTTCATCTTGAAACAAAACCCTATTTTTCTACATCATTATCTAAGAGCTGAAAAACGGAAGATCATTTCAAATAGTAGTATAGCATAGAATGACTGTTAGATCTAACGCTAACATTCTAATCATATATTACAACCCGAGTGTCAAAGGGTCACCAGGAAGATTGGTAAATGCCTGAAGCAAAGGAAATAAGTTACGAGGCGCAAATATTGACAACAAAGTACATGAAAGGACACTCACCCAGGAGTCTAACTCTGTCCACCACACTGATCCTTCCAGATTTTCAATGAAGCCAACATCACTATCGGGTCCGAATGATTGTGCGGCCAAATCTGCCGCCGGTTGTAAGCTACTGGAATAAGCCATCGAGTTGTCCAGTGAAATAGGGGAGTAGAGGTTGTTGAGGCCAAATTGCTGCGCTTCCATTGGCAGTTCATCCCGACGCGTGGTGGTTTTAGGCCGTTGTTGTTCAGATAAATCGACCAAGCAGTCGGCGTCCGGCCCAACCTGTTGGTGAACCTCCTTTCGTAGCTCTTCTAGGATAATGCTGTAGCGACGACTGGGACAGTTCTTACGTGTAGCCTCTGCCAAGTGTTGTTGGCAGGTCTCGGCTAATCTGAAGAGAGAGCTCAGAGTGACGTCTCCGGTGCCCGGGGATAAGGTTTTTGGGTATGTGTCGCGGTGTTGCTGGATAATATAGATATACACCACTGTGATCGCACAGAAGCATACGTAGTGTGTGAACCAGAACGAATGGATCAGAATGTTCTGCTTGGCCAGGCCCTCTACCAGTTCCATGACCTCTTGAGCGGCTTCCACACATTTGCGTACTAGGTTGGACGCTACGGGGTGAGGAGCTGGTGGCTTACGTCTCAGATCCGAAATGTCGTTGAGCAGGAACGATCTGGTCGCATGGATGACCGCATGCGAGTACGCCAGTTGTAATACCTGGCTTTGCCTACACAGAGGAGGAATGAGGCTGGTTGCGCGCACTCCGTTGAAGATCGGCGGGGCTGTCGCTTTCCATTCCTCCAATCTAGACGTGAGCCGGGCAGCCGTCTCGAGTGGTGGACTACGAGACGATGGATTCACTGTGTAGAGCTGACGAGAGATGTCGCCCAGGATGCGACCAAGCCTGTGTTGTCAGTATCGGCATGTACCCATGTACATAGAGGGGGGGTGGGACGAACTTGAAATGTAGGATGGATGCGATCATCATGCAATCGGCGGACCCTGTGCGTCTTTCTGGGTCCTCCTGGAGCATGTCTTCGTCATTGATCTCATCCGGAAGGTCTTGGTCGATGTCTTCATCGTGTAATAACCGTGGTCTACCAAACATCACGCTGAGATATCTGTCCAACATATATGCGCTCCAGAGGATGCGCTTGCGGAGCTCTCGCTCCATGTAGGTGTTCCCGCCCTTAGGTAGCCTGCCTGGGAATTTTCGATGCAGGCCCAGCGCCGTTACGAGCTGGAGGGCAGTGCCAAATGAGTACCAGCACTCATTCGCTCTAGAGGTAGACAGCAAGTAAAGGCACTGACCTAGCCTAGCCTGAACGGTCTCTAGTCGAGGGGGGCCCGACTCCAGGGAGGTCATGTATTTGGACGCTGCATACCACTGCTCGCTGAGATGACTCAGTACACTAGACCCGAGAGGGATACAACTGACTAGCTTACCTTCCACACCACCCATCAACCGGACGTTCCGGTTTCTGCTCCTCGTAGAGCGTGCCAACTGCAAATATCATAAGGATGATGGCTGTCCGCACTACCATGGGACCCGTGGGAGGGTTTGCAGAGGAGACATTGTTCAGGTACACCTGGCAGAGCCACTCCTCTACGATTCCCCGATGAAGAAATCGATATGTCACCATCGAGAAGTCGAAGTAGATGTTGACCAGCTCTCGTGCTTTATCAAACGGGGGAAGTGAGAAAGTCACCTGGCGGTAGTCGGAGTATGGCTTATCACCAAACATGAACACCGAGGTGTTCCTCGGAGAGGACTCGTTCTCTAGGCTATCTGGGATTGCATGCCCTTCATCCTGATGTAGACGACGCCAAACTCGATTGAGAAAGGAGACTCCCGAGGCAGGCCCTAGATAATTGCCTTCGAAGTCGGTCACCGCTGGATCAGGGGAATTGCGCTGAGAGACCTCGTTTCGACATAGAGGCTGTTGAGGCGAATCGGCAGGTACTCTAGGAGACTGTCGCGCAGATGACGAGCGTCGACGTCCCAGAGCCCCGTCTGTTTGGGGCCTTCTCTTGGCATCGGGACTATATGTGTGACCGTCCGTCATTGACGGCGGTGCGGGGAGGGGGTCTGGAGGCAAACCCCGGGAGTAAGCGGCATTGTACTCGCAGGACAAATCCAGTCGCATACACCTGACACATGGAAGTGTTCCCGTACAGCGCGTCTTCTTCTCTTTGCAGTGATCACAGGCGCGCGTGATCTTCTGGCGCGGTCCATTGGAGGCCTTGACTGGGGAGTCCGACGCCCTTCTTGGGCGTTTTGCGGGGATCGAATCATCGGTATCAGAGAGGCGACGCCCGGAATTTATCAGGGCGTCTGGGGACAGTGCACTGTCCCCTCTTGCTGCCAGGCCTGTGGCCATGGATCCAATGACTCAGGTATTTCTGGTAGACTCTGCTGTTGAGACATGAACGGTAGATGAGGCTGGATCTTTTTCCGCGGGAGGAGGAATGGGGAAACGGAGGGACTGGGCGAGACAAGCCGACCCCAGATTTCAAAGGTGGAGAGACGTGCAGCAAGCATCCGCGGGGGAGAATTTTCCGGGGGGAGTGAGAAATCAAAAGAGACAGGAATGAAACAGAACTGGAAACCGAAAGTGAGAATGAGGGGGGGAATGCGGGGGTCCGAGCCGAAGCATCGGAGTTCCCCCGGACTCCTCTCCGAAGCTCACTTTTTTGCCGTAAGATCATAGAATGTAGATATTAGTGATGGATAGGAGATCTGAGTACTAGTCTCAAGAGCATCATATTATCTATTTAGATACCAGAACAGAAGTGACCTTGCAATTTAGAGACATAATGGTTGCACTGTACCTTCTCGTTGCTAGAGATCTTGTCATCACGTGATCTGACGCCAACTCCCATTCCAGCGTCCGGTCGCAGCAACATTGCGAAATACCGAAAAGCCTTCATTGAAGCATCAGCTAGAACTCAGTTCAATAACCCCTCGTAAGGGTTTACCTGTGTCTTCACTGTCAAAGTATGCAAGGGAGATAGAGAAGAGGAAAGGAAAAGCCAGCCACCACAACGCGGGCGGGGAATTTTCCCCTTTGGCACCACCGCCTCAAACCAGTAACACTCCGGCTCTATTTCAACCTCACCTCTTGGGACAAATTCTGCAGCAATGCCATTAGCTGGCCATAAATCCACTCAATTTACCAAAATGGAGCATGAAGATGAGCGGTCATCTAACGGGGGTAGTGGAAAGACCCCAGAAGCCAAGCTATTCCAGCATTCGTGGCCTGAGGTGGGTGAACCATTCCTGTGCATGGCGTACCTACTATAGACATTCTGCATGTATCATGCTCACCAGTTGCCTTGTCCTGAACGGCGATGTTATGCTTTCTATATATATGAACACTGTAGATGGCTTACACTGTCTATCATTACTATCAGATTTCTAAACAACATGATATTATGCTGTCGTCGCATCTAGAGATGTTGCACCAGTTGAAGAGTCAAGTCCACTCCCACGGAGAGGAATCCCAACTGGTGTCCAACATGGTTGATAAGACTAAGAGACTGATTGCTCAGTTTGATATACTTAAAAAACGCGTGGTAGGTCGTAGCTACTTCCTTCTTTCCTACTTCTGTTAGTGCTGTGGTTAACCAATCTGGCAGGTGCCAAGTGAGTTTTTCTAAAAGCTTACCCGCTTCCTCTGACGGGTATAATACAATACCACAGCCTAGTACAGAGAAAAGTAACCATCCTTATAGGGCTCAACACAGCAACACCAGAATCGGACACTCGTTCGTCAGAATCCATGTCGACGTCAAGCAGTCGAAAGGAGCTAAAAAAAGAGCAACTCAAACGTCATGCCGACCACTTGTATGACCCGGAAGAAGACGGAGGGGCAGCAGCGGCGGAAACCCAAGACCCCCTGACTGCAAGGTCTCTAGCTGTCCACTCTAGCAAACGAAAACGAATCGACGAATTTATTCCAGGAGCCGATGAAGACATAAGGCGTTTCTCACCTGTATCAGTGGAGACCGAGGATATCTCAGAGGAGGTACAGCGAAGACTGAAGATCAAGGAGGAACAACGCAAAAGGCGGGAGACCTCGAAAGTGGACAAACGCAAGAGGGACAGTTTGACTTCTAACGGAAGCACATCTTCGGCCAGAACCGGGACGAAACACACTAGAAAGAAGGCGAGGATTGGGACGAAGTGGAATCGTTAGCCGATGATAAGTCCGGATGTGTAACCCCAGATTACCCCGGACTTACCCCAGACTTACCCCTACACTTTTCTCACCACTATTCTTAGGCAAGGGCCAGGCAGACTGAGTTCGGCAAGCAGGGGCCTAGCCATTGGGTCATACTATTGGCTAGCCCTATGTACTATATCCAGAAACCTTATTGTTAGCGGAAGAGATATTAATAGCCCGTTCCTGGAGGCCAGCCCTATCGGACCCATGGTCGACTACCTAGATATTTTCTACAATAGTCCTAATACTTCGCTCCGTTGTAATGCTGAACTCAGGTATACGAAGTTTTCTAGAGACTCTGGGGGTATAAGTAGGCCCCCGGATTTCCCAGGGCCATTCTGAAATCTTTCCTCTCTCCAACGTCTCCGAAAAAACTGGAACGTTCAAACCAAATCTGCTTCTAACTGTTCAATCTGCTTTAACTGTTCTGCGTTGCTTTTAACAAATCCCTAATACTACAAACTCCGAAATCACCCCCATTCTCTAGAGATACGAAAAACATCTCTACAAATCTGCTTTTATTGTTCTCCTATACTCAAACAACCGAAACCCACCTCCTACTTCTCGAGAGATCCGTACAAGTCTCTCCTATAACCTATACTTCTTATATCATCCATCCACCTCATACTCCTCGAGAGATCCGAAAACGTCTCTCCATATATCTCTACCCACCTCTACTCTCTCTACTATTCCTCATCACCTATCTCCCTCTATTCTCCTCCTTGAACCAGTCAACATGGCTGCTCCTCCCGCCTCAAACTTCTTCTACCACACCCGCCCCGGCAAACAAAACAGCCGATCTCCTCCTCGTCGATTCAGACCTAATGGACCAAAACAATCTCCTCCATTCATCCGTACCAACAACACCCCCTCCAACGCTCCTCAACATCAGAGGCAGCCGAACCCTCACTACAAGTCAAACTCTGGCATCTCCAAGCCAGCACCTCGAAAGCCTCATCGCGAGGTCGATGGAGACATCTCCATGACCGACGTCTTCGTCAAGCCTCAACCTCAAAAGAGGCAGCCTCCTCCAACCAAGACCCAACCAAACACTGGCCGTAAAGCCAACTACAACAACAACATCAACAACCGCAAATCAACCGACGGGGATACCATCATGCTCGACGCATGCCCCATGTCTCAGAATCTTAAGAGACATCTCAACAATACCAACAACACCAACACACCTCACCAATACCGACGCGGCACACCCACTAAGCCCGCCCCTAAGAGACCATTCTCTAAGGACTTCGATGGGGACACACCCATGTTCGACATCCTCGACATGGTCCCCACCCCAGTCAATCTACCTGTCCTCCAACCGATACAGCTACCATGCTACCCAATAACCAACCTTCCCGTCGACTTCGACGGCGACTCCATGATGCTCGAAGCCTTCTAAGGCAGTAAGTACCCACCTCCACCTTCATCAACCTGCATACACACATACTAATATATCCTAGGCATCCCAACACACCAACCAAGTCTAAAGGACACCCAGCGGAGGAATTCAAGAAAATCTGGGAACTTCATGTATAACATGAATTTGTTTTGATTATATAATTTGTGGGGACGTACAAGCACCAGCATGTCACAAAGAAGGGGGCGAACTCAAGGCCCAGGCGGAGGAACATCTATGAAACTTTGGGGATCAATCTTCTTCCTGTATTTTCCTTTTTTGACTTTATATCTTTTTTTTGTGGGGACGATTCAGCGAAGCATGTTATTATTTGCTTGTTTTCTGTTGTCATGTATGGCGTCGTGCACCCCGGTCCAGGTTTTCATCCTATATCACTGAAGACTAAAGACGGTGGTAGGTGTTTTCCCTGGATTCCGCCTATCAGGTTTGCCCGAATGGGGGGTTGCCTTAGCCTTTAGTTCTACTCTTGAGTTAAGAGATAATCAAAAAGAATCTCACTCGCAGTTTGGTTTCTTTTATGTAGTTGTAGATTGTAGATTATAGATTGTAGGCTGTTGGTATGTGTAGGGTTGAGGTGCTTCTGGTTTGATATAGTACTATATAGGAAGGGCCGTGTAGTGTCAGGTGATTTTTCTGCTTACGAGATACCACAGCTTAGGCAGTAGCAGGTCATTTATTGCCTCCGTAGGGGTGTGAGTGCGTGGACTAATGATAGTTCGTTGTATGATATCCGGATGGCTATAGTAGAGTAGCTCTTTTGTTCGGCCGATTCAGCCATGGTTATTGCTTAAATACTGCTATGTACCTATGAACAGCACAACACCGCCAAATCCATCATTTCGCTCGCTTTAATACAAACAAAATTAGAAGGCAAATCTGTATAAAATTCGTGCAACCCCTTGCTTATCTCGAAATTAAGCCCCTACGCTTCAACCGCGCCGGGAGAGATGGCAAGGATCACAACAAAAGCGGTAACAATCAGAGCAGCAGCTACAAAGGCTGTCAATGCAACACTGCCACGGCTGGCCGGGAATTTGCCCCTAATAATCCAATACTGGCTTTCAAAATAGCGGTGGAATCCAACCAGTAGAATCAAAATTGCAACTCCAATGAAAGTAGTCCCTAACGGCTTACCGATGCTCCGAAGGCGTGCAGAGGCAGATGTCACCCCTATTGGCGTGGAATCATAAGCGGCAGATGGCAAAAGATAGTTTTGAGCGGAAAGATTGGCATTTGCGTTCGTCCCGGCACTATTAAGACGGAATAACTGGGTTACTGCGATGCCGATCGATGCAAAGGCTAACGATGTCCGCAGCCATGCCAGAAATGTTCGTTCTAAGGGAAAGAAAGAGAATCCGGTTAAACGAGGTCGTACACGGACGGGGTGAGAAGAAGAAAAAGAAAGAAAAGAAAAGCAACAACGGACTAAGCATACCCAAAGCGAGATGATCTCGGGCCACACTGCCTTTATTTTCTAATTCCAAGCTTCCATATCTATCTGCCAGCCGGCTATACCACGAGCCGTGCGGTTCTTCCGAGTCACACTGAGAATTCTGCTGACCGGGATCCCGTGAGACCGTGTTATCGTTTGTTGATCCCGAGTCTCTGTTCCGTAGACCGTCGGTAGAATGATAGTTGCGCCGAGATGTGTCAGAGTTGCTCACGATCGGAGTGACCTCGTTGACAGGTTGCGATTGGCCCTGGTCAGGCACGGTGACCGTTTCGAAGGCAGCCATGCGGTGTGGCTCACGATGAGACGAATGGGATGAAGATCGTTGCGTGGGAGATAAGGCGTTGGCCTGCCTTGCGTAAGACGCGGTCAAATCAGAGGATTCCATGATGGCGTGCTCGCGGGATCGCAGGGTTTATTAGACTAGATAGATGCTAGGGCGGGAGTCTGGATCTTTTCCTCAAATGGATCAGGTGGATAGATAACTAGCGGATGTCCCCAGCTTCTGAGCGGTGGATTTATGCTGATCGGATCCGTTGTACGAGTTTGATAGATGATGGGTAGGGGACATCCACACTGTGATAACAACGGAAGGAGAGAGATCCAGAAGGACTGTCCTCAGCTCGTCCCCTCCTCCTTAGTGTGTGTGTGTGGCATGGAGCAGAGTGATGGAAAAGAAAGAAAAAAAAAATTAAAATTAATTTGTTCCGCTCTTTTCCTCGAACAGGCCATCACGCGCTCCAAGCCAGAAGGAGTATAGCCAGTGGTGTCGGACATGCAGCTAAGTCTCGCCGGTGATCACATGGAGCGATCGCACTACGCCCTGCTGGGCCATGGCGTCATAACCCGCGTTCAACTTTGCTTTGTTGCTTCCGCGGGTAAGCGGTCAGTCGGTCAGTTCGGTCGGTCAATCGGTCTTATTGATGCCTCAGGCCAACTGAACACATACCTGTACTCGGTACTCGGTACTAGTAGAAGATTGCAACCAAGAAGGGAAAATAAAATACATGAATCATGCCTCTAGGCATCAACATCCAGTACTCTCCCTTCTTCCCTTCTCCCCAGCCACTGTGGTTCATTGCGAGCTGGCTGCAACGCCAACCCATCCTCCATTCCCACATATTTATTGCACCATCCAATCACATTCTGATACCAGACCAAACTGTTCTCCCTCCCCAGGACAAAATGGTTCTCATCCGGAAAATTTAAATACCGTGTATCTATCCCTTTCATTCGACAAACGGTATAAGCGGCCGATGCAGCCGTAATAGGGCACCGGAAATCTCGATCCGAATGGATCAGAAGCAATGGTGTTGACCAATTACTGAGATATTCGGCTGGGTTATACCGTCGCCAGATCTCCTTTACGCTGGCTTCGTCCCGGCCAGCATTCGGGGCATTGGAGAAGTATGGCGAACCGAAGGAGCGCGTCAGCTCTTGCACCTGACCCAGATCATCACTCAGAAGCTCGGAAACAACGTCGAAGATGCCGTCGTGGCTGACCAGAGCTCTGAGCCGCTTGGCGAGAGGCTGTCCTGCCAAGAATAGTGCCAGATATCCCCCATAGCTTCCGCCCGCGGCTACGGCTCTATCAACATCGCACTTGGTCGACAGGTTTTGTTCGATCCAGTTGAAACACCGCCCGACATCGTGGTAAGGGTGTCCTCCCCACTGCAGTGCGACTGCTCGTGCAAATTCGCCCCCGAACGAGTCGGATCCAGTGAAGTTGGGGATCGCAACGATGTACCCTTGTTCCGCTAGGAGGACTGCATTCCAGCGCCAGGTCCAGGCATCCTTGTTAGCGGAATGGGGCCCGCCGTGCATAAAGATGAATAGAGGATGCTTTTCAACCGACGTGGCCTCGTACCAAGATGGCTTTACGATCCAGCACTGCACTGGGGTCTTGCCATCTGGGCCGCCAGGAAATGTTATCGATTCAACTTGTTTGTCCGAAATTCCGAAATAGGCTCCGTGAGAGGAGGACGAGTGGATGACTCGGCTACTCTGAGATGCAGGTTCATTGTCTACAGGAGGAGTGACAATTGTGAACAATCCCTGATCGATGAATGATGAAGAGGTGGCCAGTAACCGGTTCTCCGAGGAACTCCGACCCAGCTGATACAGTGATGAGACGGAGCCAGGGATCTCTAAAGCAACTGGTTCCACACTCTGTGCTCTGTCTTGAACAGTAGTGGTCGGGAGAACCACTAGGAACACACGAGTTTTTGCTTGATGGTTCGCAGTCAGATACAAAGACGCGCCGTCATTTGCCCACAGAATGTCATCTGGGAAGACATCCCAGTTCTGACTCTGACCGAATGAACTTACCGTCCGAAGGATTGATACTATACTCAACGTCTCTGTATTTAGCAAGACAATGCTCTTTTGCGACCACTCCTCGCTGTCCTGGTCAACTAGAAAAGCGATCACTGGGTCCCGAGGCGCAAACCTCGGGGCTGCTACGATATCTGCATGATCGGGAACCTTTATTTTCTTCAGCGCAGGTAAGTCGGTCTCCTCGAATGTTGACAATGGAAGAAAATATAAGCAGCTTTGCGATCGTCTCCATTCCATATCCACTGGATCTGCTGTTGCAAAGACAATCCCATAAGATGAGATGTCGAGATCCGGGGAGCTTTGTGAGTTGGAGTAAAGGGGTACCACTAGGCCTGTTCCTCGTAGAGCATTGACGGGGCCTTTAGTAGAAAGCTGCCACTGTCCGGAATCCAAGTCAAGCTTCAGGACTGTATACCAAATAACCGATCTATATTGGTCAACATATGAGTCCCATCTTTTGGGACGACTATGAGTCCATTCCCGGGCGGTCGTATGAGTTTTGTCTGCTTTGAGGATGTTGTACAGATTCTGTTCGGCATCTGCGGGTGCTGTGAAGACCAGTGCTATGTCACCGCTGTCCAATGATTTGGTCTTCAAGTTCCCTGGTTTAGCGTCAATAGTACCAGCCAAATATGGTCTGTTAAACGTTGTCAGAAATATCAACTCGTCATGGAGAAGACAGTCTTACCGGGTGTTGTGGTAGGCATCGCCAATCCATAATTCGGTGTTGTTCTTGCCCTCTCTTTGCCAAAGAAGTGACGAACCGGACAGCCAGCGAAACGAAGACTCCTTGGGGTCATTGGTGTACCGAGTGGACTCGCCGGTTTCTAAGTTGAGCAGCTTGACCTCAGAGAAATCTGCGTGGGTGTCAAGATCGTATGTTGAGACAGTATAGATCGCCACTTTTCCCTCATCGTTCGGTACTGCTGATGATGGCCTTGGAGCGGTGATCAATAACCTAGCGAGCCAGTGGTTAGAGCTTGGTACTTCCAAGCTTTTTTTAGACTAACAGCTGGGGATGCGTACTCAGGAGTGAACTTTGAATGTTTCGACATTGTGAAAGGCGATGATAGTAGAGTAATAGTGCTGATGAACAAGTCAGGCCGCACGAGATGGACATGAGTGAAATAGTGACAACTGCAATAAGCAATTGAGGGGGAAAACCCCTCTTTCAAGAGTACTACTTTGATAACAACCGGAGCTCCGATGGTGATTGACTCAAAAGCACGGAGAGGCTAAACCCACCCGAGTTAGCAAACAATCCTTAAAGGATGCAAAGGATTGAGGAAGTAAGCCTCATTAACAATCAACCCGTCGTACGGCCATATACAATATTTCAATCTGACGATGTACCGATCACCTGATTATTTGCCCTTCCTCGCCTTCTGGTGGGAACTTGGGCCTAGTACCTTCTTCATTAAAATCCATCTAATTGAGATACAACCCTTTGTTTCATTGGCATCATCATATCTCTCAAGGCACACTAGTACCTAGAGCATGCCTGAACCCTCAAGTGAAATTTCGCTTGATTGCCTCGTCATTCTTAGTTACACGGTCGCCTTTCCAATGGCGTGCTCTGTTATCGAAATTGCAACAAATACACCTTTTTGAATCCTTGAGTCCGATGTGTTTGGACATACTGACATCTCTGTACTTTATGGTTTTAATATACTAGCTTGGTGAACTTCAGAGGTAAGTATAGACGCCGGTATACTTCTATAGCACGCAAGTCTCCGTAGATGGTTTAGTGATAGATCAGAAAAGAAAAAGGAACCTGCTATTACAGTTTCACGGATTTCTGTAAGCTAGCATTTAGTAACTCTCTCTCTACCCTTATTCATTGGCCTGAGATACTCGGCAATGGCTATTCTTACGATGAACAAGAAAGCAACATATAAAATACAAGAGACTGTAGAACCATGATGATGATGATGATGATGATGATGATCTAGTACTACATGCATAAGGACATGACGTGCTATTTAGTAGTAATACAAATCGCGTTGTCGTAGCGGCTATGATTAACCCACAAAGTCTAGCTATGATACAGTTAATCGGACATCAACCACTCCGGGATGGCGTCATCATCTTCTGGGTCTTGCGATAGTAAAGAGGTCTCTTCGTCGCTGTGCGTTTCTTGGCTGGTGATGCTCGGGGTCGGAGAGCGGGAATCATCTGCTTGTACAGCGATCTGAGGATGTGTGGTGCCCGAAATTGCTGTAGTGGATCTGATGATGGCGGCCTCGGAGTTCTGAGGAGCAATATGCTGTGTGATATGCCCCAAGTCCTCTTTCGTCCTGTCAGACAACAGTCCCGATTCATTACTCATGAAGTCTTGGATCGGGGCTGTCTGGCCTGCAGATTCAAGCTTTGGAGTGACAACCAGGTCATATTGAGGGAGGACCGAGCGATTCCTTTGCAATTCTGTGACGTTACTATTTGGCTGAGGTGAAGACACTTGGTCCACGCTTGCTTCAGGAATGAAGCCTCCACCAAGCATATCCGTCTCTGTAGCCGAAAGAGACATGTCTCTGCCTGTAGTGCCTGTAGGTCCTGATGTTTCATCTCGAGAGGGGCCAATCCAGTCCATTACAGAAGCCGGACTGTTCATCTCTTGCTCCGACTCCGGAATAAAGCCGCCGCCTGACTCTTCCGGGTCCTCGGATTCCTTCACGTTTCCGATCCTTCCCGGCTCACCTGCCTCACGTTCACCTTCTACTGCATAGCCTTTGACTCTCTCTGCAATGCGCAGTTTCAGCAGCAGATGCTTCCAAGCCTGCAGTGTTTCAGCAGACTTCCTATCTAATTCAGCCTGCAACTTTTCTCCCTCCAGACAGTTTAGCACTTCTTCAAGTGCTTCTCGATACTCAGTGGCAACGACAATCCCCTGCATGATCGCGGTCCCATGGCGCCCCTTGAAGCTGAAACCGGTGACAGCATCTGCATAGTCAATTGCAAGGATTTTAGCAGCTTGACGGGCATCGGGATGAGCGATATGCACACCGCCTGGAGGCACCATGCTGGGTACATAGACATCCAGGTTCCCATAGATATTCTTGGGTATTCTCCCTCCAACTACTGGCGGGGGCTGATACACTTGTGTCTGATAATAAGCGTACAGAGGTGTGTCGGAGACGGAGTTATCGTCCTCGTTACTGAGCCTCCCCATCTGTGGCTTCCTTGAGGTGACGCGCTTCAACGGTTGCTCGCCTGTCTTAATGTCGCGACCCAGGCGATACCAGCGATCTGCACTACGTAGAGCGTGTACATCGGATCGGCGATATACGGGCTCCAAGACCTGATTCTTCGACGCTGATTTACCCAGGCTAACCTGCCCGATGATCCGTTTAGGAAAGACAACCTCATGTCGCCGAAGGTGCCTTTCAAGAGCATAGACCGGGTGGTCCTTGAAGTCTTGGATATTCCGGGGCATTGGTTCAGCCGCTTTCTTGGAAGTAAGCTCACTAATTTCCAGTTGGTCCCGGTCTTCCAAAAATGGCTTTTCATAGAACCGCAACACTCTGTTCCACCAGTTAACATGGTTCCCCACGCATTCAATTCGAAGTTTGTGAGTTTTGGCGTTAAAGGCTTTCGCATAGCGCCTGGTGACATCTCTAACAGAGGCATCATCCTCAAATGCCACCACATAGCTCAGAAGATTGTAAGGATCGTTTGCTGGAGGCTCGAATTTAGAAGGCTTTGCCATAGACTTGGTAACCAAGGCATCGACAGGTATCCATTTATTTACTGCTTCGTTAAACGCTTCAATCCAGAATACCGGGTGTGATGATTCACGGATGGGCCGGGGGGAACCTTCGGTATGCTCAGCTTCATGCTAGCTTGAACGATAGATGCCGAACTTACTTTGAGAAGGAGTCCCGGGGCGTCTGGCTGGTGTGAAGCGTGGCCGGGCTAATCTTTTCACAGTGGACCGTTGTGACGTTTGCGATTCCTCAGCAGTTGGTTGGGTAAACCTTTCTGAAGATTCAGACACCGGAGCAGGTGGTGCCGCATCCTTGGTTTTATCTCGAAATGGTAATGGCTGCAATGAGCAGACGAGTCTTGCTTCGACGCCCACGGACCGTAACAAAGCACAGAATAACTGGGCGCCAAAATCACGAGAACCTTGCATTGTTCGTGCTTGTTTCACAAAATCCTTCCTCGAGAGGAAGACCTCGGCATCACTTATTATGGATTCCTAACGAGAGGTCAGACACATTTGTGACATATACAACACCGAAGTCAGTTACAATACCACTCGTTGTTTGATACCATTAAGATCATCTATCCACGAAGGTCGTCTCAGTCCTGGTTTGGTTATCTTAAACCTTCTATTGAAAATATCACTAGCACGGTTCAACCCATCAACGAAAGTTGTTGACCTGAATTGTTGTGGCCTGTTCTCGGACGGATGCAATAGTGAGATGATATTTTTCGGCAATGTCCGTTTGAGGAAGCCCTGTAACGGAAACAAAGTCAGGTAAAGATTAGTTCCCTATCTATCATTTTCATTCGGTCTCCTTTCCCTTGGCCGCTTTCCCATGTGTTCTTTTTTTTAGACTCAAGCATGTATGCCTATTTACCAGATAAAGGTTGCTAAATCGGAATCGGACGTACCTGTAATTCCTCATCGTTGCACCAGAGATTGCGTATCTGCACATGGCGTAGGAGGCAAAGTAGATGAACTTTATGGATGCTTAATCGCAACTGCTTTTCGGCAGCGGTGATCCCCCTTCGCTTGGTAACTACCTTGCGCTTCTGATCCTCGGGCAGACCCAGGGTGACCTGAATCGAGGTATCGTCCGCATGAATTGTATGTGGAGCTTGCTGAATATCAACTTCTTCCCATTCCATACCTGATTCTTCGGATGATGATGGCGAATCATACACCGTTTGGACAGGTTGTTCTGTAGAATAGCTGGCATCTGGAGTACTAGCACCATTTTGATGTAAAGGCCATGGTGCGGATACGGGATTGGGGCGGGTAAGCCTCCTTCTTTTGGGTAGTCGGGTATCATCTGGCCTGGAGGACTCTCTAGCTTCAGCCTCCGCCAACATCTCCTGGTAGATCTCTGGAATCTCATGATCTTGGTCTTCTCGCTGCCGCCGCGAATGGTTCGAAGCAGCTCCGGCTCTTCTGGGGCGGGTAGTGGGCCCACGACTCGCCATCATAGAGGGTCAGACGCAAGGTAACAAGATTCAATATCAGCATATGCCTCAAGCATTCTACTGTACTGGCTTTAAATTGTCGCTTGCGTTCTTACTCGGCAGGTGCACTGATGACGCTTATCCAGGCACGTGACATAATGGTTCACCCTGTTTGCCTGTCATCCGGGCCGTGCATTGTTCCGCGCCCTGCGGCTGAAAGCGGGGAGGAGGCTCTGTTTGTTCCTGTTTGTTTTATCTTGCTTGTTGACTTGCCGCGACCGCATTAACTACTACTATCACGAGATCCTCCGTCTATACCACATTGCTAGTCCGGCCTCCGCCCCCTCACTATCTCTCCTGGCTCGATCATCACCATGGAGCTTATCAATAATGGGACAGACTACACCATAGAAGATGTGTGGACATTACCCCTATCCTACAATGTCCAATCCAACTGTGTGAGCTAACACGCGCAGTGCCAAATGGCTCTCAAAACAGCGTTCTTTGAGCGCGAATATGACAGAGCACTCGGGAAAACAGCACAACTCCTAGATGAGGAAAGGCGCCGCATCCTTCACGTCGACCAGCTTCTTCTGCGATTTGATAACGAAACCCTCCAACTGCAACTGAATCAATTCAAACAAGATCTATCACGAGCTAGGAATGCCGAGTCGGATATTCGTAATCGGCTGCAGGATACCATCCGGGAACGCGATCAGTTGCAGAGCTCAGCTCACATTGCAACTCACGAAATTGAGGGTCTTCGAGTATGACAGCACCCTCCATCTTTGGAAATAGCCTATATTGACAAGGGGTTTCACAGCGCGAATTGGCATCGATGAACAGCACAACGGCCGAATCTAGAAACCTTGTTACCGAAAAGCTGCGCCTGACCAAGGAGCTGGCTAACATGCAGTCAGAGGTCCACAGACTACAGCTGCAGGAAAATTCCTTCCAAGCACTGGTTACTGAGAAACAAGAGCTTACCCGTCATTTGAATACAGTTAAGGTGGAATTTGAGAATGAAAAGCGCGCACACAGATCCACTATGGCGCAGGGAGCACAGCAAGCGGATGAAATATCTGTCTTGACTGCAAAGCTTGAGGAGCAACGCAAGCAAATTGCAGCAGAGGCTCGAAAAGTGCCTGCTACTCAGCAACCGAATAACATGTGGCAGTCGGAGAAAGCTGCCCTGGAAGACAAAGTCGAATCACTGAACAGGAAACTACGGACCCTAAAGGATGAGCTGCGTCAAGCTCAAACCAGCAACCAAACCAGCCGATTTGAGACCAGTAACAGCAATGATCCGTTAGAGCAAACGAGAAAAGTCCCCCTCAAAGACTTCTCATCCAGATTTGACCCTGGGTTGGATATCGCGACGCCGGGAGCAGTCCGTGTCAAGGAAGGGAAACGGCAACCTACTGCAGTTCCTGGCCAGAAATCTGTCTTCTCTATCACGCCATTTCTCAATCGCACCAATGGAAACCAGGAAACCTCTGGCGATACTTCAGACAATAGAGCGGGTGCTGATCGTCTCGGCAGCGATGATGAATCTGCGCTGGAGACTTCATACCTCGAGGACAAATTACATGTCAAGGAATCTGAAGCCGAGCCACGAGAACGCCGCCCTATACAGGCCAAGCAGCGCTTGGATAAATCTGAGCCGGCAATGAATTCTAGAAAAGGAAGCGGTTTGAGGCTAGATGATATTGATGATGACAGTGATATCGGATCCATTAGCGCTCTTGTTGCGGGTCAGCCGCAGATCCGGACGAAACGCCGCAAGTTAGGGGCGCAGAGCAAGACTATATTGGATGAGGAAGAAGAGCTAGAGCCTGAGAATATTCGCAAACCGGGAAGGAAAATCGGTCTGAGTACAGGTCACACCAGCAGCTTACAGACTGCCCAAAGTGGGCCGCCTCGTGGCTTTGGTGGCTTCGGCGGATTCTCTCCCTTAAAAAAAGAGAGAAAACGACCGTAAGAGTCAGAATCAAGCGTCTCTCCGAATTCATCATTCAAACTCCTTGATACTAGTCTTCCGCGTCTTTTCTTGCGCAAGTTCCACCATAGGAATCTAATTCTATAATACTTTGTGTCAATTCACACTGGATTTTGACAAGGAGGTCAGATAAGGTCCTGGAACAGGTTTCATGATGTCCTCTGTAACATTGAGGTGTGCTGTCACGTAGTAGTACTACTAACTACTACTTGGTAGGCATGAGTAATTCTAGACTGGGATAGACTGTGTTACTAATATACCACTGGCCATAATCAACCAATCAGAGGCTATGAAGATGACGCCATGAGAGCTGCTGGACTCTGTGCCTCAGGCTGCCACGTGCGCCGCCTCCGCAATTATGCCGAAGATAAATTATTAACCCAAGTACTGCCTCTACTGACATTATCCGTGTCATCTCTTCTCTGTCGGTCATAGAGTTGCTGTTGGCTTATGATGAATCCAATGGCTGCAGGCCGCACACTTCCGAGAGCTCTAAGAGCTTCTCGGCTTCTCAATCAGCATACGAGCTTGTCTACAATTACCGGAAGTCAGCGAACCCAAGCCTCTTTATCGGCATCGTGTCCGGCAACATACAGGGCCCTGCATACTACCCGATCGCAAAAGTCGACCAATGCTGCTGCGAGGGACTCGTCCAACCCCGCCATGTCTTTTCCGTGTCTCGATGCGCAGGATGCAAAGTCTGCCCAGCTCTCCGCACGATCCCTCCAGTCGGGCCCCGAACCTTCATATACCACTGGCCACCACCGAAAGTTTCACTGCGAACAACCCTTACTACTTGATTGGGGGGGTATACTTCCAGAGTTTGACATCGCCTACGAAACATGGGGCCACTTGAATTCTGACAAGTCGAACGCTATCTTACTGCACACCGGTCTGTCCGCGTCCAGTCACGCCCATAGCACGGAGGCCAACCCCAAGCCCGGCTGGTGGGAGAGATTTATCGGGCCTGGCAAACCTTTGGACACAAACAAGTACTTTGTCATCTGCACCAACGTCGTTGGAGGATGCTATGGTAGCACAGGGCCTTCGTCAGTGGACCCCTCTGACGGAAAGCGATACGCTACTCGGTTCCCTATCCTCACGATTGACGACATGGTTCGGGCACAGTTTCGTCTCCTGGACTCACTTGGCATCAACAAACTCTACGCCTCTGTCGGATCCAGCATGGGCGGTATGCAGAGTCTTGCTGCCGGTGTTCTTTTCCCTGAAAGGATTGGCAAGATTATCAGTATCAGTGGTTGTGCGCGAAGCCACCCCTACAGCATTGCCATGCGACACACCCAGCGACAAGTACTGATGATGGACCCGAAATGGGCCCGTGGTTTCTACTATGACTCGATTCCTCCGCATTCTGGAATGAAGCTGGCGAGAGAGATCGCAACCGTGACATACAGAAGCGGTCCGGAGTGGGAGAAGCGGTTCGGGCGCAAACGCGCAGACCCTAACAAGCAACCTGCTCTGTGCCCGGATTTCCTGATTGAGACATACCTGGATCACGCAGGAGAGAAGTTCTGCCTGGAATACGATCCTAACAGTCTGCTATACATCTCCAAGGCCATGGATCTGTTTGATCTCGGCCATGCTCACCAGACCGAGACCAGAGCTCGAAGAGCCGAGTTTGAGGCTGAAATTGCTGACGGCGGAAAGGCCCTGCACGAAAGCAATATCTCATGTAGTCTGACTCTCCCAGAGAAACCTTACGAGGAGCAACCCTCTGTAAACGCCTCCGCTCCTGCTATGGACCAGGCTGTGGGTGGTGGTGATATTGGAGCAGATGCTCCCCCGCAGGATCTTGTCGCCGGCCTTGCGCCGCTCAAGAACCACCCGGTTTTGGTCATGGGCGTCGCCAGTGATATCCTCTTTCCGGCTTGGCAACAGCGAGAAATCGCCCAGACCCTTCGGGCTACCGGAAACAAGAACGTCGAGCACATTGAACTTGGAGAGGACGTTTCGCTCTTTGGGCATGACACGTTCCTTCTGGATTTGAAGAACATCGGCGGTGCGGTAGCCAAGTTCCTGTAACCAACGCAAACCGGAGCAACAATTATTATTATTATTTTTTTTTTTCTTTTCCCATGTGGTAATGAAGAAAGCGGGCGATGATTTGTGTTTAGCGCGATGTTGTTGTCTCATTTCATTCTATGACTAGCTGTATATATTATGTTGAAGCAGTAATACTAGTAGCCTCGGTCACGTGACCCCTACATACCAAACAACCCCTACTTCTACCCTCGCTGCGCAACCCCTAGATAGGAACACAATACAAACAACTCTCTGCCCTTTCTTTACTTTCTACGAGTAGATATTCCAACAGGTTATAAGCCCGGTCCTTTCTACTGTGAAGCTATTCAGAACTGTTAAACAGGATTGTTAACATTAAATAAGACAGAGAATCTACGGCCACTGCAGTAGTGGTAAACAGGAATGTGCCGGTCTTAATGATATTAAAATCATGCTATATAACACCAAATCACTCTTTCTACGGGCCACCAGCCACAAAATTAGCCAAGATGGCGTTCTAAGTGGGAAGCAGTATTAATATCAAAGATCTATTATACAGTAAAAAGACTAAGAAAGCAGCTACATAGGTGGATTAATTACCCAGGATTACTGTCAAAACCGTGTCAGGATTATCTCTTCTATTATATGACCGCTCTAATTTCTACAACTAGGACTTTGAGCTGAAGCAGATACTGAAGAATATTAGATTAGAGGATCTAGTCAACCTGAAACTTCCGAAATTAAATAAGAACCATAAAAATTATGAAGAATGGTATAATTACTTATAAATCATATAGTCCTGGCTGGCTGGCCAGCTATCAGAAGAAGTAAGAAAGAAGTTCAGGAAATCTAAAGAAAAAAAGAATTATATTGATGATGTATACAAAGTTATAAGAAGCATTATACTGGGCCATGATATAGTAAAGTACTAAACTGTTATTATCAGATTAATAAAGATTACGCGTTCTGATTACTCTACTGCACATTAATTTGTTAATGATTTCAGCAATATCTATGACCTCGCAAGTAAGCTAGAATACCTGCTATCACTGTATCTAGCAAGTCTTAAACTACTATATAAACTACAGATAGATTTCCTTATCTGGGTGTTAATACAGGAACACATGATCCCAGGAAATACAGGGAAGACCTATACTAAAGCATAATTTGAAGAGCTTTGCAGGAGCACTATTAAAGAAAATAAGAAATATAAATTAAATGAAATTGGTACTGCTATTATCAGCAGAAATAAAAGCAGAAACCCATTAAATAAGCCTAATACTACCAAAGAACAGTGGAAGACAGCTACTTACCTGGAAAAAGGTATTCTTCCTGAAGACCATGCTGTAAAGATATGCAATATGAAGCCAGAGTATATTAATAGTACCTGCGTATACTGCAGATCAAGAGACCATGGCTTATCAAAGTATTAGTATATTAATCCAACCTTATGTCTGGCAGGGTGGATTCCCTACATAAAAAGTATCTGGTTTTTCAAGGAAAGGACTAATAAAGGAAAAGATGACTCCAAAGCAGCTGTAGTAGTATTATCTATAAAACAGATTACTGAGATACCTGCTCAGCATGTTACCCTACACGAGGCAGATTCAGATAATAAAAATTTGTATATTTTAAATTTTAGTGGTCTAGCAGTTAGAAATACTACTAGCAAGTTCCTATACTAGATCTATGATACTGGCAGCTTACAGTACCTGACTCCTGATTATGCCTTGCTAAATGACTATTAGGATCTAAATGACTACAATTTTTATAAATACAGTATCTCTGACAGCGGTGTTGGTGTTATGAAGTCAGCAGGCTATTGATCCCTGTTTCTATCTACAAATAATAAAAGTATTAAATTGAATATTAAAGTATACTACCAGCTAGACCTTGTCTACAGGCTTCTTTCAGCAGACTGCCTGTGTAAGGACTTCGGAATATATGCTATTATAAAAGACCTGACCCTATGTAGGAAGCAGGATAATAAAGTAGTTGGCCATCTGCAGGCATGCAAAAATGTGCTTTTTATACATACAGAAAATGCAGGAATGGCCTTCACTGCAGTAGATCCTCTCCTGCTACACCAGCACTATGGGTATATAAGATTCTGCAGAGTTGCCTCCGCTGTGAAAAATCAACAAATTGAACTTGAATATAGGGACGACCTCTACTGTGAGGTGTGTTTCTTAGGTAAAGTAAAGTGCCTAGTATCGAGGCATCTGATTCCATGGACCGCTGACCTTACCTAACTGTGGCACACGGATGTGCAGAAGGTGATTCCAATAGGTCATGGAGGATTCTAATATTTCATGGTCATGATTAACAATGCTACCTGTTTAATATGCACTGTTATGCTAAAGCAGAAGAATGATGTCTCCATAGAGCTGATTTGAATGAATAACAAACATAAGAATATGGTCGGTAGATACGTCGCTTACTGGTATCTAGATGGGGGCTGTGAATTCAATAGATTCAAGGAATGGGCAAACCATGAAGATCGAGGTATTTAAGTTATTATATTATTACTACGAACACCTGAAGCAAACGGTCTCTCTGAATGATATAGAGGCTTGCTTAACCAAATGAGCAGGGTTATGTTACTTGATTCTGGCTTATCTTTTTATCTTTAGCCATACGCTGTACGCCTAGCAGCGCAGATTCTAAATTGACTGGTCCCTGTAGGAAGCGAAGCTAAACAAGCACCTGTTCAGTTATACAGATTATATTATAATCTTTCTAATCCTGATGCCTCTCTAGACTTCCTATATGTATTTAGATGCCGCTGCTACCAGTATATATTTAAAGAGAACCGTGTTGCCTCCAGGAAGATGTTGCCTTGTGCAGAAACTGGCTACTTTATTAGTTTTGACGGTGATAATAGCCATGTATGCCTAGTATAGTATCCTGCCTCAGATAAAGTTAAAAGATCAAGGGATATCATCTTCTATGAAGATTACACGTATAAAGATGACTATGAAGATCCTGGTAGAGTAGTTAAAATATCTATTTTTAAGGGTCCGATTACGCCGGGATCAGATATCTTGCTTAACTTTGATGATACTTTCCTGCGTTAATCAGATAATACAAAGATTAATATTGCTAAGATTCTTCCTGCCCCGGATGATATTACTGACAAGTTTGTGTATGGAAGAATACAGATCCTATCTATCTTTACTGAATCTATAGAAAGTGTTATCAGAAATGTTCCTACCGCTCTAATCCCCTTAATCAAGAACCCTATAGAATATAAAGTGTTGACGAAATACGCCTATCAAGATTACTGCCTTGCTGAACCTGAGCACCTTGATACCACTACCACTAATACTCTGAGGCGATTCTAATATATTACAAAAGGCAAAGGTCTTACGTGGATTGGGAATGAGCAAGTGGCTGTGTTAGAGCAGGAATCTGACCTGCCTGCCTTGCCCATACTAAAATAACATAAAGTTGCTGTATTAAATACCTACACTGAAGCAATTATGTTCCCGCTTGCTCTATACTGGAGAGCGGCCATGACCATACAGATTAATATACTTAAATCAATGAAAATCTATGAGATTGTTGACCGGTCTGCTGGCACTAGAATGATCCCAGGCAAGTAGGTATTTGATCTAAAAGTCAACACTGAAGACATTATTATATAATTCCATGCTCACTGGGTTGTTTGTGGCAACTGCCAGGTGCCGGGCATTGATTATGACGAGTTCTTTGCCCCCGTGGCCAGCGAAATCATGTTTAAAATATTCATAACGAGTGTGGCAGTAAAGCACCTTCACTGGGAGCAGTGTGATATTATATCTGTCTATTTACATACTCTAACCAAAGGAAAGTATGTCTACATGAAGCAGCTAACAGGATACCATGAGGGACCATCCAAACAAGTATATCTTCTGAAAAAGGCTTTATACAGACTTCGCCAAGCGGCCCACCTCTGGCATCGTATATTTGATGATAAATTATAAGAAATTGGATTTAAACCTCTACCAGAAGATCTCTGCGTCTATAGAAATGGAGAGATCTGGCTTATAATCTATATTAACAACTCTGCTATCACTGGCCCCAAGCAGGAGGATCTGATATTAGTAAAATATTATCTTGATAAGGTATTTAGTCTCAAAGAACTAGATGAACCAAAGATCCTGCTCAGATATAACATCTTATATGATTACCAAGCAAATATAATCTTGCTATCACAGTCTATCTATATAGAGAAGTGCCTTGCTGCAGCAGGCTTATAATCCTATATTAGCACTGTTATTCTAATGGTCCCTGCTTATAAGAAGACAGATCGCTCAAAAATGACTACAGATAATATTGATATTAACAAATATCAGAGGCTAGTTGGTCGTTTGAATTGGTTAACTACTAAAATATATCCTGATTTACGCCACGCCATCTTCCGCCTATAAAGACATATGAATAAGGCTATTACAGCAGATATAAAGGCCTTGAAGACTGTATACAGATATTTATGTGACTTTATCTTCTACAGTATCACTCTGGCTGCAGACTATACTAAAGGTATTAAAGTTTATATAGATACCACACGTGCTGACTACAAGGATGGTAAGTCCACTGAAGAATATATCATTTTTTATGCAGATGGCCTAATCGCCTGGGCATCTACTAAATAAAGTATTATTACACCTTTATCTATTGTTATAGAATACTGCGCATTTGACTCTGCCACCAAAGACACCCTGTATATCAAGAAACTGGCACAGGTATTTGATCTCAAGATATCTAATAACAGTAAAATACCCTTGTTCAGCGACACTGCCAACTTGCTAAGAATACTGAACCATGGCGGCTACACAAAGTCAACCAGATAGCTTGATAACCGCTACCTGTTTGTAGCAGATCTAATCAAAATAAACATTATATTGATCTAACATGTTACTGGTGTAGCCAACCCCGCTAATAGCCTTACTAAACCACTGGATCGGGAACCATTCTATGTATTCAGACACTTTCTACAGATGATCCTTCTTCCCACTACCAGTACCACTGCCGTACATCCCGAAAATGATGTTTAAGATACAAAAAATTGCTTATCTAGAAAAAGAATATGATTTTAACACCTTGTTCAATGCTTCCTCGCCTAGGGGGCCGTGTTGAAGCAGTAATACTAGTAGCCTCGGTCACGTGACCCCTATATACCAAACAACCCCTACTTCTACCCTCGCTGCGCAACCCCTAGATAGGAACACAACACAAACAACTCTCTGCCCTTTCTTTGCTTCCTACGAGTAGACGTTCCAACATATTACATATTACCTCATTCCCTGCAATGCCCTGTATCTAGATACATTTCACGCATCAAGACGGAATACGATCATCCCCTAATCCTCGTGGAAATCATTTCCAACTCCCTAGTTATTATTAGTTAACTCTGCTAGCTACTAGTTTAGTCTCCTGTGGATTTACCTAATAGCATGGGCTGTCCCGAAGCGGTAAGGTCCCACTGCCTCAGGGTTCAAAATGTTCCGAGCCGCTTCGGCCAATGACGATGTCCGAATTCCTGGGTTGGGATGCCGAAAACGCCGACTCCCTCTGAGCGGAGCGCATCTTCCGGCGCGGTGCCAGGAGACCTACGGCTTCCACTTCCCAAGTCTTCCTCTCACCCCTCTTTGGTGCTTCTCGTCGTGGCTGTCCTTGGATGGCCTATCTCTTATCTTGGAATTGATGCTTCCCCACGTCTAATGGAGCTGTTACTGTAACTATGTCTGTGCTCTGTTGAATACAGTTCCCGGACAACCCGCACGACAGCTCCACGGTGGGCGAAAAAGAAAAATTCAGGAAAAAGGGAAAGCCACGATCCAGGCTCGCCTCCTTTTCAATTCAATGAGCTCGCCTTCAGGCCGCTGAATCCTCAACCGTTCGATCCTCACATCGTCTATCTTCTCCTTGAAACGCCAGCTCGACAGCTAGAGCGGCCGAAGCCCTGCCCAATTGCAGTGAGAGACCCGGCACTTGCGCTCGGCGAAATACCTCCCTCTTAGCTTGTCTTCGACCAGCTACGACTTATTATACTCAATTGCAACACCCTCCTCATGGTATCCGTCACTAGTGGGGGCCCAGGGCTTGAAAGCCCGACCCTGTCCGACTCGCGAAACGCCGGTCCGGCCTTGTCGTCACGATCTCCGGAACGCAATGAACATCGGAAACCTCAGGTACCAAAGGCATTGGCTGGGGGCAGTGCGCAAGACAATTATATACAAGGCTTGGAAACTGAATTCAAATTAAAGCATCTAGGTGTGCTTGGTGTGCTAGGGTGGATATTGTATGCTTTTGTCTCTGCGTCCAAGCCGCTTCTTCTTTGGGGACCCGAGTTTTCTAACCTATCTGTGGTTCCCTAGGTTTTTGCATGTTGTCGGGATATTCTTCTTTACTAAAGGATTCCTGCTAACTCGCATGGTTTTGGAGAACAAGTCATCCTGCGACTCACTCCCCTTCGACGAGGCAGCGACTGTGAGCAAGAAAGTCGATGGGTGTTGGCACCAGAAGTCGTTCGAGAAAGCCGTTGTGATCATCATCGATGCCCTACGCTACGACTTTACGGTACCCTTTGCTCCGAGCGCAAAGGCTGAGTCGGCACAACTGTTCCATGACCACCTTCCCATCTTATATGAGACAGCTGTCAATACCCCCGAAAATGCCTTCCTGCTTCCTTTTATCGCGGATCCGCCCACGACGACGCTGCAGAGATTGAAGGGACTTACGACTGGAACACTTCCCACGTTCATTGACGCTGGTTCTAACTTTGCCGGTACGGCAATCGATGAAGACAATCTGGTTGCGCAATTGCGCGCCGCAGGCAAGAACTTGGTTCAGCTTGGGGATGACACCTGGCACGCACTTTTCCCCGGCTACTTCGATCCTAATCTAACTCGTGCGTTTGATTCATTTAATGTCTGGGACTTGCACACCGTTGACAACGGCGTGACTGCAAACCTCCTCCCACTTCTGCATCCTGAAAATTCTACGAAATGGGATGTCATCTTCGGTCATTATCTCGGTGTCGATCACGCTGGCCACCGATATGGCCCGAACCATCAAGCTATGGCCGCAAAGCTCGATGAGATGGACCGGGTCATTCGCGAAATCATCGCCAAACTCGATGACAAAACGCTATTGGTGGTGATGGGTGATCACGGCATGGACTCCAAGGGAGACCACGGCGGTGAATCCAATGATGAGGTCGATGCGGCTCTATGGATGTACTCAAAAAGGGGCATCTTCGGCCGCACAAGTGCAGAAACAGCCAAACCTCCCATGCTCGCTCGCGATCGCTTTGTCCCTCAGATCGACCTTGTGCCCACGCTGTCCCTTCTTCTCGGAATGCCTATTCCCTTTAACAACCTCGGCTCGCCGATCGAGGAGGCTTTCATTGGGCCCAAGGGGAACGATTGGAAGAACGTGATGTCTGTGAACCGGTTGACTTCCGCTCAGATTAAGAGATATCAGCGGGAGTACACAGCTTCGCGAGGTGCCGAGGACAGCCACCAATCCCAGTCCGAGGACCTTTGGAGGGCGGCTGAAAACAGCTGGCAGAAGCTTCCTAGGATCGGCCGGCCCAGTCAGGCAACTTTGCTTTCCGTTTCCGAGTCTTACAAGGACTATCAACGATACACTCTCCAGCTTTGTCGTTCGTTGTGGGCTAAATTCGATGTACCGAGCATGCTCCAAGGTGTTGCGGTCCTTTCTGCCGGCATTGTCTTGCTGGTGTTTTATGCACGAAGCCTCAAAGCCGATCAGACGGACATTACCAAGTCTCTTCTTACTTCTGTTGGAACAAGCTCTGCTGTCGGTGTCGTCGTTGGTGCCTTTTTGTCGTTCTCGGGCTTTGCGGAGATGCCAGTAGTCGAATCATCCGCTCTGTTGGCCGCCGCGGGAAGCATAGTTGGCGCTTCATGGACCATTCTTGCCGGGTCGGCTGGTGTGTCCCTGCCTCTACCAATCAGTCTCTGGGGCTGGTTGGCTGTTACCTTCACGCTCACGCAGTCCATCGGATTCGCCTCCAACTCCTACACAATCTGGGAGGATGAGATTCTCCTGTTTTTCCTCTCCACCTTCGGTGTTCTTGCGGGCGTATCCTCGATGCGACAGAAATCAACTGCCGACAGGGTTCTGGGCGTCTATCACTCCATCCTCTTCGTCATCCTCGGAAGAATTGCATCTTTTTCTCGCTTGTGCCGCGAGGAGCAGATGCCTTTTTGCCGTTCGACGTATTACGCATCTGCCACTTCTTCGACTTCTGCACCCTGGCAGCTCGCTGTACCATTCCTTGTGGCGCTTATCCTTCCCACTGTTGTACGGTCATTTTATGCCGGATCCAAGTCTTACGAAGGCGCCGCTACTCTCTGGATTGGTTTAGGGTTCCGACTGGGACTCTTCATAACTTCCGTCTTCTGGGTGCTTGAGGGGGCTGATGATGGCGAGTGGCTGCCCTTGAGCAAGGAGACATTGAAGTCAGTTAGGGTATTCTTGGCCCAGCTCGTGCTAGCTCTCGCATTTGCCGCTGGGACAACAGCCTTCATCTATTCCAAGCCTTGCATCAGCATTAATGTCAGTCAAGGGAACGCGGAACCGGAAAGCAAAGGCAAAAACCTCGCGCCACCCCAGCCAGCAGGACGCACCACCGTTACGATCCTCGGATTTGGCAATGTGCATGGAACTCGCTACTTCCTCCTCGTGGTCAATTTCTGTTTGGGGATCATCCTTCTGCAGAAACCCATGGGTCAGGGTGCCATGGGTCTTCTGCTTTGGCAAATTCTCTCACTGCTAGAAATTTTGGATACCAATGGTCTCGTCCTTGGCAATTCAGCTATTGGGCCGATCGTTTTGGCTCTTCTCGGCTCTTTCTATTACTTCAAGACTGGTCACCAGGCTACACTGAGCAGCATCCAATGGGAGACTGCCTTCATCCCTCTCTCCTCCGTTCAATATCCATGGTCTCCAATTGTTGTGATCCTCAATACCTTCGGCGCACAAATTCTTACTGCAATCGCTGTTCCTCTCACCGTTCTCTGGAAACGCCCTCTCCAACTCAGCGACCAATCCTCTTCGTCTCCGAAGTCCAACAACCCTTCGATTAGGCTCCTCTCTGATGTTGTGCGAGCCGAATGCACCTACATTCTCTACTTTGCGACTATTAACCTGGCCACCACCATGTGGGCTGGCCATCTTCGCCGGCATCTCATGCTGTATCGGATCTTCAGCCCTCGTTTCATGATGGGAGCCGCCGTGCTAGGAGTCGTGGACATTGTTCTCATCGTTTTCTCCGTGGCTGGTGTGCGGTGGAGCACCTTGAGTGTAGGAGAGATCTTTGGGTGGTAGTGATCTCTTCTAGTTGATGGCGGATATTAATTCTCAGCCATCCTGGCTTTCCTTTGTTTACTGCCAGATGATACCCGAAACGTGAGTCCCCTTGCCTAGCGTTCCGGCCTGAGGAAATCTGTAATTTATGGTATCCCCGTATACCGTTCTTTTTTCAACTTTGGGGATGCTTGGATTGGTGAGGAAACTAGGCCGGAAACATTCTACACCCTTCCTTATATTTTCTTTTAGCTTGCATATATTTATATTCCTCGAATAATACATAACTTTGATCCAACTCCTAAGCACAGAAAATACTAAGTGGAACGTAATACCCGAGATTCCAAACCAGGCAAGGGGCTTGCTGTTGATCCTGCCTATGTCAAGAAGACCCATGGAACTGACACGTTGGGGGCACCATGCATAGGATAAGGTTTCATTAAGAAACCTGCTTAATTTCAGCTGTGATCTCACACACTCGCTATGTAGCCATATCAGCATCTAGGTATCTCACCCCTTTGCGCTAACCGATATTATATCATTGTCCCATCGGTCCTGAAGGCTTGGTCAATTACATAAAACAGCGCGTTTTCAGTCACAACCCGCAATAAGTGAGGTTAGTGATTCATCCTATTCTTGGAATTGCCAAAAGTACAGATAATCTTTTTGCAGAAGGCAAACTCAGACTTACAATCAGGATTTGGGATGAAACTGCAGGTAAGGTTTTCCACGGGCCCATAGACTATACTAGTACCACCTGTATCTCAGGATCCAAGTAATACTATGATGTACTCCTTTCTCACTAAAATGTGATACTGGCCGATTTTGCACAGGGCTCTAAAGTTCTAGCCGTAATATCGATTCTATTGATACACCAATCCACGGACCATAAAACCAGCGTTTGGGACCAATGGCCAAATAGGCGCAGGCAACTGCTCTGCGAGCTGTACTATGCCGCTTGGTTCCATGATAATGGAACATCCTATCAAATCGGCATTTCACGCTTCTCATGCTTATGCGGATCCCTCAATACGATGTATCCAACAACCAGCCAGCCACAACGACAACTGTAACCTGTTTCTCGATGTAGACGGAAATTGCATGTGCTCTGATCACGACATCGTATAGTGTCATGGGATCGGTCTGAACCAAAGTACATACCTCACTTCACCACTGACCAGAAATTTCACGACGCTCATTTGACCCTTTATTATCTCAGAGGCGCACCGTCCCTTCGCACTCGAGTGTAAGGACTCCCAATCTTACTCCAAGCCCTAAGAGGTCCACCAAGCAAATGACATTTCCAGACTCATCATCCCAGCTCCTCTCCCCGGTGGATCACACAGTCCCCAAGGTGTATTTCACTTTCTATCTTTCCTTCCTCCTAAAGGATCCACAGGCCGGCGTTGAATCTATCCAGAAGGGTCTTACAACCTTGATCAATCGAGTTCCATTCCTAGCGAAAGATGTGGCGCCCTCCCACGTTGAGAACCATGACAATGTCCACTGCATTCAGCCCCCGTCAGCCACGTCCCAGTCCATACCTATGCTTCGAATCAGACATCACCTGAACGAATCAATCCATTCAATGCTAGCCACTGCATCATGTATCGGCGTCGAAGACCTGCAATATTCCGAACGATATGCCCCATTGCCAACAGTAATGGATCCCCAAGAAAGCCAGCCCATACTGCGCTTCGTCGCGAATGTCATGGTCGATGGCGTCATTCTATCGCTTAGTTTCAACCACATGGCTGCAGACGGCACAGGAATTGGGAATATTCTGGTGCTACTGGCGGAGTGCTGCCGCAATGAACGCAAGCACCTTGGCCCCCAACGATTCGACTTGGAATTGCGCCGTCAGTTATCCTCGCCCAGTCGTGTTGCAGGAAATCAACCGCTAAAGACGTTCTGGGAGACATACACCCCTGAGGAGCCCTTTCATTGTCTGGAACAGGATACCTGGTCCATGGCCACTGCCTCGATGGCCTCCGAGTTGAATACATTTCGATTCAGGTTTCCTACCCGGAAGATCAAAATCCTGAAGGACATCTGCACTTCTGTGCTGTCATCACATCTCGAAGAAGACAACATGCTGAGCAAGGAGCTCCGGCACTTTGTTTCAAGCAACGATGTGCTCACCGCGTTTCTATCTATCTGTCTCCAGCAGACGCGAACTGTCGAAGCCGCTTTGCACGATGACCACGATTACACCGTCGCATTCGTCGCAAATCTCCGTTCCCGTATGCGTCCACCCTGGCCTGAGCACTACATCGGCGTCCTGCTCACCATGGTGCTTGTTTCCCAATCCAAGTTGATTAATTTCGTGGACGAGACAAAGGTCAATCTTGTAGCAGGTGAGCTGGGATTCGACAAAGACGAGCTAGTGCAGATCACAAACCTGTCTATGAACATGCGCAAGAAGCTGCAGGAGATTGATGACGGTTATGTGCGAGGGCTACTCGCTCATATGCAAAAACAACGTGATTGGAGCCAGATGAATATCAAGGGAGGAGATTTCTCATATTCTAGCATCAGACACCTGAAGGTTCACGACCTAGACTGGGGTCCAAGTCTGGGCAAGATTGCGGGGTTTCGGTTGTATTTTGGTTTGCTTGAAGACTTTTGCCTCTTGCTGCCTGCAGACCAGACGGGAGACTGGGATATGCAAATTAGTCTACGGCCAAGTCATCAGCGGGCGTTGATGGAGAATCGGTTGTTTCGGTGGGCCACAGGGGATTAGCCTGGTAGTCGTTGGTGGCTGCTTCGAGTGAATGATACTGGCATTAAGTCACCACTAGATTACTATGGAGGCTAAGTATCAGCATGATTTCACAAGTCCAATTGCGTTGGCCTTAGCCGCTGCGCGAATCTATATATATACTCTGGTCGTCAAGGTTACAAATTGATTCTGACGATGCAATGGAGTCAACAGGTGTCCACGACCAGACTACTAAGCGGCCTATTCATAGTATGATTCATCCTACTGCAAAAGGTTGCGGTAGTATGGATGACAATGCATACAACACATCATGATAGCCCTCCAATAGCTTGTACATGAATGAATCTACGTATGTAGCTGTGAAAATACCGTTGATTGTGGGGCTGCTTCGGGCCGTGACCCCTGGATTGCCCATGTGGCCGGGAGTCCACTTCAATAAACTGCAGACGAACGTCTTGGGGCATATGGCATATACTACAATTATTACATAGTATACAATAGTATTCTCCCTGTAGTACTGCCAACCGTTGATGGTGGCTGGTGGCTGGGTAGTAAGTAGTAGTACTTAAATGAATGTCTGTGATGTTTATCCGGGCTGACGAATGGCTGCGGGATCACCTGATGCATAGAAATGTTCCATCCCCTTTGCTTCCCGTGGGTTTCCCCTGAATCAATCACGTGACATCAGCCGCTCCCGTCCGGGGGCTAAGATACTACGAATAAGGTAAGAAAGATACAGCAAATGACTGGGGGACCCGTTCGTTGGCGGAGGTTCCGTTCCATGCTCCCAACACCACCTCCTCCTTTGTGCGCTATATTTTCCTTGTCCACTCGTCAGCAAATAGTGTTTGTCTTTGTCGCATAAACTGATTGTTTTTATTATTATCTATCCATCTACCTCCCAATCATTTTAGTCCTGAAATCTCTCTGGCGGTATTCCGACTGCCGCGGAGAATGGCGACTGTTTGTTGATCCGCCAGATCAATTGACCATTGCGACCTCCTGCTTGCTTCTTCAGTCCGTCTTTCACGCTGAAATCGCTATCATGAGTACGTTTGACATACATTCTCCCCGGTCGTCTTATGGCGAACCGACGCAGTATAACACCGCCTCCTACTATGGCGAACCATCGCAGCCGCCGCCAACCACCGTGCTGATGAATGGCTACCACAATGCCCTGAACTCGCAACCCGTGGAGAAATCACCTTACAATTATCCGAAGCCCACCAACCCACAAAACTCAACATTGCGCAATGCCCACGACCCCGTCGCCATGTACCTATTGACCGAGACCGCCATGACCGACAGCACACACTACGAGATCTTGTCCTTGGAGGAAGTGGAGGGCTTGAAGAAGGAGCACAAATTCTTGTCTAGCAGGTTGAACGCTGCCAGGGGGAATCTGGCCCTGGAAATGAAGCTCCGCGATGCGGCCATGTCGCTTAGCAAACTTTACACCACCAAGAGCTCCCGTGCGAGCGGGGAATATGATCTGGACTCGTCCCCCGATTCTCGTCGGAGCTTCCTGGGGCCCAACGGCTCCTCCCCGGATAAGACAGAAGAAGAGCTCGCGCAGAGCACTCGGAAATGCGAAGAGCTGGCCAAGGAGGTCTGGAATCTGGAGCAGAGAGTACAGCAAATCAACAACAGGTTGCTGGAGCATACAGCTGGGATCTTGCAGATGACACATAAGGGCCTGAAGAAAAACCTGCAAGGCAATATAGCCGATACGCCCGAGACCCTCGCTAGCCCTAATATGCATGGTAGCATGCACGACTTCGACGAGCGCAGCCTTTACAAACCGATCGAGGAGATGGGTGAAGCCTATGGATCCGAGGCGCGGAATGGACGTGGCTTGGGCAGCGCCGGGTTAGAGGCGATCCAAGACACAGAACGAAAATTGGAGTATCTAAGTGGACGGCTACGGAACATGATCCTCCAGTCGAACCCAGACAGCGGTCTGGCGCCAATTCCGCAACCCTCCCCAGGTCAAGACCCAAACTATCCTACAGCAACGTGCGAAGCACACCTCGCATACATCGAAGAAGGGTTAGACATGCTTGGCTCGAGCGCTTCCGGTGGTCCGTCCCAGACCAGGGGTGTCGACTACGATCACGAGCATTTGGAAGAGATTAACGCGCGATTGTACAGCGTTGTTCAACAGTCTGGAATACCGCATGCTCAAACGTTGCCTCCTCCACCAGACTCATCTCAAAGCGACGCGGCAGAACACCTCGCCTATCTCAGTGCGGGAATTAGTGGGCTTGAAGGACGGATCGACAAACTGCTTGAACAAAAGAGCATCCTCACGACACAAATCCAACAACAGAGGGAACTCAACTCCAAATCGGACGCGGAGAGAGACGCGCACATTGCTGAACTAGTCGAACAACTGGCCCATGTACGCAAAGACCTTGAACTATCAGAAAGCGAAGGTCAACAGTCGAGGGCTGAGCTAGAGCAGGCCTTGGAACAGCTCAAGGTTCTGCAGCAGGAGCTAGAAGGCCATAAGGAAGAGCACAAGATGGAGAATGTCTCTGGTGCTATGGCATCCGAAAAAGAGGCTCGCGCGCACGCTGAAGAGGAAGTCGAACGCCTACAAAGTATCATTCAGGACCTCGAGCGCCAAAAGGAATCGCACGCTGAGGCTCATGACGCGCGAGCCCGAGCAGAGGACGAACTTGCTCGACTTGAAGCTCATGTTGAAGAACTCCGGTCTCAGCACACTACTCGCACGGAAGAGCTCACTGCAGCGCACTCCCAGGCCCAGGCCGAAATCACACGCCTGCAAGGCGTGCTTGACCAGAGTCAAGGTGAAATCGATGCCAAAATTGCAGCCGCTGAGGCGGTCCGTCTCGAACACCTCCAATCTCAAGCTGATACCCATGCCGAAGAGCTTGCTTCAGCCCGCGCACAGGCAGACGGTGAGATTGCAAAGTTGAAAGAGACCATCAGTCAACTGCAGAGTGAGGTAGCTTCGAAGGCGGAGGCCGCTCAAGCGCACGAACACACGACACAGCAGATCTTGCAACTCGAGGAGACCATGCAACAGATTCGTAATGAATCAGATGCCCAATTCAAGGAGGCTACGGAAGCCCGGACACAGGCAGAGACCGAGGTCGCCCGCCTGGAAACTATATTGGGTCAACTTCGCGCCGAAGTGGAGCCCCAGCTCAAGGAAGCGGTTGAAGCACGCACGCAGGCGGAAGGTGAGGTCTCACGCCAGGAAACTTTATTATACCAGCTTCGAGCGGATGTGGAGGTGCTCGAGTCGCAGTTTAAACAAGCTACCGAGGCACGCACCACCGCCGAAGCGAACGCCACGCGCTTGCAGGCGGAGTTGACCGAGATGGAAGGCGAGGTTGTACGCACTCAAACCGAGCTGACAATGGCGAAGGCCGAGCTTGACGGTGCCTATGGATCTCGAGCCCAGCGTGCGGCCGACATCACGGCCAACCCTGCCATCCAAAGAGAATTTGATGCGCTGAACACCCGAAACCTGGAACTGGCCGAGGAGTTGGCAGCGCTTAAGGCCGGAAAGCCTGGCAGCAGCGACCTGCAGAACCGGGTCGATGCACTCCAGAAGGAACTGCGCGAGACAGTTGACGATTATGAAGCAATGACGAAGGCTAGTATCGAGTTCGAGAAAGAACGCGAGAGATTCGAGAGCGTTATTGACGCTCTACGGGATCGTTGCGAGCAGCTCGAGACTCAGCTTAATGAGGAACGGATCAGCTGGATGGGTAGTGGACGCGATGGCCACTATGAGAGCACATCGACGATGGTGCTGAAGAATGAGTTCAAGAAGATGATGCGGGACACGCGTATTGAGAACATGAAAATCCTGAAATTGGAACAAGAAGAACGTCGCCGGCTGGAAGCAATGATCAGGAATCTGAAGAAGGAACAAGCCATTATGAATGGCAAGCCTGCCATCGGCCCGAGTATACCGACTCAATGATCGTCCCTGCCAGAGCCTGCTATAGCTATGTGATGCCATCCAGGGAGCTCACAACCCACAGGAAGAAAGCTTTTTAGCACGCCAGATGCAGCCCCTACAACGCCCGTCAGCCATATGAGAACGCCGAGGGCACCCTGGCCCGAATAACCTGAAGCATTGATTTCTCGCCGTGAGGCTGAAGACGCATGTGCTCTCCGGCTGAGTCACCGGTTTGTGTGCACAGGGCACCGGACTTCTAGATACTGCATAAGTTGTGGCAGGGCAGGTGGCCAAATTCAAAATTCAAGGCTGTAAATATAATAGACAGGTGCTGCATGATCAGATAACAAGCAGTGTGGGGAGGTTGTGTACATATGTACCTATACAGACATGATTTTCTTAATTTCAACGAGACATTTTCTATGTGGATGAGGCCGCTTTAACAGGGGCGCCCAGGGACTTGCTCACTGCCAGAGTATTTCAGTTCTTACTATTACTTGTAGTCAAAGCTCAGCAAGCACTCCGGTTCTATCCATGATAGACTCGGTTATCAGTTGTACATATCCCGAGCTACTCATATATCAATATTCTATATGATTAGCATACAGTAGTAATAATGATATTACGTTACCAATTTTCCTAATATATGATGCAACTAGTACTTATAATCGTGACGGAGAATTGGCAGACTTTTGAGTAGTATATTCAGTCGGTACAGTCAATGGTACTATCTATAATAGGTAAAATAAAAATATAAAAAAATTTCTTTGATTTTACCTTGAAGCAGCTTTCACTTTGACCACGACACTGCCCTGGATCATGGTCACTTCTGCACAGACACTTGCAACATTATCTTTTCAGGAACCGAGAAATGCGACACATTCTGTGGTGCAGAGACTATCTACCTCAGTAGTCGTCCAGACTTGATGGTCAGCTTCGCCACCTCGTTGACAGACAACAACAATGTTTGAACCCAGCCGGCTTACAGTGAATGTCTACCCTGTGCCTTGATAGGCCAATAGCGGTTTCATTGCAAGGGTTGAGTCTGATTCTATATAGTATGACTTGGGAAAAGGTATTTGTTTGATAACGTGTCTTCGTGACTGGTTTCTTAGGAATTTGCGTACCCCTCTCAGAAAGTCTTTGGTGGAAGTTGGGTCCATGTCTTGTCGGTTGACCAGTGGGTGGCCTTCAGCGAGCCAGACATATTGGACGAGGTAGGTGTATAGAGCTGCACATCGTGGGTAATCCACCCCTTCGGTATAATGTCGTGGAGAGCCGAATCTATCATGAAGTGTCGAATGAGGTTCTGTGTACAGAATTAGAGAGCAGCCCCAACCAGCGCGATGGACCGGCACAGTCATCCTTCCTCATAATCACATTCCGCCGTAAGCGTCATTCCTGCAGGGGTGAACTGAGTGCATCCTAGCCAGAGTCCAAGACCTTCGTACAATATAGTAGATAGTTTACGAGTGATCCTTATCGTGATCCTTATCGGCTTTATCAGCAGATAGTCACATCGAGCCACGTGACTGCCTACGAACTTCTGGGCCAATTCCACGGCCAGCTTCTATACACAATACCGATAGCCATACAAGCAGCAGCGACGCGGTTCTCCTCTAGTTGCCGCGCTTCCGAATTAAGATGGTGCTCTTGCTATATGGATCAACTCACTAACGCCCGTACTCACTTGCGACCACATTGACCCCACACCTACATCTCACCGTATGTCATCCCACGTTGTTTACCGCGTTGAAGGGCCTTTGATAATCGTACTGACCCAGTATTGCATCTTATAGCTGTGCGGACCCCTAAATACCATTTATCTGCCTCTACCGGAGTGCGGGTTCGGCCTCTCCGATTCCCGCGATTACGCGATCGTTTGCGACCCATTGTCGTGTACAGCATCTACAAGTTAGTATCGCGTGAGGACGATGGATCCGGTGGACTCTCTTGCAGACCCGTTCTCCAGTCACGGTCTGTGGAGAGTCTCCAAGTTTACCTTACAGTCTCTACAGCCATTGGAGCCCTTGGGGTGGGATGAGAAGCTGCCGGACCTTTCGAGTTCTTTCTTCGAGTCTCCATTGAATATCTTCGACAAGTTCGGAACTGAAATTCCTAGCCTAAATCCATTCGGTACCGAGCTATTAGATGCGGATCAAACGCTAGCGTTGGATACCGATACTTCAAGTGAAAATGGAGTTATTGCGACTACTGATCAGCAGAACATTGAAGAGGAACTGGAGGATATATGGGCACTTGGAAATCAGGATATCAAGCAAGAGCCCTGCGACTTGTTGAAATCATGGGAGAAATACCGAGAGAGGACATATCGCGAACCTGTCTCGGCATATTTCAGCGAATCGGGTGCGAAAGGCTTTGATGCTGCATTGGCACGGCAAGCTGCAAAGGTGGGAACACAAACCCAGAGGTTCATGGTCCGGCGAGATGTGTTCTTCCAGGCATTGCTCAAGCTTGGGCTTGGGTGGAGCTCCATGTTTTTCTGTTACGATGAACAAAAGAAACGGTTCGAACGAGTGCACAACAATATTCGAATTTCTGGAGTAACATCGGTTGCACTAAATGGAATTACCGAGGAGCTGCTTGAGTGCGGCACAAACATGCAGAAAATACGGGCTTTTGCGAACAAAGTGCCGAGCAGGACAAAAGAACTTTCTGCTCGGTCGGCCTTTGCGAGTGCCGTGGCTGTGGTTGTTCATACACTCGAAAAGCGGCTTGTCGGACAGTTCGCTAGTATTACCTCTCTCCTTCAGATCAAGGCGCTATTTTGTGAATGCGGCAAGGTGGTGAGCGTCCTGGCGAATGTGATCGAGGCAGTTGAAATTGCAATGTCCGAGGCACAGATAATTTCTGTTGTTTCTGAACGAGCCGCCCACTTCTCGCAAATATTCGACCATATAGAACCTCTCTTACGCGAGATTGTGAGTCGAGTGGCCGAGCCCTGGCTGAGGCAAGTAGAGACTTGGGTTGGCCTTCGTCCAGAGACAGCGGCATCAGTAGAGCTGGCTTCCAGTGGTAGGAGCTTTGTTGTCGCGGAGAACCAGGAGAGAACTAGAAAGACCACCAAGATGCCGAGGGTTGACTACAAATATCTACCTGATAATATGCCCTCCCTCATCCCCAATGATCTGGCGTCTTTGGTTTTCGAGAGTGGACGAAGCCTCAGGCTCCTCAAAACACATCACCCACAACATCCAGTCGCCAACCACGAGATGTATCATTCTACTTCACCCACTTTTGAATGCGCGGGTACGTGGTTTGATATCACCAGGATAGAAAAGAAGGCCACCGAGTACGAAGCTAGACTACGTTTTGAGATACTCAAATATAACCGTGGTGATATGCATCAAGGGTCAGACAGAATGTTCGTTACAGAGGCTTCCGAGCCCACTGGGGAGTCAGATGTGCTCGCGGACACTTTTGAACTCTTTGACCTCGATAATATGCCAAATACCACGGGGCTGTTACCAATGGACGGAAGCTCTCGGGATAAGCTTGGCTGTCTCGTTGACGGAAATGTCCACTGCCATGCCGAACAACCTGCAGTTCATAGCAGCTTCGGACCTGAAATAACTTCATCATATTACCTATCATTGGCGCCTCTTCTCTGCTCCCAGGCGCTATTGATCGATTTCTCGTGTCTCCATTTACTATTTAAAGAGCATCATCTCCGAACCCACCTCAACCTCCAATGGCGATTTCAGCTCCTTGGTGATGGTTATTTCACCTCTCGTCTCTCTGATTCCCTTTTCGACCCCGACATGGAAAGTGGTGAGCGGAAGGCTGGTGTAGTGAGGAGTGACGTTCACGCTGGTTTGCGCTTGGGAAGCAGGGATACATGGCCTCCAGCCAGTTCAGAATTACGGCTGGTGCTCATGGGACTACTCAATGAGTGCCATGATGCGGAGAAACGCCTGGACCCGTCAATGAACTCTTGCCCATGGAATGAAAAGGAACTACCTGGTGGCCTAAGCTTCTCCATCCGCGACCTTACAGATGAAGAGGTCGTGAAATGTAAGGACCCAAATGCCATCGAGGCGCTTGATTTCCTTCGTCTACAATATAAACCCTCGCCTGTCCTGGAGACCATATTGACTCCGAGTTCTCTTGACAAATATGACCGTCTCTTCAAGCATTTGCTTCGACTGCTACGCATGGATTCAGTTGTCAGAAGTCTCATTCGAGACTCAACTGCGAGAGACTCCCTATCAGGTGATACGCGGAATGTGATCCAGAAATTTCGGGTCGATGCTCAGCATTTTGTGCTGGCCCTAAGTGACTACTGCTTTCATGTCGGCATTGGTTCTACATGGCGACGATTCCAGGAGACGCTTTCTAATATTGAATCGTGTCTTGATCGACATGACATCGATGGTACAAACGAAGCGGCCAGCTCAGTGCCTAGGTTGCGGGACTACCATGAAGACGTCTTAGATCAGATGCTTTATGCTCTCTTTCTCAACAAAAAACATACCGAGGTCGCAATTCTTCTCGAAGAGATCTTCGGAACGATTCTCACCTTCGCTCCGCTGTCGCAACTGGACGGGATTAATGGTGTACGGCACGAGGCTGAGCCTGCTGTTCGTCGATTGTACAATCTCTTTAGGAAACAAACCTCTGCCTTTGTTGGCTATCTACGCAGTATCGAAGGCATCAAGTCGACGTCGAGGTCTTTAGATCGGTGGGATACGACGTTCACTGCCAAGGAGGAGCCTGCAACAGTCTTCGACCATCTGTTGGCCCGTTTAGACACGAAAAGGTACTACTGAATGCCGTGAATGGGAAGTAAACGATGTGCCCGTCCGATTCAACGTCACAGTACTTCAGCAGCGCCAGCGAGATCGATAGCCCGCCTGGATAGCAATGTAACGTGGCTTACACCATAGTAGCACCTAATGTCAAACAGCCGAAAAACGTCGTCAATTTATTGGTAGTTGCGACCCGAGGGTCTGCAGGGTAACAACAATGTGCTGAAAGGGTCCGCACATGTTGCCTTGGTTCTTTGTATTCATGAAAGCGGACTCTGACTCGGGGGCTTTCTGGAGTCCAGCCAGCACGTGGGGGTAACATGGGATAGTGATAGTGCGTGGCCGCCAAGTCACCATGGATTGACAGACTCTACTCACTCAACCACCGATAACTCACATGGCAAGGCATTAGGATAGGGTGACACTTCCTGGATGTGGTTGCAGTTCCATGGCTCCTACTGTGATCGGAGGCAGTGTTCATAACGGATAGCTGACAAGCAAAGAGGACCAGTCGGTAATGATGCCCGCACTCATCATCGGGCGGCGGGGAGGGTCGAGGTGCGAGCCCAGGCATGGAAGCATCAGGAGAAAATAGAGTTTTTCAGTAGACTCAACCCCCTCTCGCGTTGGACTCCTACTAGGCCCTGATGTTCCATGATGCCTTCCTTCACCCCAACGGCTGAAAGGGTTCCCCCAACGAATAGTCCCCTCGTTTGAGCTTAGGGCACGATGGGAGATTTTGGGCTTGAAGACTCATGCTGCCATCAAAAGACGGGTCGCCCAGATCACGGTTCCGCCGACTTGGGAAGTACCAACTTCGGCGCATGGCATACATGTATTGGATGGTAGGATACATCTGTGTGACAAGGAGCGGTCTAGCCCATCACGTTGATTATCAACAAAGATAGCTAGATAGATAAACAATTAATGCATAGACTACTACTACTACAGGAGTAAACGTGGGGGGTCTTATGGTGGATCGAGGAAATTAGAGGCGCCTTGGCAGTTCAGGTTCCTACTCTTTTTGTAACGTAGATAGCTGGCAGTTACTATGACGTCATTACCAGCATAGTTAACATGGACTCAGCTTGTTCCCCCATGCTTAATGCTATCGTGTCTTGCAACTACAAGTACCTTTACCAACAGGAGTAAATATACTACTAGTACTGGTTTAATTCAAAGCTCGAAAGCAAGGAAGATAAGAATTCCATCTTGATGTCACAGTCTGCTGCTAGCTACAAAGAACTGTAGTAGTTTGAATCATCATAATCCATCAGCTTCCGACAAGCTTATCAGAGCTGCAGTGAAATCACGTGTCAAGATCATGTGAGAGCGGGCCTCTCCCTATGACGAAGGAGAGTGGTCGGTTTCAGGCAACTTTATAAAGGGGACGCTCGAAGCAGTGCTGTCTCCGCAATGAGAGCCTCATTGTGGGATCAGTCACTAGCAGCAATGCAAATAGGAAGAGGATTCTGCTGAATGAATACGCCCGGACGTCAGCGACAACAACATGGCGACTGATCCACACGTCGCATTTCACCTGGACCAGTGTCAAGGGCTAGATCCGGAGTCGCACACTGCTCAAAAGCTTGTACGTTCTTCTATTAGTTCCGAGGCAATATTCTGAAATGGCACTGATCCGTGAAGCATCATGCTTCTCCGCACCACATACACATGACCAATAGGAGGTTCTTCATCGGACCGATCCCCCAGGGTTGGCTGCAGAATCACCGCAAATCATGGTGGAAGACGCGCATAAAGTTCAGTAAATATTCGTCGAAGACGGTTACGTTCTCAGCGGACCCGGTCATTGCGCATTATTCAGAGGAGCCTGAGACCGACCGTGAGGACTCGACACCGGAACAGGAGCCGGTTACAGATACCACCGAGGACGAGAGGACGGACAGAGATCAGGAGGAAGAGAGCAGTGATGCAGAAGCACCGACACGGAAAAGCCTTCGTACTGTGCCTTATACCCTGGAAGAAGATCATGATTTTTCCTGTGTTACTACGGATTCGGAAGCTGTGCCCTCGGATTCGGGCGACAACAAACGTGAACGCGACTTGGCCTCGTCAATGAGGAGACAGGATGGGAGTTCCGCATATTATACAGCCAGGGAACAGGAGCCAATCGACGCCGGTCAAGCCTCCTCCAGGCCCGGTACAATGGACCTGGATCAGACCGGGGAGGGACTAAGTAAGCAAACGCTAAGTATACCTAGCCAAAATGGAGCCAGTCAGTCAAGCCCCATGGTACCTGCTAGTGACCATGGATCCACGACCGCGTTGCTAAGGCCAGATTCGAGATCCAAAGGGAAAGGAAGACTCTCTGCTCCATCGTCTACCAACCTTGAACAACAGGAGCCTCAGGTCGAGACGTCAGAAGAGGAGCCCCTCCGGAACGGACATCGCCGTCGATCGAAGAGGGACCATTTACATTCGTTTTCGAAACGGGCAGCCAAGCATAACCTTGATGACAACCTGCTGAACAAACAACAAAGAATCTTGGCTCGAGTGTCGAGGACGCATGCTAAACTTTCACGAACATGGCCGTACAGACGGAAGATGAAAGAAGGGGAGGTTATAAAAGCCGAGAAGATGGTCGTTCGACTCGAGGAGACGGTGCAGGAAAAGCTTCCAGACGACTATTCGGAGAATGACAGTCTGAAGATGGAGACCAGGGTTGTGGATCAATGGCGAGAGTACCTGGTGGCATGCCGTCTCGCTTCCGACGAAGATGCACCGTTCTGTCTACAAATGTACAAGACCCGTGTTATACCTGAAGTGCAGAAGACAGGCACGCGAGTCGCCCCGCATTATCAAATACCCTTGGGGCGAAAGAAAATGAATGTGAACCTCTATTCGCATCTCGACAAGGCAATTGTGCTCTGGGGTCCCTGTAAGCGTGGGACGAAGATCTACATAATTCGGCCAAAGTCCTCCACGCATGCTGTGGAATGGTTTACCTTTCTCAGCCAGATAATGGGAAAGCGGCGGCCGTCTTCGCTGCCTATCCATGTTCCCGACTTGGGCGTATCTCTTGTCTTCCATAACCCCTTTGAACAGTTGGAGGCTGCTCTGGACTCGAAGGGAAAGGGTAATGGAATCCTCAGCCGGGCTGTAGCTCAGGAAGAATCACCAGCGATGGCTATAGTACGTGGGTGTTTGAAGATGCTGGAGAATCGTCCTGAATGGGCCGAGGTCTTACAACAGTGGTCCAAAACTGAAATCATGGGGCTTGCTTGGAAACGGTACGATCGCCTGGAATGGATCCTGGGCGCCAACGAGGAGAAGATGTATGGCTCTCTTGCTATGCACATGACTCACGAACTTGAACTACGCCCGAGGCAGCATTATCACACCTACATAAAGCACAATGGCGAGAGAGAAGACGAGCCTCAGCCTGTAGAAGGCTTCTTGGTGCGTCTGACATCCCAGCGGGGTGTACATCAGCGGATGAACAGGATGTTCTTCAAGCGGCTGTACTTTTTCACCCAGGATCAATATCTGTTCTTCTGCAGGCCGTCAAGGTCACTACCCCCAGCGCCTCCGAGACTATGCCGCGATGGTACTGAAATGCCTTCAACGCAACAAATTCTGGATGCATCACCTATTTCTTACGATGTCGATCCGTATCCGCTCCAAGACGGTGATATCTCTTGGCTGCGGAGCGGCAACAAGGACCACATCAGAACCCATGACGAAGAAGCCTATGTCCAGCGCCAGCGAAGCATTCACAATATTGAGCACGCTGATGGATTCATCGATCTCACCAGGGTACAAGAGGTCCGACATGTGCAACGTGATAGCTGCCCCGCCGATCGGAACATCGAATCAGGGCCAGATGTAGCATTCAATCCCGAAGCAAGAGACACGCGCCAAGATGACGGTGCAACGCAGCAATTCAATGACGACAGAACCTTTGAGATGCTTCTGGACAACAACCTCGTGGTCCGCTTTCAGGCATACAATGACGTGACCAAGGCCGAGTGGATGAGGCGGCTCGAAGCTTTAGTGAAATACTGGAAGTGCAGAATCGCGACTGATGCAGCTGAGATCAAGGCTCTCCGGCAACGCAACCTCAAACTTCTGGGGATTGATGAGGAATTGGAATCCATCATGGGACAGTTCGCTAAGAAATGGGAGGTCAAGAAGGCGGAAGCGTCGCCTCTACTGCACAATATCTGCGTCCTGTCAGACTGTCGCCCAATCAAGGTATGTATTATGCTGCTCTATTATGCTCCGACAGACTCCGACAAAACTAACGTAAAGTTCTAGATATCTGGCCATCTATATCGAAAACCCCGTCGCCACTCAACCTTCAAGAAAACCCACGTTGTCCTAACCGCCGGAAAACTATTCATCTTCCGCAGCTCCCTCCGAAAGCGCAACGGCGTCGAAGTCCCCCACATACACCAAAACCTGGAGACCTCCATCGATCTCAAAGACTGTTATGTATACTCTGGTCTGATGACAGACTCAGACCTGCTATACACCAATCAAACATTCGACAGTAACCATCCAGGCCACCATGCCCTGCCCCGCGTATATCTCTCATCGGATGCCTACACAAGTAGCGATGAAGATGCGGCGATCACGTTCGTCATCTGGCAGCCACTGAAGAAGAACCTGTTCCGGGCGCGCGAGCATGGAGTTAAGGGCCAGACGAAGCAAAAGATTAAGCAAGTGTCGACTCTCGGAGTCCACGGGCGAACCATTGTGTTCAAAGCCCGCAGTCGCGTAGAGAAGGATCGTTGGGTGCTGAGTATAGCATCTGAGATTAATCGCTTACAGGAGGATCAACCGGAGGATGTGCGGATAATCACATAACACGGGATGTGAACTAGTATAATATAAGTATAGTAAATTCTGCAGGCAGATCTACCGCTTCATGGTGCTTCTCTATAGGAACACTAAATGTACAGAGCAAAAATATCAACCGTCTATGTACAGCGCATACCAGCAAATACTTATACATAACATAACACATATGATTCACTCCAAAAACGGCCTCTCCAATTTCACAGCCTCTTTCACCACCCGATCGCGCACCTCCTGTCTATAATCCTCCCCAAACTTGCGCTCCACATCACCTTCCACCACCCCATTCTCCCAACCCGACCAATCCAACCACCTCCACTGTGGATGCAGCACGGCCATCACCCTCCCCGTAATTAAACTGATACTCACCGGCCCATACGAATTACTATCCAGCGTCTTCCTCGGATCCTTCGCATCACCCTCCAACCAGACATGATTATACGGCACAATCTGCGACTCCTTCAGACAGGGCTCTCTTGTGGTGATCTGATCTCCGGGTAACCCGATAATGCGCTTGATGGCCATGTGGCGGGGGTTCGCGGGGGATCTACCACACATGTACCATTAGTAAAAAGGAAGACTACCGCCACAGAAACCCACCACGGGCAGGGATAAACAAACCGAAACGTAACCACCATCCCCCTCTCCAACCTCCTCTTCCGTTCCCACGGCCACAATCCACCCCCACCCCACATGTTCACAAGAACTATATCGCTCTTCGTCTGCATTTGGTCGTAGTCTTCATTCAGGTACGGCGTCATGCTGGGTCCGCGTACCCACATCACTTGGCATACGTGCTCGGAGAAGAAGAGGCCGATGGGGATGAGGGGGAGGAGGGTGCCCATGAAGCGAAAGGGACGAGGGAGAGAGGCGTAGCTGTTGCGGAGGTGGCTGAAGAAAGAAGGTCGGGGGTGGGATCGGGGCTGTTGGTGTTGTTGCGGTGGCTGTTGCGGTTGAGGGGTGGTGCGGCGCGCTTTGGCTAGATCGGGGGGTAGGACTCGGAATCGTGATGTTTGGAGCGGAGGAGGTGCCCGAGGGGGTTGCGCGTGTGGTGGTGACATTTTGAGGGGTCTGGATGTGAATCAATTGGGGAGTTGTTGTGATGCGATTGATGGCCTCGGGGTTTAGTCGGAGGTGGGCGGATGGTGTCTAGGTGTTTGGAGGGGCGTGAGAGGGTGAATGGAGAATGGCTGAGTCGCAGACAGTATTGGGGAGAGACAGTGGTGGGTATATGATTGTGTGGTGTTTGAGGGTGGTGAAGCGCAATTGGTGGATTGAATTGTATGGGTATTGAGTTCGACTGGTGATTATTGTGATAATGGATTAAATTGCGATTCCTGATATCATGAGCTTGTTTGCACTGTTTGGCGTGTTTGCATAACTGTTGCACCCATAATAAGTACCAAGTTACGTAGTAGTAGTTAGTTAGTGAATCGATGGTAAACAAAGCGGCGGGTCAGGTGACCTCAGCGGAATCGGACCGTGACTTTCTCCGCCTCCCGCTTCGTGGGTGCCACTGCGGTTCGGGCGTGCATCTTGCATGAATCTCTCTTTTCACTAGACCCAGCTAACTTATTCCCCTTGCCGTTTGTTGTCTTGTCGTACATATCCTACCTCGCCGTATATATTATATTTTCCGTTCTTGTGTATATCTTTCCAGCGCATCGCTGTCCTTACCTTCACCGCCCGCTCCCCTATAGTACGATTCTCCCGTTCCCGTCTTGCCTTATGGGATTTTTCGACCACCTCCAGAAAGGAGGCGCTTTTTCTTTACAACCGAAGAAGCCTCAGATCCGAAAGGTTGTTCAGACGCGAACCGCCCCTGCCTCGCGATCCACCTCCCAGACCCCAGGTCCCTCCTCTCGAACCCCTCCTGCTCAGCTCAAAGCGCAACAATCAGCAAGCAGATCCGTCTCCAGGGACCGTGACCCTCCCTCTGCGAAAAGGCGATATGGCACACCAGCGCAGAGTCGGAAGCGCCAAACTCCGGAGTTACGACTTTCGAGCGATGACGACGCGAGCGACACGGACTCTTCGTTTGAGGTGCGCAAACGGGCTAGGACAGGCGACAGCGCAGAGCCAGACCCGGCTAGGCGCGTACGATCTTTAAAGGCTTTTTCCGAAGATAGCATTCGGTCCCTTCCCATGATACATGCTGCCGACATCACGTCGCGCCAGAAGTCCGGCAACTTTAAGCCTGCGTTTGGGGCAGCCAAGCCGCTACCGGAGCTACTCCTGCAGTATCCCAGTACTTCCTCCCCGGAGAGATACGACCTTGTGGTCCCTCGAGACCACGACGATTTCAAGCCCATTGATGATATCGTTCAAGTCCTCGACATTATGTCACAGAATTATATCCCCGACGAAGAGGCAGACGAATTCAACAATGAATCGACTGGAATAAAACGCAGACTACGACGCGCCCTTGCCCATTCATCAGAAGCGGATTTTCGGAGTGTCGTGGCGGAGTACAATAGTGCGATTGTGCGGTTAAGACGTGATGGCAGTATCGCGAAGAAACTGGATTCAACGAGCCGCTTAAACTTACCCCACGTGGAAAGGATCCTGAATCAGATTTACTCGCGCACCGTGTCGCCTCGGGTCGAGTCTCTTCGCCAGTACGAGAACGGAACGGACAACGTGTACGGAGAACTTCTTCCGCGCTTCATCAGCACGATATTCAAGGAGACTGGGCTAAAGTCCGGTCAGGTTTTCGTTGACCTGGGCTCAGGTGTCGGTAACGTTGTCCTCCAGGCGGCGCTTGAGATTGGATGTGAGAGTTGGGGCTGTGAAATGATGAACAATGCAGCCCACCTGGCGGAGCTGCAGCAGGCCGAGTTTAGGTCGCGATGTCGGCTATGGGGCATCGCGCCCGGGAAGACGCACCTCGTTAAGGGTGATTTCCTAAAGGAGCAGAGCATTATCGACGTTCTGAAACGCGCTGATGTTATCTTGATCAACAATCAGGCGTTCACCCCCCAATTGAATAACGAGCTAATTAACCACTTCTTGGATATGAAGGAGGGGTGTCAAATCGTATCCCTTAAATCCTTTGTGCCCGCGGGACACAAGATCCAATCTCGCAATCTCAATTCGCCCATCAATCTACTGAAGGTTAAGCAGAGGAACTACTGGTCGAACAGTGTGAGCTGGACCGACGTCGGCGGTACCTACTTCATCGCGACCAAGGACAGCTCCCGTCTGAAGGCTTTCGTAGATAGCATGCAATGATCTGTTGCTACGTCCCCTGAACGCTTTTTGCTGTTTCACGACCGCCATGCTCGATCATTTTCGGTTTCTTGTATTCATACTTTTTTTTTTTTTTTTTTTTTTTTTTTTTTTTCTTTTATCCTCTTTTCGCATTTGTGATGCTTGGGCTTAGGACGTGATACCAGGGTTTCTGATTCAGGCATCTGCATCAGCGCGTGCTAGAATGGTCTGAGTACTTCTCATTATTAGTACATAAATCTGCCCACTTCTGCTATTGACCCTTTGAAGCTGTGATGAGAAACGATACGTGAGACGATGGTACATTGTGAATAGATGGCATCTTTTGAAGATTGTTTGGCTTTTGCGCCCCTGACAGCATAGCATCACTGGCATACATCAACTCGACAATTTGGAAGCACCCCCTGTTCGTCATACCATCCTTTACAACAAGTATGGCTGGTGCCAGCAACCCTTCGAGTCAGCGGATTACCGAACTTACTAGCCAGCAGCACCGGATCAAACTCAACAACACTGATACTGGAATGTCGCAATGAAGTGATAGCGAAACTGCATCATGCAATAGGCAGTGAAAGACTGCGATGCCGTGGCCTCGTTTGTTGTATATAGAGTTTGGCTGAAAAGCCAGGAGAAAACCTCCAGAACCCTCGGACGTGGCGTGCTATCCGCCGACGCGGGGTAAAGAATATATTAACAAAGCAAATCAAAATCAACCGATCTGCTATATTATCCTTTGAAATGCTGCAGCAAGGCGTCTTGGTCGGTTCGGCCAGGCTGATCGGTTCCAAAATGACTATAGAAGCACGTAAATTTGATTTCCGGTTAATTTGGCACTAATACCTAGATGAGAGTTCCCCGACTTGCTACTCGAGGATTAGTTATGCGATCGGAGATTCGATCACGTTGTTTGACCATGGACTTTGTGCCTTCGAGTGCTTTCTACGTTTTACGATGTAAAGCGTGGGATGTATGGTATGGACACCAATGGCTGACAACCCAGCTTGTTCAAAGCCAAGCAGGGCGAAAATACATGTTTTCATTTGCAGTCATCTATGCTATGTGGCATTGAGCCGGCGCCAATCACTACCGCAGATGCATGCATCAGACAGGGAGTTAACTCTATGTATAAGCTATCGCAAGTTCAACAGCATCTGCTCCGGTGACTCGACGAGTTCCCGGACGCGATTAGCCATCCGGGCCATCGTGGCACCGTCCACCACGCGATGGTCGGCGCTCCAGCTGAAATTCACGAGCTCGCCTTTTGTAACCTGACCAGCGTCATCAAAGATGGGTACTGCTCTGGATTTGCCAATGCCGAGGATGGCCATCTCGTTCGGTATGACTACCGGTGCGACGTATGTACCTCCAATGTTTCCGATATTAGAGGCAGTGATTGTGCCACCGCTGAGGTCGGCGGATGTGAGCTTTCTTTCTTTCGCGAGTGCATTCAGGCGTATGATTTCCGCGGCAATTTCTAGGATAGAGCGATTGGCGACGTCTTTGATATTGGGGACTAACAAGCCTTGAGGGGTGTCCATGGCGACGCCGATGTTGTGTTTTGCCCGCATGATCAATTGTGGTTTGGCCGGATCGGTTGTATCGATCTTTGCGTTGAGAAGCGGGTAGTCGTTCAAAGCCAGGGACATGGCTTTGATGACGAAGGAGAGGAGGCTGATCTTTTGAGGGTCTTTGGGGTCGTTGGCTAGCTTCTTTCTAATGGCCATTACGTTATTAACGTTGAGTTCGTCAGCGTAGAGGAATTGCGGGATGCTGAGGGAGTTTGTCATGTTCTTAAACATCTGACTCTGAATTGGTGTTAATTTGACCACGGTCTCTTCTTGCATCCCCGGAGCAGTGGGCTGTGTTGAAGGTGCTTGGTCTCGCTCGGCGATAAAGCGCTGCACATCTTCCTTGAGGACGCGCCCATCCTTGCCTGTCCCTTGTACATCTTCAATGTTCACATTGTGGATCTTCAGCATGCCACGGACCGCTGGGGTAGCCAATGTCGCATGAGGTGATCTCGGCTTGTTATTTGTGATGCCGTTTACTGGTGCAGGTGTAGCAACTTGTGTAGGCTGTGGTGACGGAGCTTCTGGGGGAGGGGACCTGGCCGGTGTTGGTTGTATCGGTTCAGTCTTTGGAATAGGCGGCGGGTTATCATCCGGATATTTCCCGTTCTCGACTTCTATATCGCAAAGTGCCTACAGGAAAGAGAACGATTAGCAAGAACATTCCATGCTACGGTGTACTGTAGTTGTTATTACCTTTCCCGTCGGTACCGTATCGTCTGCTTGGAAATGGAGCTTTTTGACGACGCCTTCGTATCTCGAGGTGATCTATGGCCATTAGGAATTTCCAGAGCGTGTCTCTAAGAACGCATGAACTAACATCATCAACGGCTTTATCCGACTGGTATTGACATAGTGGTTTCCACTCTTCAATGTAAGCGCCCTCCTCGACATACCACTGGATTATTTGGACCTCCGTTATCCCTGTGGGAAATGTAATGTTAACAACCGACAATGAAGGGTATATATATGTATCATGACCAAAAGATCGTGGAAAGATGGTCATTTGGACAAATTTATCTTACCTTCGCCAACATCTTTCAGTACCTGAGACTTCACACCCCACAGAGAGGCGGCGGCGTGGAATTCCCGACGAGGAAGAGGTCGTGCCTGGAACCGGATCACTGGCAGGGACCTTGGCCCGTGGCATAGCTGGAAAGCCCGGGACAAGCTCCCAGTTGAGCGCAGAATACTCATCGTTAACCCGGTATCGGCTTCAACGGATAGAAGAGGGAGATCTCACGGAGGAAGGGACTTAGATGTAGCATTCCGGCTGCAGGATGGATGATGGGAGGGGAGTATGTAAGTAATGCTTCTGTTGTTATCCAGGTACGCCGGCGTCCGATGATAACCGATGCCTGGCATCATAGCACGTGATGTTACTCCGCATTTCCACTTTCCGCCCGCAACTAGTGATTAGTACTTCGGGGCCGCTGGTTCTTCCGCCATTGAACATGGCACGTGCGGACCGAGCTATAAAAGGGTATGACGAGTGATTAGTTAAACATAGAAATATACTTAGTAATATAGAATATGGATAGTTAAATAGATGATTTTACAATTCAATAAAATCGAAGAAAACATGATAAAACGGAATCCAGTACTACTAAGCCAAGTCTTCAAATAGGTTTTAGTGATACTATGCCTTGTTCCAGGTGGAATAAACACCAGGCCGATTAGGGTTGTTTAGCAGAAAAGAAGAGAAGAAACGTTCCTTATCAAGTCGCTTATCGCAGTTGCTGGACACAGCCTAAAGCTCTTCTACCCCGGCTCGGATATCGGCGGGTGGGGAAATCACCCCGTTCTAAGGGCCGACGCCAACCGGCCTCCGCATTCCCAGCATCCCTCGAGTTAAGAATAACGCCCTTCTATCATGAGGAGAGGCCATCGCATATCCTGAACACCCAAGGCTGGCCCTCCTTTCATCAACTACCTCCAACATGCAGTCTTTGCGGTCAACGCGCTTTTGCCGCTCTTCCCAACCGCTGTCCAAGATTCCACGGCGATGGAGCAATTCTATATCTCAGCGCCCTGGATCGGATCGGTAAGGTCACTCACATAAACCGAGCGATGATAGGGAGCATGGAGCAAGCTGACAATTGTAGTGTCCGATTTCCAGGCGCGATTAATAGCAAATTTACCACCGACATGACCTTCATCAATCCCACCGAAATGTCCAATATCCCTACGTACCGAGTCATGGACTCCGACGGAGTACTCGTCGACAAGTCGCGCAAGTCCATCGATGTGCCAAAGGAGGAAATTTTGACATGGTACAAGAACATGTTGACAGGTTGGGGATATCTCATATTATCATGCTACCTACTTCATGATCTGACGGCATCTAGTAAGTGTCATGGACGTCATCATGTTCGAAGCGCAACGGCAGGGTCGACTGAGCTTCTATATGGTATGCTCGGAACCATCACCACCTCCTCAATAATAATATTAAAATCTGACCTCGTTAGGTATCTGCCGGTGAAGAAGGAATCAGCGTTGGATCCGCCGCAGCCTTAACCCCCGACGACGTAGTATTCGCCCAGTACCGCGAAGCAGGCGTCTTCCAACAACGCGGCTTCACTCTGAAAGACTTTATGAGCCAACTGTTTGCGAATAGATTTGATAACAGTAAAGGCCGTAACATGCCTGTTCATTATGGCTGCAACTATCCCCGAACAGTTCGTCCCCTCCACACGACCTGCCCAACCGCATTCTAACCATATATCTAGCACACAATCTCCTCCCCCCTTGCAACCCAAATCCCTCAAGCCTCCGGTGCTGCATACGCTCTAAAGTTACAATCACTACAGAACCCCGATACCCCGGCGCGAATTGTAGCCTGCTATTTCGGCGAAGGAGCCGCCAGCGAAGGCGACTTCCACGCGGGCTTGAATATAGCCGCGACGCGGTCCTGTCCCGTGGTATTCGTCTGCCGCAACAATGGATATGCAATTTCCACCCCTACACTAGAACAATACAGGGGTGATGGTATCGCCAGCCGTGGTGTTGGCTACGGCATTGACACCATTCGGGTGGACGGTAACGACATATTCGCGGTCTACGAGGCAATGCGTGAAGCTCGTCGTCTCGCCCTTCAAGATGGAGGTAAACCTGTCCTCATCGAAGCAATGAGCTACCGTGTATCGCATCACAGCACCAGTGATGATAGCTTTGCGTATCGGGCAAGGGTAGAAGTCGAGGACTGGAAACGTCGCGATAACCCGATTATCCGGTTGCGGAAGTGGTTGGAAAATGAGGGTCACTGGAGCGAGGATCTAGAACGTGAAACGCGTGATAAGATCCGGAAAGAGGTGCTCAGGGAGTTTGGAGAGGCAGAGCGGGAGAAGAAGCCCCCGTTGAGGGAAGCATTTGAGGGGGTCTACGACGAGTTGACGGAGGAGGCGGAGGCTCAAATGAAGGAGTTGAAGAGGATACTGGAGACATATCCTGAGGAATATGACTTGCATCAGTTCCAAGATGGAGTGAATGGATTATGATAGACCTGTGGTCCTGGTCGACGCTTCTTGTCAGCCCAAGTCATGAGGAACCTACGTGGCAGGCCTTGTTTTATGTTTATAGCCGTAAAGCCCGATCAGCATATAGAGGGAGATTCATTAGGCTTCTCCATGATACAATTTGTGAAATGAATGCCTACTCACCAAGAGATCACACATGGCGCAAGGTGGCCTTTGCGTGAAGTAAGAAGTGATTAGGATGGTCACACAAGTTTCCAGGCTGCATCTGATGCACTACCACGCTGCCATCTTTCCGGGTGCACGATCGAATAGAGGAACCCTTTCTCCCGGTGCGTCTGATCGACACCTTCCTCGGACATTTCAGGAGGCCGTCTCTACTAGGTCAGAAGGAGAAGAAGGCCTTGGCCCGCCGTCAGACACAGTAGACACACCAGAGTGCACTTTCCTGCACGAAATACATGTCGTCAAGATACATTTTCAGCTGAAAACCTGTCCAGGCAACCAACTAAAGCTCAGTTTCTATCTGACGTTACTTATTACCAACCAGATGCGAAAACAAAGGTACTTCAGCAGTAATCCTCATCTAATTGCCTACATGTCTACATATGTACAGAGATCCTCCGAGCCCCTTTCAAGCTCGAAACCAGCGGAATGACCAGCCCTCACGAACAGAATCTGCTGCGTTGCCCTTCCAAAGTCCCATGACATTCTACCATGAACGTGGCTGGCTTTTTCACCTCCCCGGGGTATCTCATTTATCAGAGTCGATAGGATGGATTTCAAGGCACGACTGACGTTTTATGAGGTTGAGTCAGCGGATGATGTGATCAAACCAGAGCATTTTCAAGAAAATAAACTGTATGCCGTCTGCTACTGGCAGACCTGCATGAGAAGGAGGATGGTATTGTGTCAAGACGAAGGGTCAAAGATATATAGATTTGATCTATCTAGATCTCAAGAAGATGGTTGGTGGTTGGGTTGGGTGGTTGGAAGAGGTGGTGGTCAGAGGCCACGCAGGAAGAAGAGGCGAAGGATCAGCTGACAGCTGCCTGGCTGCAGTGAATGTCTCAACATATTGTAAAGGTCAAAAATCGAGGTGAGAGGCTGAATCCACGTGGCTAACCCATGGATAGATACCTGGTTCATCTATAAGATTGGGGAGAGAAGGCGTGGTCGACGTGACGAGATCGATGTGGCATGCGACAAGTGTAGCTGTCTAGAGATAACGTCGGTTCCGGTAGGTGGGACTTGCTGAGGAAACTCTGGTAAAGTAGCGGTTGCGAAGGGGCGTATTGTTATGTTGATTTCTCCCTTGGTTCTTCGATAGTTGTGAGACCAAATTGATATGAGTACCGGAAGGATGTACTCAACCTGGGAAAGCTGTTGATGCCACCGTCACGCAGGCAGCAACGGCGGAGAAAGGGAAAGCCAAGGGGGTGCAACAGACTATGGATGACGGCCTGACATAGTCTATCCTGAAGAGCCTGAACTGATGGAGTCATTATGGCTAAATGCAGAGACAAAAGGGCAAAAAGCTCATGATTGTGAAGTTGTGGGCGCGGGGCACGGAAGATAGGGTGACTGGGTGAGTGTAAGCAGACATACACTGAATGAGACCAGAAATCTGATCACTAACCCATCCCTAGATCTTACTCTTCAAAGTCGACTTTTATGTTTAATTCACCGTCTAGCTTGCACACTGTCGGGGTCAATAGAACATGGCAGGCTTGATGGGATATGCCATTCTAGATCGAGCTGCGACAAACAATACAGGCTTGTTTCCAGAAAGCAAACATTACGGAGTATCTGGTTACTTGGTTGTGGCTGGTTTACAGTCTCACTTCTGCATGGGAAATTGTTGGTCAGCTAGACTTTCTTTGAACTGGGAAGGCGAGTACGGGAGGGACGCCACGATTTCGGGCTCATTAAGGTCCGGGAAACGCTAGCAAAAGAAGGGTTGTAGCGATGGTACTGGCTTACTTGGGGGGTGCCCTCAAAATACAGGCCAAAAAGCATGTTTATCTCTGGGGGCCTTGGGAAGTGTATGAGGCAGACGCCACACTCATTATTGGTGTCGCGGGTTTCACCAGACTGTAGCATCATGACCAAGCAGCTTCCCGTTCCGACAAGGTTCGACAGGAGTTTGTGCTACTTCATGTGGGCTGGCCTGGGCTTCCGTGTGATAGATCGAATGGTTCTTCGTCATCCAGCAATGTTTGGAAGAAGCCCTAGGCCCCCAGATGAACGGGACCGAATAGGGAGAACGGTGAGCAGACTTGAGCAGAAAAAGAAGGTTTCCACGCTCCTCGTATAGGTCTCAGAAGTATTGAACGATGTAAGAGCTGGGTACGGATACTCTGGAGGAGGTAAATGCATAGAGTCTTATAGATCAGCAACCATGTTGTTAGCCATGCTGTCGATCCATGGCAGCTGTCAATTCTCCTGGTCACCGCTATTACGATTCCTGTTGATATTTCTCCCGTGTTTAAACCTGGAATGCTTTCAAATCTGTCCGTATAAGCACGCCATGCGAATAGGTGTTAACTTTTGTTTTGTTTTGTTTTTTCACCCTTGCTCGGGAGGTGCAGCTGTTGCAAATCTGACGATTACAATCCCCTGATTCAAATGACCCCAACTCAGAGAGTAAAAGCATATTCTCCTTCAGCATCTGGAGACGGAGCATCAGACGGGGGCGTCAGCCACCTTATTTCATCTTAATGCCCCCTTCCTGGGAGAAGGAGCATTCATTAGTCTGAAGCCTGGAGTCTATCTATCTCTCTCTCTCTCTCTCTCTCTATCTCGCTCATTCCCACCTAACACGGTCGGTTTGTACATTTCCACAACCGTGCTTGAGAAAAGCCCGCTGGTTTTTCCCTTAGCCTTTCCAACGGCTTATATGGGGATATTTCCCGTCGCTAGCGCCAGTCCTAGTATAGATTCTGGATGGATGGATGGATGGATGGATGGATAGACGGCAAATCTGAAACCGGGTCAACACGTCATAGGCACCGGAGAGGCACTCGCCCGGTTTCCCGCTTATTAATTCCTAGAAGGGATTGGGGGAATATAGAGTATTTCATTCGATCAAAAGACAGCAACGATGTTTCTCAAATCTGGTAAGGATGTAGGAATATTTCGGTTTATTGAAGACGAAAATTCTCCGATATGAGTATTCAGTGGGTCCGGGTGACTTTAAAGTAACAGCCCTATCTGAGTCGGGCAATACTTCTTGCTGACGAGCGATTAGTTAGTGGTTAACTAGTTAACTATTCGTAATGTTATGTCGGTTTAGTCATCCGATACTAGCTAGTTATGGTATTACTGCAATAAAACGGATATAGAATTCCAGTCAGGAAAGAGAGAGCAGAAGGACAAAAGAAGGTTATACAAGCATGAAGGGGGAATGCTGGTTTTCTAATAGGACTGTATTAGTCAGTGGTATGATAGGCACCGTCCAGTAGGAAAGTTTTTCTCGGTAATAAACACCTCTTAATAATAATTATTATTATCAAACAATCAAACAATCAATCCTCGCAAGCCCTGCCCCTAACTGTTCGTCGCGACATCTAAGCGAAACGCTCGGGTTAACCCCATGACATTCACGGGGGGTTTAGCAGTGCTCATCATAGGGAACGACAGGAAGCATAACAATGTTAGTTCTACATACCTGTATCCACATATGATGCTTTAGAGTTCTAGAGCTCGAATTGATCTAAACCACAGTATATGATGAAGTAAATGAGCGATATATTTGAAGACAGTAGCATGAAATTATATCCAACGATCCATTACCTGCAAGCTCATCACATCTCAAAAGACTCTCCTGCAACAGATACAATACATGAGAAGCAAAACTGAAAGAAAAAAAAAAAAAAAAAACAGCAATTACCGAAACAATTCATAGAGAAACTAAAGGCATATATCGCTCACTGACGCCAGAATGTCTTCCTCCGCGGCGGCATCTGCTTCCCAAGAGGTACGCTTTCCTCCCTGTCTTCTCCATGTTCCCCGCTGTTATCTTTGGCATCAGCTGCACTGGGACTGGCGCTGAGCTTCTTTGCTCTTTGGGCCCTTCTCCCTTTTGTCGGTTTCGTAACACCGGATGTTGACCCTTTCCGAGACACCCTCTCCTTCGTTGGCCTTTTCACTTCCGCTAACACCTCCGCCTTGACCACTCGCTCAGGAGGGAAGATACGACCGTGACCCAGAGCTTGCATCTGTGAGTAAACGAGGCCCGGGCGAGTAACTATCAGGGTCCGACCCCCATCTAAAGCCGCAAAACTCGGAGTATTCTGAGGGCTGGTGAAGTGATGCATATGGGATGTCATTCTGTCTGACTCGTGGACGAAGACAGGAAGATCCGGAAGCCGTTCTATTGTAGTATTGCCGAACATCCCTCCCTCAGTGTAGAGAATCGTATTAACAGCGTCGTGGAGGATTCGGTGAAGCTGTTCATGACGAAGAGATACATCCTTTTTATACTCCAATGGACGAAGAAGAAGTTGAAAAACCCGGCATCCAAGCAGCTCATCAGTCAATGATTCCACCGTTGCTTTACGTTGAACCGCGGTACCCTGTGCCAGCCCTGTATTGGCAGGATTGTTATCGAAGGCGCTGCGGGCATTGCACTCGCCGATAGTGACTGATTTCCACCAGGCTGCCTTGTAGACAGAAGCTTCCCGGATTCTCTCGTACAAATATTGAAGACGAAGGTGAAACTGCGGGTCACCATCAACATCTGTGGGGCTTATCTTTCCATCTAAGAACCAAAAAGGAGAGTCGATGAGTTTAGAGAAGATGAATTGGTAAAGCATTGTAGCGCCTAAGACCGGGCCCATATTCGCGCGGGTTCCCGGTGGAAGGAGAGGGTGGATACTGTCCCAGTCTTCCTGGACACAGTAACCATCAAGACTATTGATGATGTCCTGCTTTTCGTCTGATTGAAGGTGCGACATCGATTCACGACGTGTCCATGCGTGAGTCCATGTGCGAATGGTGCAGTCCAGATGGTTGAACCGTGCACTGACGAGATCGAGGATGCATCGCTGGGAGCATGCATTCTCCTCCATCAAATTGCATTGTGCCAGCACATCGTAGTATTCTTCCCGTGATAAGAAGTAGTTACCGGGGCCGTAGACACGATTTTGGGTTTCAGACTTGTCATCCTGACAGGGCGTTCGCTCTTCACTCTTTCGCTCAGGCTGTCGGGCCTGTTTCGTCCTGCCCATGTTTGCTAGGTAGATGACCGGTGAAGGAGAACAATTATGAGACAGGAAATCAAGTTGTAGGGGTAAGTAGAGGAGACTTGACTTGCACGTAACAGACAAGGTGATAGGGAGAGAGGATTGAAGTAGAGAGAGGTCAAAAGACAGATCAGGAACGCCTGCCTTCCGCTCAGTTAAGGTTTCGTATTTTGAGCATTCTTTATTGGGAGATTATTTCTTTCTTCAATTTCTTACCCACTTCTGTGTTCTTTGTGAGGCCAGTTATTTCAAATTTACCGTTTTTTATCCCCCCTCCCTTTTTCTTTTTTGGTCGGGCGTTTTCCTTTTCTCGTGTTACCTCTTACATCTCCTTTCAGCAACATATTGTCTTATTATCGTTTGAGTCGTTATGATCATCAACCACTCCTGATTTTAATGTCACTGTATTTCCCTTTTTGGTTTTCCATTTATTTTTCATTTCATTTTTCCCTTTGAAGTTTCTTTGCGTTCTATCTATTCTGTGCTTTCAACATCCTAGTCATACCTGAAAAACCTTCTCTGTACGGGGAGTACTCCTCCAGGAAGTTTGTGGGTCACAGGACACGCGGTAGAGTTCTACACACCGAGGCAAGTACAGACACACACGACCACACAGAGGAGATCTAGGGGCAGGACGGGCAAAAGCGGGAGATTCAGAGACACGGTAGACGATCTAGATCAGGCTTATAGTAAATAATAGGTAGTCTGCTGGCATAGGAGAACCTGAAGAGACTAAGGTTATAAAAAGGGCAGAGCCTACTCTTTGCAGTTACCGGCTCCAGACAATCCATGTCAGATCATAGCAATTATCACTTCCAATCTTGCCCTAATTCTTTCCTCCTTTATTTCTCCATGCAGTCTATCATCTTTGTCCCTACTGTTTCTGAATTCGTGATTCCTTGCGCACAATGGCTGATCAGCGACGCCTTGTTGCAGGAGTTGATTTTGGCGTGACGAAGTGTGGTGAGTGATTGGAAAGTTATTTCCCCTTTGTCCCTCTGCCGCCGCGCGCTGGCCTTATCCACCCCGGTGCTGGACTGAAGGCTCTTCTTAGTCGTGACATATCATTACGGGAACAACCGGAGTATCAAGGAGTGGCGTCCAAATGGCCGCGACTCAATCATCCCGACTTGGGTCTCTTATTATCCTGGTACCAATAATCTGCGTGCGTGGGGTTGCGAAGTAGGTCGACAAGATAGCCATCTGGTCCTGCTAAAGTTACAGGTTGCTGGGGTCCCTTCAGCGGAGTCAATGAACTTGAACATATTTGGAAATGCCAAGGTGCCCGGAATCGGCAGAAACCCCATTCAACCCCAGGATGCTATTAAGGGCTTTCTGGAAGCCCTGCGTAAGGCATTCATCGCCGATATAACTGTCATTCAAGAAATTGGGCTCGACCGACTCCCCCCAATTGACTGGTACTTTGCAATGCCTGACTGCTGGACGGTAGAGGGCGAGATAATGATGCAAAGTGCGATTCGGGAGGCTGGTTTCGAGAATGGCGACGACCAGGTTTCTTATACTTCAGAAGCGAAAGCAGCCGCTATACGGGTGGCTAACCAACTCGAGGAGGAAGGTCTTGCTCAGGTAAGCAGTAGCATCATGACCGCATAAATGGCCACCGAATTACTGGCTGATCTTCCTTGTGCCAGGTTGGAGACCGTGTGTTGGTATGTGATTTAGGTGGTGTGACCTGCGTAAGTGCACCATTGTCTTTTATCAACCCACCCTCCCTCTTTTTAGCCCTCTCTCTCGGTGAGACTTCAACTATCAATGACCTGAACTGACCAAGATCAGGATTACACTGCATTTCGCGTATCCGCAACGGCAAACGAGGCACACCACTTACTCTTTCATCCGCTAAGTGAGCAAAGTACGATGAAGCACGGCAGTCATTTGGTAGAGACATCGCTCATGGGTCACATCCGCGAGGAACTTGGTCTGCCATGCGCAAAGGGCCAGGTGGCTTCCATGGCTTGGAAGGCGGCCATTGACGCCAAGCATGGCTTCTCTGGCAACGAGGATATGATTGTTTACCTCCCACTTTCCCAGCAGTACAAGACCAGATGGAAGTACAATCCATCAGAGCAATTTGACGAGCAAACCAATCAGTTCACTCTCACCAGGGCTTCACTCGTCAAAGCATTCGATCCTATTGTGAGACCAATCCTGAAAGCCATTTTGCGCCACATATCTGTGTGGAATGTGACCAACATCGTCCTCGTGGGTGGTTTCAGTCAGTCAGTCTACCTGAGGAACGAAATCGAACGCCGCCTGCAGGATATTGATGAGGACGAACGACCGTCTCTGCGCCATCTACAGGGCAGCGATGCGTAGGTTTCTTCCTCTTTGCCGGATTTCGCGGTGCTAACCTATTCATGGCAGTGTCACTGCCGTATCCTACGGGTTGACGCTCCGTGGCAGTACAGTCTCTGAATACGTGCAGTACCAGAGCATCTGGGGTTACGAATTGGCTGCACCCGTCATCGAAATGCTTGCAACAGGGCTTGAACCCCCAAGGAAACATGCTTTTCGTGTGATTGACTCGGTACGCATCGTTCTGATTCCATGTCAGGGTCTGCTCTTTCTGATTGTCTCTCTTCCTGCAGGGCCGCGCATTAAGTAATGAGGGAGGCGTGCACATGTGGCTCGCTGTGGAGGCTGGGCAAAGTGTACAATCAGTCCTTATCCGTCGTTTCACGCAAATGCCGAACCGTCAGTCGCACCTCTCTGGCCCCAGATACATGGATCTTCGAACTAATGCCATTTAGGTGTCCTGGTAATAGGTGAGCTCAAGCTCAATCCTCCCGGTGAAGCCCGTCGCGGCGTGTATTACCCCCCAGGTGCCGAAAAAATCTTTTGGTATGAGTGCTTGGCATCGTGGACGGTTTACAAAGATGTCCGTGAGCGTATGAGGTGGAAGTTGAGCATCCGAACGGACAAAGAGTGGGTGGAGGTAGGCACCGCGGACCATATGGTAACGGATATGTCACCATGGCATTGAAAGGGTCTAGAACATACTCTTGACAAAACTGTTTTCTTTGCTTATAGTATCGGTTCATACACCAAGATGCGCTCTTTTTCTGTCGTCATATCTGTATTCTCCTTCCTCCCTCCCCTCCCTTTTTCTTTTATTTTTATTTTTATTTTTTTTTTATTTTTCCTCTTTTTACTTTTTTCTTTATTCTTTTTTCTCTTTTTTCACTCTCTAATTCTAATGTATAATGTATACTTTCCCCTTTCAGGAGCGTTTTCATTATCATCTATGTATCCAGAATGAAGTAATTTCCTATAACTAGAAGCAATAGCATGCACTGTATGATCTTGGACTACCATGAAGCATCCATTATTTGTGTAATTCTCTTCTGTCGCCCCATACGCCATTCTTTTGCAGCATGGACCTTAACTTAATCCCAGTGCCGGTAAATCCATGGTAAACCCCGAACCATTCTGGAGTTATTCTAAAGTCACCTCTCTCACGCAGTTGTTTCATATCTGTGCGCAGCTGTCCAAGCCCGGGCCTTGAACAAATAGAGACCATCAACCATTTACAAGCGTCTTCAGCTACGCCGGCTCACTCAAAACACCACGACAAAACCCAGGGCTTGGCCGAACTCCAAGATTCTTCTTTGTATCATACCACGTTCATTCTTTATGTAGCATGTCAGCTTAATATGGCTGTTATCATTGCTAGTGCAGCTGCTGAAGAATATATTGTTGATAGTGACCGGGACATGGCTTACTCGTCTTTTATCAAATGCCTTTGTATAAGGAGGTAGTTATCCAGGCGTGGACTGTACTCTGTAGATGTATTTTAAGACATCTCGGCAATCGATGTGTCAATATAAATAACTACATGGGTATCACGCAACAGGATAGGTAATTGAACAGATTCAACTTGAAACGGGAGAGTATAAGGAAAGAAGAAAAGAAAGGCACAAGACTTTCCCACCACCCACCCTGAGAAAGCCAGCATGTGGCTCTCCCAACTGAGGTAGTAATATAGAAATGAGAGACATTGGAGAATGAGAAATATGGTACAAAAGTTCCCACCACCCGCCCTGAGAGAGTCAATATTTGGCTCTCCCAACTGAGGTAGTAACAAAATGAAGAAGGAAAAGAGGAGAAAAAAAATAAAAAGAAGGAAAGAGAAGGACAGATAAAGATAGAGACAGGTAATAAGAAGGTTGCCACCACCCGCCCTGAGATAGCCAGTATATGGCTCGCTCAACTGCGGTAGTAATAGAAAGAATAATAGAGGAAGAGACAAATAAAGGAGGAAGGGTTGGGTCTTAAGATGCATAGAAAGAGAGAGTGTTTCCGTTGGAAGGTAGAGGTATAGCGGGAAAGGCAGTGGAGGAAGAGAAGTTGGGCATGAAGAATTTAGTAATCCACGTAATTAACTTCTCTCAACTTGCCAGCCCATCTGATTTCTTTCAGAGACCTTTCAAGCCTTATAACTTCTCTCCTTACCCCTACCCAGCCAGTCTGGCGAGGGAATATCCAATCTGCACGTTTGATCATCTCTATATCAACTAGTTGATTGAGACGGTTTATTAGCGTCTTGCATGTCTCGTAGTTTGAGACGTAGGCAGATTCCAGCTGGAGAATAATGTTGTGTCGGTGTTCAGAAGTTGGGCTCGTGGAGGCAGTAAAGATAATCTCTGCATCTGTGAGAAGGATCTCATGATCCCAAATGAGATAGCCGATATAGGTGTCAATATGACGCAAGAGGGAGGTATAGATTGGAAGAGTGTTGACTTTGTGGTTCTGGATGTGGGTCGATAGAGTGTCGATGGCAGAAGCAAGAAGTGGAAGAAGAGTAGAGCTGTCAGACGTGCTGGTAGTTCTGGTAGAGGAGAGTGTGTGGAGGAGGGTATCGAGGGCTGGATCTTGGTCTTCGACCAGAACTTGAGAAGTAGGCTCCGTGATGTGAGAGACAGACACTTCTTCATTTTCATCCTCTTCAGTGTTGGCGAAAAGTCGTGTTAGGGCTGATGATGAATCGTGCTGGGCTCTGGTTTTGCCCTTATCCTTGCCCTTGCGAGGGTGGATGATGCGATCCAAGGACTTGAAGGGGTGGCGGAGATTGTTGTATAAAAGGATAGGAGCCATCTTGTTGTTTAATCTAAGATGGATACTGATGTTTTGTTGAGTAGGTGGAGGGAGGATAGAGTTTCCTCTACAAAGGAGCTCTTTAGGGAATTCAGCGTCTGAGATGTTTCAGGCGGGAATTTAGTAGTGTTGTATAGTCTCCAGTGGCGTATCTGATGAAATGGATGGTTGTGTGGTTGTAGTATGAAGCAATAAAATTGCTAGTATAGTAGATAAATAGGTCGAAGCGTTCAGATGATGAATGTCGAATAGACTGTTGAAACTTGTAGGAGGTATACTCGGAAATCTGAACAATAAAAACTTAGAATAGACGTTATAGTTCTTCAACTCACAGATTTTGCCTTCCATCCAAGGGTCATTATGATTCACAGGCTGAAAATAGATTTTGATGACATACTGACTCGGCAACTAATTTGGCCACTTCGGTTTCTGCCAGGGACTATAAGCGTAGTGATATCGTCACCGGCAGCAATAGGAGTCATTTGGTTAGATATGCCACATAGAAGAATAGCAACAGTGGCTGTACAAAGCCGGGATACTTCTCCTGAGATCGCTCACTCCGTCCTTATGTTGCCGGAAGCTACCAGAATGGAGAATGCATCTTTCCCAGTGCTCTCTCATGGAAGAGACTTTCTAAGGGCATTGACAGGTCATGGTCATTAGGACTTGCGACTGGCTAGACATTTCAAGCTGGCTCCTGTGGTGCCTTTTCTGGATGAAAGCTCTATCAGCTTTGCCTATGGTCATCGAAGAAGATAGGAAGCTGTGAGCATGGCATGATACACCCTCGTTTGCTCTCGTCCCTATACCAAAGTCCCCCGTATCAGGAACTATAGTCATCTGTAGCAGTACAAGGGATTCACGATGCTCTGTCAGATCTTTCCTTGATCTTGAGAGATATCTACCCTGGGGATCACATTATTGATATAACCTGCATTCTTATAGCCACATCATGTTGGATCAAACCAATCTTTTTCCACGTAATGCCCTATATGGGTGTTTCTGATTCTTAGTGACTCAAATTACTGCGACACTTGTGCGTATTTCCTAGATACTCTTGGGTTTTCCGCCCGTTCAATCTGTGTCATGATCCAGATAGGTGATGTCAATGACGGGTATAGCAGACACAAGAGTCAACCAGTAACAGTATGCCCAGTCCAAATCTATCATGGCAAACACAACACTCAGGAAAGATTTGTCAATTGTAGGAACACGACCTTTGAATGTCCATATAATGCAGAATGCTGGTCTGATGGCATTGCGTTGATAATGCAGCCTTCGGTGTCGAGCATACAAATACTCTCATAGGGCTAAAGTTCATATCATATTATCGATCCCTTGTGCTAAGAATTGTTAATGGGGTAAACGTTCGAAGACGAAGCAATGGTCTGAATGATTCCCATTCCGTTTCATGGTTTTCCAGCTCGTAAATTCCATTACTCCGGTACTGACCATGCAGGCCCTTGGCCATCTCAAGAAGCGGAACGCCTTTTATTTTCATTAACTCGCCAAAGGAATCATACAGGATGATGCGAAGCCATGCTTATGGGAATAAGCCGGTCGCTTGGACAAGTCGTAGAATTTCCCTCTATGGCAGCGAGGTAAAATGTCTTCTGTGTCTATATATTCCATCTCATCGAGGCTGCTGGTAACGAAGTTTGTCCAAACATTTTCAAGTATAGCGCGTAAATTCACATGTCAATATTACAGGATGACGCGAGAGGAATTTTCAGAGTCTCAGCTGAAATTACCGTGCGACGAGATATATGGAACACTTCTTGCCAGAGGGAAACATGTTCGGAGCCACTGTTGTGGGCGTGAGCGAAGACTCCATAGCACAAGCAGGTCTTGCCTGACGCATTCCATTCAGAGAAGACGTATTTGGAACGTCCGCCATGAACATTCGCTATTTTTCTACCCTGCAATGATCTTCTGGAAACATGGAAGAAACAATCACTTAAGCTTATTGCGCTGCAACGCACGCACAGTGACAACAGCCCGGGTCTGATTTCAGGCTTTTGTTGTTCAGTCTTGTACCATCTCTGACGGCATGCCAGATGATTCACCATTGTAGTCCAGACTGAGTTGAGATGTATCGTCCCGAGTGGATGGGAGGATCACGAGAATTTAGCGGCCCACGCACGCATTTCAAGGCCGGAGGTGCTTGGAAAGGAACTGAGAAAGCCCCTGCTCAAGCCCTGAAGTTAAGGCACGCCTGAAAAACTCTTTAGACACACCTTCAATGATCTCAGGGACCTTTTATACCACCACGAGTGCATAGCTTGCTCCTGAAACCCCCTTCGTCAGACAGGAAATAAGATCTTATTAAGGTGGCATCAAACAAGGCATATGCGACGTTTGGATGCCGCGTAATTTGGGCAGGTTGGATACGAACTTGCTTCTTGACGTGATATGTTCTGGATGAGTACATAGATATAACATGATAGCAGGATGGTATATATCATCCACGTTGTTTGTTGGGTTGTGATGATATTATGTACCTGTCCCCGAATTTGGTTTATAAAATAATGCTTGTCTGATTCAGCTTTCTTCATCAGTATCACCTAAGATGACGCATTCTGTACGTGTAATTGCCCAGGCATTGATTAAACATATCATATAAGAGTGGGTTTATAATTTGATGATAAGCCTTGCATAATACTCCAGATTCATGTCATCGTCATTTTTACGCGCACCAAGGTTGCAGAACATGAGCCTTCAACTCAGCCCCTGTACCGTGGATCAGACATCGTGCACTAGGTAATATACTTTACATGGAAAGTGGCATGATAATGTAGCATCTGACTAGGTAAATGTGGAGGGTGACAATCGACAAAGGAATGCTTCAATTGTAAGATGGGAGTGTAACGTAAAGTCAGAAATTTTCATACTATAGAACATTCTGCTCAAGACTGTGAACAGTCAATGAAGATTTCTTATGGCTGAAAGGCCACAATGATGGACTAACAGGCTGTTTCGTGAAGCGATTGAGATGCTGTGGTAATATCACATGTCACGGTTTTACGGATAGTGTATCTCTCGCTTGAATTTCACTGTAGTACTGCTCATTATATGTAGCTGCCTGGAAACTAGTGAGTATGGGGGTGGGTGTGCATTGTACCATCCATCCAGCGGACAACAGTAAGCAATTCTCAAGATCATTTCTTCTTTTCTCTACTAGTACCTCCACACAAACCTTTTCCGCTAAAAAACGTATTTCAAATTATGATTTATTTGCTCAATTATTAGTATTCACCATATATACATCTCATGATAGATCCATCCGCCTACAGGTCATGAACGATACATGATGACAAAGCTTTGATCATTTCGAGGGGTATTCCTTCTCTAGGAACATTTAACATATCTGCTTTTCTGACACTGATGTATTTAGTGTTATCTTATTTTCGAAAGGCGTCGCCAGTTTGTATCCATAGTCAAGAGATATCTTCATGGTGTGTACGCGGATATTCTTGGACCATCTACCATCCTACGCCGCTGCATGTAACTGACCCAGGGGAGAATAAACCGGATACAGGAGTATTTTCGGCAGATCGGGTCCGAATAAGCACCTTGATAGACTGGGGATTGTAGTATGTCACACATCCGTGGAGTGGAAAATACATTCTGTATGCGTATCAGTTGCGCAGGGGAAAGTTAAATCCTCTGGGACATTTCCAGAGTTTGGCCAAACCGGCTAACAAAACGGAGAAAGTTTGAGAACGTTACATGCTGTGCAGACCCTAATGGGGTCGACCGTGGTTCTCTAAAGGAGACGATCAAGGTGAGCACATTGTTCTGCTGTTTATTGGTCCAATGAAGATGGCGAAAGCATCCTCGTGGGCCCATCTCCCACTCCCAACGCGTCTGTTGACAGCCTATATACAACGATGAACTGTTCCGTATTCGATCTTGGCCCAACCCGTCAAGCTTCACTACATAACACTGCCTTCTAGCCAGTTGAATAGGGTTTTGCGGTTACAACTGAAGCAAGCAATACCCATAGAGAAATTAGCTGATCATGGAGAATACACTGTCTGCATCTGTCAGTTTTCCCAGGTTGGCAGGGCTCTACCTTCACTTCATTAAAACGAACTGATACTGATTCTGTCCTTTTAAAATACGCATCATTGCATATTTCGGGCCTATTAGAGTTCTCGCTTGTCCGGTCAATACTTTGGCACCTAACATCTAGACCAGACGGGTCGATCCTCGGCTGGTGGGAAAAGGAAAGAGACGAGAAAGGTAGCCACGACTGCGGTTTCCACCTGCGCTTTCTGTTAGTAAAATTCTGTTGAGAGAGAAACTGATTAAGGGTTTGGTTCTTCTTGAACCATTAGACATCACTCTTTCGAGAACTAGCTTCACACTCTTTCAGACTAAGTTACATCTCCATACTTTCGTTGAAGAACGCAGTCTTAAACTATATATTCACCCTCAGCTCAGCTACTCTTTTCCGTAAACATTATCTACTTCACTTGAAGTATTCTGGTGTATCATCCTTCAATTGTTTAGCCCTTTAAGGTATCAGCAATGGGTGACATCAAGATGAGCTCCTTAGGGTTCTACTACAGAATAGCTACTAATGATTGCCTGGACAGGATTGTGACTTCATTCCTAAACCTCCACCACACAATGCAGTATCCACCTTGGCCAGAACAAGCAAACTTCAGGATATCCTCTACCGATTCACACAACTACAGCGATGTGGTGAGGACCATCCGACTACCCTCTTCTCTATCTTCAATTCCGGAATTTAACCGAGGATCTCAAGGGCAATGCGTCTCATGCGGTGTCCACCCACCGAGCGGAGCATATTTTGACTAGCAGGAAGATGGCAATTCCTAGGCTAGCAGAAGGCTTGGAAACATTCTCAACCCCTGGTAGATTTCATCGTCGTCACGTGAGCCGAGCATGCGAATCCTGCAGACAGAGAAAGACAAAGTGCACAGGGGATAAGTCTGGTTGTCGCAACTGCCGTGAGGCTGGCATCATCTGCTGCTACACAGATGGTAAAAGGGAGAAATCCAAGAGGTGTGTTTTCATCTGACTAGCTAGATCCTCAACTGATTTTAGAGGAATTGGTACACCAAGGCAATTGGCTAGTTTGGAGGCCAAAATACGGACTTACGAAGACGCTTTGAAGAACCTGAGCAACAGATTTGGGCTTACGAATGAGCAGCTGATGAACCTGGCATTGACAGTGGTACAGACACAGACTCCTCGCATCTCTTTAGCCTTAGCCATATCTCTTGTTCCGATCGAGCCCGCTATTTCCACTTCGCTCTGTCTACTCCAAGATTTATACTGACTAGAAGTAGGAGGAGTCTTCCAGTCCTGCCCTGTTCCCTGATGGGCAAACACCCTTCCTCGGAAATCAAAGACCTCTTTCAACTCCCAACTCCCAGTTGCCACCATTCGTTGACTCCAGCCACTACGTTGATTGTATCAGTGAAGACTTCAATAAGGACGAAGTTTCCCAGGCTACGGGCTACATTGGCCAAAGCTCCGAAATTGCGTGGATACATTCATTAGGCCGAAATGTCAACGATGGGACTGGATGTGGGACTCCTAAAGAATCTATATCGCTGCAAAACTCTGATGATAGTCTTATATCCGCTTCGAATTACCATGTTGATGATCAAGAGCTACCAAGTATCGAGCGACAAGAGCCTTATGCACTGCCGTCGAAGGATATAGCTTCAAAGCTCTATAACTGCTATTTGGACCGGGTGCATCCTTCTTTTCCAATCATTGGAACCACGCCATTCGGAGCACAGTTCCGTGCATTCTTCAACAATGCCAATTTACGCCCAGGAAACAAGTGGCTCGCAGTCTTGAACGTAGTCTTTGCAATCGCTGCTAGGTATGCTTATATCTCTGAAGCAGAATGGCAATTGAACAAGAATAATCACTGGCTGTATTTCTCAAGAGCAACGGTCTTGAGTATGGATAACGGGGGTTTTCACCATCCTGACCTACAGCAACTACAAGTGGAAGGGCTAACAGCTTTGTACATGCTTTCTCTGGGGCATATCAACCGGTACGTACATCTATGTCCGTATATACAAGTCACCTATACATGCCAGTGCTTACGAATGATTCAAGTGCTTGGAGAATTTGTGGGGGTGCTGTTCGTGGAGCCCTTGGTCTTGGATTGCATCTGCGCAACATGAGCAAGTCGGCTTCGGATACTTCCAGGGAGATCCGATATCGCGTATGGTGGTCCCTTTACATGCTTGATCACCGACTTAGCATGGTCACAGGACGGCCGTCTTTCATAGATGATACTATATATACAATACCCCTGCCTGTTCCAGTTGACGAAGAGAATTTCGAAAGGGATGAAGTGATAAACTGCCTCCGTCTGTCACACGGGACTGAAGGCAACGGTTTAAGTTTTGATCTGAAGGCCAAACACTCGATAGCTACCCCAAAGGCTACAGGCGCAACTGCCAGTCCTCCTTGTGGATCATTGCACTTCCTCCATGTCATTCTGCTCACGCTGATATCAAAGAAAATGACAACCAAGCTCTACAGTCCCGGAGCAGCGCGCACATCTTGGATAGGGATAGAGTTTGCTATACAAGGTCTCACCTCTGACATCGAATCTTGGCTTTTGAGTCTTCCTAAAGATTATGATTTTACATCAACACAGTCCTCACAGGTCACTCATTCAATATCTACCCACCGGATGAGCCTGGCATTTTTATTCTATAGCACCAAAATTGGCATAACACGGCCATGTCTTCGCCGTCCTAATACTGCGGAGCAAGAAGGCAAGGTTTCAGATGAGAAAATGCAGGATTTCTGTCACAGAACAGCAGCTGAGTGCGTGGAATCGGCTTGCCATATGTTGAGGCTATTTCCCGAAGGACTAGATGCTGCTGCACTGTACAGAATGTCACCGTGGTGGTGTATACTGCATTTCCTTGTTCAAGCAACCACAGTCCTTTTAATAGAGCTGTCTTTTGGTGTTTGTCACGTTCCAGAGAAGGCTTCGATGGTTTCTAAGGCGACTGAAAGAGCCCTTCAATGGCTTGCTATACTAGCAAAGACCAACGCAGCCTCAGAGAAAGCTCGCTTACTATGCCAATGCCTTCTACGCCGTATCGAACAATATGCAGGAGTGAATTTACCTATTCACCCTATCCCAAGTGATGTCGGCATTTCTGTTTTGCCTGGACCTAGACCGACCGGACTTTCGTCTACTCCAGACCCGCGCCCCAGTGAATTTGGAAGCAGTCCTTCACCGTTTTTCGGTTCGTCGAATTCTCTGGAAGCCCATGTAAAGTGCCAACCTTCTCCAGAAAGTCCTGGTCTGATGCAAACGGACAAGGATACCAACGCTCAGGATACTTACGATGAGGGCCTTCCTTATGATCCAAGCACAGGGCAGATTATAGGGTCTTTCTTCCCACCTAATCTAAGTCTCGGCTTGGAAATAAGTGATTATTTCTTGGAGGAAGTGTGACACTTGCCTACACCTCGTGATCAGGAATGTAATCAAAGGGCTGCCCTCTATCAGGCCTCCCGGACGGTCTCCTAGTCTTGCTGTGAAAGTTTGAGCATCACGGCCCTGTCTCTATATATAGCCGTGATTGGCACCCAGATTGCAATGAAAGTCTCTCTTCACGGTGTTGACATAAGTGTACTATTATAAGAATTGAAGTCTTTGACTAAGTTCCACTACCCTTACATTCAATTGATCCTAAATGCTTTGGTCTATCGAGTCCTCTAATTTCCACCAAAGGCTTTCTCATTCAGCCAGCCGTCATAACTGCCAAACTGATCCAGCTTATACCTCCCCGCGTTAAGATGGAATAGAGGATACCCATTGATAAACTCGTTGACTGTCTTTAGCAGTCTCGGATTTCCCTCACATGCAGCACGCAGTCTCCGGATACTACCCAAGCACTGATCCACTCTCTCCTGGAAAACCTCATACTCAGAAATCCCCCTGCAAACAGAAGTCTGCCTGATCCACGTCCCAGGTTCATTGCCCAAAACAGACTCCTTATAAAAAGACAACACATCATTCAACTGCTCAATAATCCCCGCTATATCAGGGATCAACGTAAAGTAATCCCCCAACTTCCAGTCACTCTTGGGGAAATAGAAAAACGCATAAGCTTCCCCAATACCACTTTTCCGTCGCAAGAAGTCCGGAAACAACTTGGTAGAAGGAGAGACCACGAATTCACCTGTCCGTTCTGCCTCCACGATATTGATGCTCAAAAAGTCCATGGTTGAGTTGATGATCATGTCGCCAGCATACCATTCATACTGGCTAACTATATCGTGGAGGGTTTTGTATAGGCCCTTGATGTATTGCAGATTGGTGCTGGATTTGCCAAGAAAGACGGTGCGACAGGGTTTAAGCTGCTCGCGGAATTCGGGGTCTGCGCATTGGTCGTCGATCGAGAAAACGTATGCTGTTAGGACTCCTATGGAGATCTGTAAATCTCGGGAAAGGCTGGGGTAGAAGCATCGTGCTAGGACTTTTCCTGTGTCGACGAAGTGGGGGATGGTGTCTTCTGGGAGGCCGGAGGCGGCTGCGAATTTGTTGAAGACTTCGTTTTTGAAGGCTTCGTCGGGCGCGAAGGGGGGGATATTGGGGAGGATTTCTTTCAAGAAGGGTAAAATGATTTTAAGGAAGTCATCGGGTGATACTGAGGGTTGGACTTTTGTCATTGTTGCAGTGCGATGCTGATGATTAATGGGTTTTTGGGAGGTATTTATAGGTGTTGGAAAGCTATATACTATAATGTAAATCATCGGTACTATTGGAGACTTTCGCAGAGAGGATTTCTCTACGTCATGAGGTTGTCATATCGGATTGATCGCGCACTCTGTGAGACAATAATGGTGTCTGTCGCTTTGATAAAATTCAATATTGCCAGGTCCTTCGATACAACTGGCATTGGAGTGAACTCAGGGATATACATGCAGCTGTGTTGCACTGACAAGTGGACAAGTGGTGAGGGATACTGTGGATAGAATGTAGACATGCAGAAAAGGCTATGCTGTGTGATATTATGTGAAGAAATTAATTGGGCCATTGTGTGGAGTTCATGTGAGGATTTTAATATATAGTAAATGCAGAGCATACAGAGAACAGAAAATGATCAGCAAGTGTTGGGCCATGGCTATCTATAGATATGCATCTTCTCTCAACATGGTGATCGTTGCCGTCGATGGAGGCTCTTTCTGATGTAAGTCGCCAAGCCACAAAGATTTTCCGTGATGAAATGTGCTTCGTATCTACATTTTTTCCCACACTTGATTATTATAATCAAGAATAAATCATGTATCAGATTTGATTCTCTTAATAGTGACGATTATCGTGGTTCGACCAGCATGACTCTTGCGGTCGGATTAAGCAAGGGGGTTTGCGATTGACCTCACTGGTGTACAGAGTCTTGTATGACAGAGCTGCATCCATACTATTTGAGCACTGTGATTAAATGGTGCTATACCGCCCTGGATTATGGTAGGATCCCGTTCCTCTTGTGGTCACAGTGGTATTTTCTGCAAGGGGTATAGAGGAGTATAGAGAATGATGTGTTTGGTTGCACGATCTCACAGCAGTATCCTATTCACATCCCTAGTTCGTCCTGTTATGAAGTTATCACTAGTAAATTATATATTGATGACATCCAATGTCTTATTAAGGTGCAGTTATTCAGGCTCAAGCATATCTGGTCAAGCCCCCCTCTTTGACGGAGCAGCCTTTGACGGAGCAGTCAGTCCACTATCCTGCAATATTCACTCTGTCTCTCACCCTACCTACCTTACATCTTCAGACAGCTTCTTCATGAGTTGTTAAAAGAATCTGCGCATATTATCTCAGGGCTAAAGATGGCGGCAGAAAACGCGATAAGCATTCTTGTGGCAACAGGAATACTCCTCGTATGTTCTGAAAGGCTGTTATTTCCGAGAAGTTGCATAAGCCATCGAGAGAGCTAAGTTCGAGAGTGGCCTATAGTACTTGTCGGTGGTTACGTATAACCTATTAATCCATCCACTGAAAGACTTTCCCGGCCCGCGGACGCTAGCCGCCAGCAGGATCCCCGTAACCTACGCCTCTCTGAAGGGGATACAAGCACAGTGGCTCCATAACCTTCATCTAAAGTATGGACCAGTCGTACGCGTCGCTCCTAATGAGCTGAGCTTTATCGATGAGCAAGCCTGGAAGGATATATATAGCAGTTCACCCACGGTGCCACAAAGTATGAAGAGTGGGTCCGATTTCTTCAGATATCTTGAAGACGATGACAATCGGCCATCTATACTAGCAGCCGATGAGACAGATCATCCAAGGATTCGGCGAGCCTACGCGCCAGCATTTTCACGACGAGCCTTAGCCCGTCAGGAGCCAATCCTAGCCAAGTATGGTGACGTTCTCGTCGAAACCCTTTCCGGCATGGAAGGAAATACCATCAATATACGCGATTTATTCCATCATACGCTTTTTGAGATTGTTGGGCATTTCCAATTTGGTGAAGAACTGGGAGTCCTGCGAAAAGGAGCACATAGAACGTGGGTACACAGCCAGCCCAGGTTGGTACGGGTCGCGACTTTGCTATCAGCTCTCGCCGAATTCTCCTGGATCAACCTTCTGTTCCGCTCGACTATACCCTGGATGTCGAAGTGGCGCCGCAAGGCTTATTTCAAGGCTTCGAATGACCTCATAGACCATCGACTTCGTACTCAGAGCGACGAACCTGACCTCATCGGCCTTACTTTTCGCAACAGTCGCAACTTGTCCCTGACTGAGAAAGACATCCGTGCCAATGCCCACATAATGATGACTGGAGGAGCAGAAATGACCATGACCACCATGACAGCCTTGACCGCATACCTCCTTCAGCACCCTGAGTGTTTCGCACGTCTTAAAAATGAGATTCGCACAGCATTCCACGATAAGAGCCAGGTATCTCTGGAATCAGTATCGAATCTTGCTTACCTAGATGCCTGCATCAAGGAGGCTCTAAGAATATTTCCCCCGATCCCCGGAGCTATGCATCGTGTTACCCCTGCGAGCGGGGCGCGCATAGCCGGTCGATGGGTCGCAGGAAACATGCGGGTCTATATTCCCATCTTTGCAGTCACACATTCACCCACCCACTTCTGGAACCCTGACAAATTTATTCCTGATCGCTGGCTAGATGGTGCAGAGGGCCCATATCAGAAAGATAATAGAGCGGCATTCCATCCCTTTTCGACAGGACCGCGGGGTTGTATTGGCCAAGAGTGAGTTGACCTATTACTCATCACACATGAGCATTAGTTGATAAGTGAATAGCATGGCATATGGCATGACAAAGGTAATATTCTGCAAATTTGCAACAGAGTTCAACTGTGAACTTGCGTCTGATGATACCGGCTCCTGGCTCACAGGTCTTCGTTCATGGGGAACATGGGATGTGCCGCCACTCATGGTGCGGGTATCTAGGGCGGAAAGGCCAGCATCTGACTATGATATGATGTCGTTGTAATGACGCTTATGAGAAGTGGCTAGTCATGATGACAGTGATAATGCAGTGATGACATTTAGTCTTGATAATTTGATGTAACTTAGGTGTGTAGATTCACATTCACAAAGACTTTATACGGCTCTACCTCCGCGGCCTACTTTTACAGTCGGATCCTATTCGGCGGTGCACAGCCCAACTGTCAGTGGATATCCCTACACTAACTGTATCCCCCCGGGGGGTGGGGGGAGCAGATGCGACAAACGGACACTGTTTAACTTGTTCCGGGATAACATTCAGACTGTCCACCGAAATCACCCAAGCTACAAATTACGTATGCCTTCAGGTTCGCTATCCGATATACCCTCGGGTTCTACTGAAGCGTCGAGTTCTCGTAAAATTGTGCAATGAAGATCATCGACCCCAAAGCGGACAACGTCTGTACATCTTTTCCGGTTCTCCGATCTTTCACGAGAACGAGTTAGGCCAAGAAAGTTCCAGGACTGAATCGGTTACCGATGTATATCGGGACAGTCACTGTAGGAATCTACCAGACCATGAACCGATGTCTGTAAGTCCGTGGCTTAATCGCCGCACATCAAACATCTTCCTCTCTATCACCAGTATGGCCCGCATCGTGATGATCTACAGAACAGGTACATATCACGTACCTCTTCAGTCATCGACACTATTTATTATTAGATAATCGGCGAGCTCTTACATTTGAAATATTTGAGCATGATGAGTATTGTGCTATATAATCCCACTAAGGTCTACAGATCAACCCCAGATAGTGCAGGGCATTCAACGTCAACATCTGGTCTGTTAGACCCAATCTCGGTTCAACGTTGCCGATGAATACTATGGCCACGGCGGCTAATCAGCTCGCAGATCTGAAGCCAAGCGAATCACTGCAAACTTGCATCGCTATGGCTTCCCCATAGGGCTCCGCTACCCAAGCCAATACTATAAGGAACTACTAATAGTTAGCTATTCCCAAACAGGGTACTATTTTAAGAAGCAAAATGTTTTACCGAGTTTAGGATATGTTGTCGATAGTATATATGTATATAGGCATTGATATATGGGTATGGGTATGGGCATGTATGTTCTTATTATGATGAGTGTTTATGGATTTTTATTCTATGGTTTATGGTGTTTGGTATGTCTCTGACTTAGTTTTATGTCACGATACGTACCTTTTTTCTACATTATCGTAAATTTCCTGTTTTAGACATTGCTGCTTTACTGAGGGCGCTCAGGGGCTTGCTCAGTGAGTAATTCACATCACGACTCACCGAAATTAAAGCGCGGGTCACTGGACAATCCGTTGCGCAGTTTATATTGCTGCCATCGCAAAGATCGACCAAAAATGTCAATTCGAAGCCGCATGCCAGCTTCTCCGAACCCACATGCAGCGTCAGAGCATAGCAGATCTTTACTTTGCTTCCTGCGACCTAATCAATCCTCTCCAGACCCGGATCAAGGTGTATTTTGCTGAGGTAGAAGTCACTTTAACAAATATAACCGAACACTGGGCTCTGAGTGGTATGGTTACCGACCAAGAGACTCTGGAAGGGTTGCAGATGCTCCGCCAGCTGTGGAAGGACTTATGCATCGTTGAAGGCAAGCGGTCTCTCCCCGACAGACCGACTCAGCCTGGAGATCCAGAAACACGTATGCCATGTCTGCTAAACTATGAGATGAGTCCGGGGAAACCTCACCCCAAGCCGAAGTTATACTACCCTCTCACGGGGATCCGGAAATGAGAATCGCCAACGCGTTGGCTGCCTTCTTTCAGCGTCATGGTATACAAAATCAGTCTGCTGCCTACACCAATAATCTCAAGTCCTACTAGCAAGTAATGTTGCGGCTTGCTACATTTCCTCTTTCCCCTGTTTCTCGTCCTTCGGTACCCTTCGGCTGACCTATAGCCCAGTCCTGGCAAGGATTTGGACGTTGCCACGGACCATCAGGCCTGGCTTTCATTTTCTTATACGAAGAAAAAGGGACCGTATCTCACCATTTATTACCATTAGGCCTTGCCAGAGGAGGCGGAGGACTCGTAATCCTTAAGACTGTGTGTCTGAGGAGCTTGTTGATCGGTTACTATGACTGTCACCGCACCACAGAAAGGATTGGCCGTGTACGTTGTTGTCGGTACCCGCATGTACTTGCAGAATCCCCCGGGGACGTAAGGGACTCGGTCGGAAGCCCAGTGTCTTGTGAATCCAACAGTTTCCTTTGTATTCTGCCGCCCCTCCCCGGGACCTCTTCCTTCGCGCAAGTGAGCAAAGGGGTAATTATATCACTGCAATTTGGGTCCCCGTTCGATGTTCGCTGGGACTGCAGAACATTGTGAATCAAGTCCGATAGAACGGCTGTTCCGTAGGCACTGTCCAGAATGGTGAAAGTATGGTTTGCAGGATCCGGCGACGCCTGCAAGGTCGATAATCTTTCTTGCAAGGAGGACGAAAATATTTTCCGTAGCTTAGTTTGCGGAAATTATAGTCCGTCTTGATGAAGATCTGAAAAGTGGCCTTCGCGAGTCATAAAGTCTATTCTTTGCGGACAGGAAACCGTGATCATAGGTAAAAAAGGACCGTACAATCCGATGACGCGTATAGCTTATCTTTTTTTTTGAGTTCTGTTTGTCTATTAGTACTTGATACAAAGTATGGGGATCTTAAGACCCCAAGGTTGTCACTCTATATAGTGGGATACCATTAGGCCCCTTACGCTTATCTAAAACACAGCTCCCTGTGCCCTGTACACCACCAGTCCGCACTGAACCGTATGACATGGCTACAACTGAAACTTACCATAAATTATGCTCAGGCAGCCTCAACGTACATGATGCATCTCACCGCAAGGGAGCTAGTCTAGTACTTTACCTTGCATCGTGCTCACACAACCTCGCCGTACATGGGACATGTCGTCATGTCGCTACAAGGGAGCTGAACCACATGCAATGAATGTAACAGAGACTTACCCTGCATCGTGCTTGGAACATCTCACCATACACGAGAGATTTTATTCCGCCGAAAAGCGTCCACATTCCATGAGGCAAAGGCCATGTGAGCTTGTATCCACGGGCAGGCCAAGCGGTCCCCTTCCCGAATGTGAGAACGTCAAAATGTGGGTTACACACGCACACTCAACATCCCCATAGCAGAGGAGGAGTAAAAAAATCATCACATTAAGCCTGTTAACCTTTGTCGAGTCGGCGTAGAAGATGCTTACGCATATTTGACTCCAGGAATGTGGGAAGGAACCATCAGGAATTTCTTCAAGCAGGGAGCCATGCAGTACGCAAGGGAATCCTTTACAGAAACATGAGTATCCGAATGGACAACATGTACTAAGATATTAGAGAAAGTGCCCCTACAAGCTGCACTATCCAAACCAGGAATAATGATCATGCTTGGGCAGCATGTATATTGCATCATTAATGATGATCGCAATTCCAAATAGCCACAATCCTGTACGGAGAGCTGCAGCCAGAGTTGTGAAAATGACCGACAAGCAAGGACTGGGCAGGCTGAACTCATATCATTTCCAAGTACGGACGCTGCATGAGCTAGCCCCGTAGGGACATATTCAATTGATTTCATGTTTAGTGCTCCGAGTATAAGCTTAACAAGCCCTGTCACACCATGGCCCGATGAATCCTGAACTTACGGCTACTGAGAAAATGTCTATTAACAAGTTAAAGCCGGGTCACGGTGCTATGTCCAACAAAATATCCCATCAAAGGGAGACGGACCAGCCATCAGATACCGCAACCCCGGATACTACATCTCAGAATGGCAAATATGAAGATTCTCACCAACAGGTAAAACCCTCCTCAGATTCGGATTGGCAATCGAGGCATTGCCCTGGGAGGTCAATGGCAAGAGGAGATATTAGCGATGAGGACATCCGACTTCTGTACGAATGGAACAGTCAGATCAAGATACCCGGAGTCCATACATGTATCCATACTCTCATTCAGCAACAATGCGCTAAACGGCCCGCATCCGAAGCAGTCTGTGCGTGGGACGGTACTTTGTCTTACTCCGAGTTGAACCAACTATCCAATGGGTTGGCAGAAGAACTCCAGACCGCGGGAATCCAGCCAGAGATGGTGGTGCCGGTCTGTTACGAGAAATCCCGATGGACGATCGTCGCTATTCTGGCAGTACTGAAAGCCGGCGGAGCGTTTGTACTTTTGGATCCATCCTATCCTGAAGCGCGTCTGGCCGACATCTATGCTGACGTCGAGGCCCAAATCATCATCACCTCGCCTTCAAACCAGAACCTCAGCATACGACTGGGCCAGAACGCACATACCTTGGTCGTTACAGACAGCAAGATCTCTTCCCTTTGTTCGACGGACTTCATTGTCGCCAGGCCATCCATCCCGGAGAACGCAGCATACATCGCATACACTTCTGGGTCTACAGGCAAACCCAAGGGAATCGTGGTAGAGCACCGATCCTTCTTAGCAAGCGTCCTGGCGCACAGCGAGGCCCAGAAAGTCAACGCCGATAGTCGCGTGATGCAATTCGCCTCGTACGGATTTGACATCAGTATCCAAGAGATGCTGGCTCCCCTGATTGTGGGCGGCTGTGTGTGCGTGCCATCGGAATCACAGCGCCTCGATCATCTTGCCCCCGCCATCCGACAGCTGAGGGCGAATTGGCTGGAGTTGACCCCTTCAGTGGCTAAATCGCTCGCGCCAGAAGCCGTCCCGAATGTGAAGACTCTCGTTCTTGGTGGAGAATCCCTGCATCTGGATGATGTGTCCACGTGGGCCCAGCATGTTCAGCTGCTCGTCGCATATGGGCCGGCCGAATGCAGTATCGTGAGTACGGTGCAGTCTCGTGTGGAAGGATCGGATCCATACAATATCGGTCGATCATACGGAGGCCAATGCTGGGTCGTCAATCCGGAAAATCACGACCGGCTGCAGCCTCTCGGTGAAACAGGGGAGCTTGTAGTCAGCGGCCCTATCGTCGCGCGAGGGTATAGGAATCGGCCGGAAGAGCAGGCGTTCATTGAGCGTCCCCCGTGGGCCTCGCTGTTTGGGCTGTCCTCCGATGCACGGTTTTACAAAACCGGAGACCTGGTCAAATACAACGTGGAGGATGGCACACTACGCTTTGTCGGTCGCAAAGATCTGCAAGTGAAGGTGAATGGGCAGCGTATCGAATTAGAGGAGATAGAGCACTGCGCCCGAGAGCTGCGTGCGGATACCAGTGCCATAGCTGATGTTCTTCCGATGAAGAATACCAAAATCCTCACACTGTTCGTGCAGGTGGGAGAGGATACAAGCTCTTATCCTTCCATGTCCGATTTCCAGGCCTGGTTGTCCGAGCGGTTGCCCCCATTCATGGTTCCCACCTTGTATCTCCCCTGGAAGCGATTTCCACTCGGGCCCACAGGGAAGGTCGACCGCCGACTGTTGTTGAGTCAGGCGTTGCAAGAAATGGCCGAAGCTCCCTCCAGGCCTTACGGAGAGGAACTAGCCGACCAAGAAGACACTGAGCCATTGGCGACAATATGCAGCCTCTTCAAGGACGTCCTGGGACTACGCCAGGAGAGACCTGTCAGCCACAGCACCTTTTTTGCCCTTGGGGGCACCTCCATTCTGGCCATTGCGTTGGCAGCCAAGGCTCGAGAACGAGGCCTGTCTCTTTCAGCGGCTGAGGTCCTGCTCCATCAGACTCCCATACAGCTGGCATTGGTTGTTCGCAAGTATGAAGTTATGGTGGATCCCACCCCATTCGCGCTGATCAGCGACGTGAATAGCACGGTAGAGGCAGCATCGTGCCAATGCCAGGTGCCCAGAGAGCATATCGAAGACATCTACCCCTGTACGCCCCTGCAGGAGGGCCTCGTTTCACTATCGAGCAAGAGCCCTGACTCCTTTGTGGGGAGGTTTGTGTTCCGTCTGTCGAAGTCCGTGGACCTGGAGCGGTTCAAATCCGTCTGTGAAGCTATTGTAGCGGTTAATCCTATTTATCGGACACGCATCGTCCAGCTTGAAGACGGCCGTCTTCTTCAGGTGGTCGTCAAAGGTCCGGCTGGGTGGACAGCCGATTGTCGATCTATGTCTACAAACGTTCTGGGTGCTCCTCTCTGTTCTTTTCAGGTAGCGGACGATGAACAGAGCAGGGTGCCACTCTTCATCCTCACCCTTCATCACGCAGTGTTCGATGGCTGGTCATATTTGCAGCTGCTCGGCGATATCGACGACGGGTACAAATCCGTTTCTGTTCCCCCACGGGCATCATTGAGTCGCTTTGTCAAATATATCTCGAAAATAAACAAGTCATCATCCATGGAATTCTGGTCGAGCGAGTTTCGAGATCTGGAAGCGCCAGTATTTCCGGCTTGCCCGCCCGGATGGGTGAGGCCGGGCGTGACCGCCTCCATAACCCGCCAGGTGCGCCTTCATGGGCACCCGGATGCACATGGAAGTACATTAGCCAACAAGATCAAGCTCTCCTGGGCGATCGTCATGTCATCACGGACCAACTCCAACGATGTGGTCTTTGGCACAACTGTTTCCGGGCGCACCGCCCCCGTCGACGGAGTCGAGAGAATGGCCGGCCCGGCCATTGCGTCTTACCCTCTGCGCGTCCGTCTGCAGCCGAGTGCTTCCGTTCAAGAGACGTTGGATGACATCCAGGCGCTCGACTCTCGGACTGTTTTGTTTGAGCAGACCGGTTTACAGCATATCCGCCGCGTGAGTTCGGAGGCAAGTTTGGCCTGTACTTTCCAAAGCATGCTCGTTATTCAACCCAAATCCTTACAAGTCGAAGGGACACTCCTCCATGACACCAAGGGAAACCAGGAGGAGCAACTAAAGTTCAGTTCGCACGTACTCACTGTCATTCCCCAGTTGGGGCCGGGGGCGGTCGACATTATGGCTGTCTACGATGAAGCCGTACTTCCCTCGCGTGAGGTCGAGAGCTTACTAGAACAGCTTGAGACCGTGCTTCGCCAAGTTGTATCCAATCAAACCACCCGACTGGATGCCCTGCAAACCCACAGCCAGTCGGACCGTCAACAGTTGCAGATATGGAACCACAGAACGCCGGTCGACATCGATGCTCTTCTCCCGATCCATGAACGTATCGCCATATTCGCCCGCAAACATCCGTACGCAAACGCCATCTGTTCCTGGGACGGCTCATTTATGTACCACGAGCTGTATGAGCGCTCGAGGTCCCTGGCAGGCTGCCTGCAGACCATACATGGAACGGGCCCGGGCATGGTGGTTGGTGTCTTCATGGAGAAAACCAAATGGTTCCCTGTTGCCGTATTGGGAATTATGATGTCGGGCGCCGCATTCGTCCTTCTGGACATTCGATTTCCATCCGAGCGACTGCAGTATATGATGCAAGTCAGCGACGCAAAAATTGTGATATGTTCCCCTTCCACGGAGGCCAGATGCTCCAAAATCACCGACCAGCATGTGGTGCTCGAGGAGGGAGGCTGTACGACAGGAGATAAATACGATAACTACAATCGACCTCTGGTTTCAGGCCACGACACTATGTATGTGCAATTCACATCGGGATCAACTGGTACGCCGAAGGGCGTGGCTATTGAACATGGCATGGCCCACTCGACGCTCAGTGCTCTCAAGGAGCTCTCGTCAATGGGGCCCGCCACCCGGAGCTTGTGGTTTTCATCTCCTGCCTGGGATGCCACTGTTTGGGAAGTGGCTTTCATTTTGGCCGCAGGAGGTTGTATATGTATTCCCTCGGATGAGCAGCGCTTGAGCGATCTGGAAGGAGCCATTGAAGCCATGGAAGTGAACTCGGCGGTTTTGACTCCATCGGTGGCACGAACACTGTCACCGCCGGCAATTCCAACTCTTCGCACTCTCATTCTCGCAGGGGAGGCAACGTCTCCATCCGATCTGCAAAAATGGTTCCCACGAGTTGAACTCCACTTTGCATATGGCCCGGCGGAATGCACGGTAGCCACAAACATCCATCGAGTGACTCAGCTGGCCACCGATTCGACTAGTATCGGTCGTCCTCCTGCTGCAACGTGCTGGATTGTCCGTCCCGACAATCACAATCAGCTGCAGCCTGTGGGAGTAGTTGGGGAACTTGTGGTTGGAGGTCCCACCGTGGCGAGAGGCTATCTGCACCGACCAAAGGAGACGGCATTGGCCTTTGTTCGTAATGTATCGTGGGCCTCGGAGTTCTGCCTAGGCGAGGGCACGCTATACAAGACAGGCGATCTGGCGCGCTTCAATCCCGATGGCTCGCTTTCTTTCGTCGCTCGAAAGGACAACCAAGTGAAGGTCCGCGGGCAACGCCTCGAGCTGGGAGAGATTGAGCATTGCGCGCAGCAATTCATGCCCAACATCGAGGTTGCCGCGGATCTTGTGTCATTTCAGCACAACCTAGGGTCTAAGGTCGTGCTGTACGTCTGTTTCAGACAGGTTGACGCCAAACTCTCGCTTGGTGATAACGAGGCCAGTCTTTTGTTTCATCCTTCTGACTCCAACAAGGCGGAAATGGCGCGTTTGCGCGAGCATCTGCATCATTCCTTGCCACCCTACATGGTTCCCTGGATCTTGGTTCCTACTCGCTACATTCCACTCAGTCCTTCTGGCAAGACGGATCGAAGGCCCCTGAAGAAGCAAATCTGCGAATTGGAGCGTAAGGACCTCGAAATCTATCTCGGAGTCAATCATTCGAAGCGTGCACCCTCGACTGAGCTCGAAGCCCGCCTGCATAAGCTCTATGCCCGGGTGCTTTCGCTGCCAGAGACCGCTATTGGGGTTGATGATAGCTTCTTCACGCTGGGTGGTGACTCGATCTCCGCCATGCAGCTGCTCTCACTTGCGAGGAAGGCGGATATTCCACTGTCTATGCAGGAATTTCTGACCCACAACACGATTGCTCAATTTTGTGAGAACGCTCAATTGCCTCGAGGGGATACACTTCTTAACAATCTGGATGCCGTCGATGAGGAGATTCCGTTCAAGTTGAGTCCAATCCAGTCACTAATTTTTCCATCGGCGAGCATGGTAGAAAACCGATTCAACCAGACTTTCTTGGTCAAGGTCAACCGGCAAGTCAACCTGGATGACTGGAACCGAGTGCTGCACCAGATCGTCCATCATCATGCAATGCTTCGGACCCGGCTCGTCGTCGGGGAATCGGGTGACCTACGGTTAAAGTATCAGTCGGCGGCACATCATCCGCTACGGATACGAGAACATCACGTAGCACGGATTGAACAGGCTCGTGTACTTGCAGAAGAGTCCCATAACTGCTTGGACTTGCGGACGGGCCCAGTATTGTCCTTAGACCTCATCCATACTCCGAAAGATGGTGACTACGCACTCTTCATCGGTCACCATATGGTCGTGGATCTGGTGTCCTGGCGCATTATCCTAGACGACATAGAGGAGTTCTTGGATGGTCATGACCCTTCCATGAAGGAACCTGTCTCTTTCGCGAAATGGGTACAATTTCTGGAGACTGAATGTCGGGTTTACTCAACGCCACAGGAGGTCCTTCCCTTCGAAGTGCGTCCGGCCAACTATGATTACTGGGGAATGTCTCCGAAACACAACACATACGGGGATGCTGAATGTCATGAATTCACTGTCGATGAAGCCACCACCCATAAGTTACTGGGTCCGGCGAACGTGACATGGAATTCCCAGCCACAAGAGATCTTCCAAGCAGCTCTGCTGCACTCCTGGGCTCGCACCTTCAAGGACCGAGAGACGCCAACAATCTTCAGTGAGGGACATGGCAGAGAGGCTGGTCGTCAGGGGATCGACCTCTCCCGGACTGTGGGCTGGTTTACGATCGTCCGGCCTTGCACGGTGGAGGACAGCACAGCCTCACTCGGCCTTCGTGAGCTGGTCCGTCGTGTCAAGGATGTCTCCCGGAGTCTGCCGAACAATGGGCTAGCTTATTTCAGCTCACGGCACCTCAAACCGGAGTTTCGCTCAGCATTCGCTGGCCATGATCGCATGGAGATCCTGTTCAACTACAGTGGGCGGTACCAACAGCTGGAACGACCGGGCGCACTCTTTTCGCACACCTCCCTGCAGCTGGACGAGCGATTGGACGTCGGAGCCGATATGCCACGCCAGACTCTGTTCGACGTAGCTGTAGACGTCCGCAACGGCTGCCTTCGTGTCCAGGTCTGGTACAGCGGGCACACGCACCGTAAGCCCGAGATTGGCCGCTGGATCAGCGCATACCAACAATCTCTGCATGAGGCGGCAGTGGAATTGATAGATAAGGACAGCCAGCTGACGCTGAGTGACATTCCTCTGGCACCGCTTCGTTACAGCGAGCTCGATCTGTTGCAAGAGAAGATTAAAACGGCGCTACGCATCTCCTCCGTCTCCTCGATCGAGAGTATCTACCCGTGCTCTGATGCCCACTGTGGACTCGTCACTGGTATTACAGGAACCGCATCTCGCCATCGCGTGCAGAGTATACTTGAGATCACTGTATCAGATCAAGGGGTGATTGAGCCTGCCCGGGTTGCGAAGGCCTGGCGGGAGCTCAGCCGACGTCATGCTACTTTGCGAACCGTCCTTGTTGAACATCCTGGCAGGCAAGGAAAGTTTCTCAGTGTTGTACTGAAGCTACCATCCCTAGATGTGACTGTCCTGCCCTCTTGCTATTCCTTTTCAGATACTCTACAGCAATTAAGAGAGCTGCCGCCCCGGTATTCGTGGGACATCTCTCCTTCCCAGCAGATGGCTGTGGGCAAAACCTCGGACGATCGGACCCTCTGTAAGCTCTCGTTCGGAAAAGGCTTCATTGATGCTACTTCCATGGACGTTTTGTTGAGCGAGCTGGCTTGCATATTGGGAGAAGAAGGTCTATCTCCGAAGATCGCTCCCTCTTACGGCGCATACATATCGCACTTGCAAGCCCAAGACCGTGCAAATCAGATGCAGCATTGGATCGACCTCCTGGCTGCTTGTCAGCCATGTGTACTTCCCGGGGACCGGAAGCATAACCGTAATCACGGTCAGTTGCGCTCAAAGAAACTCATGGTTCCCAACCGTAGCGGGCTAGATCGATTCCTGAAATCGCATCAGATCACTCTAACCAACATCTTCCAAGTAGCCTGGGCCTTGGTCTTGCGGCACTATACCGACAGAAACGAGGTCTGTTTTGCTACACTGCTTTCCGGCCGTGACCTTCCACTGCCAGACATCCAGGGACTGGTGGGCTCCTGTTTCAATGTCTTGCCGTGCTTTCTGCGTTTAAGCCAGTCTCGCACACTGCTAGATGTTCTACGAGAAAACCAAACGGAGATGAATCGACGCATGGCAAATCAGCACTGTTCTTTGCCAGAAATTCTTTCCCGGGCAGGACACGATCCAAAGTGGTTCTTTAACACCTGCTTGACGGTCCAATCTGCCCATCAAGCCGGCAATGCCGACCAGCACAGCCAAGACGGGATCAAGGTAAAGGTGCTGGAGGTTCATGACCCGACAGAGGTAAGCGTTCTCTCTTGCCGCTCCCTTCCACGCTAATGCCTTGTCAGTATGATGTCTGCATTGCAGTGATGGTGTCACCATCGCATATCGAGATCGATTTCCGTTATTGGACTTCATTCTGCAGTGGAGAGCGAGCAACAGAGATTCTGACACTGCTCTCTAGCTATGCGACTCGGATGGCTCTCCACGGAGATGATAAAATCGAACCACTTGAGATGAAGGCAATCCGGCTTGCGGATGGATGCAATGGCTCGGCCGGTCATGTTGCAGCTGAGACAGGGTCGGTCACGCTGCTCAGTCAATAACGTCCTCCAGGAGAAGCGGGTCAGACGTTATATCTGTCGACACAAGGAGCCGCCGATTTGACTCAGCGCCTCGCTGCCTGGAGCTTCTCTGCATATAACTTGTATGGAGTCTGGCTTCCCTTGAGAACAATAATGTAATCTCCCGTTCGGTTCGTCTCCTCGAAGCCGTCGTCGCTTGCCGAGAACGGGCCATGATAGGATTATATATCTTCGATCAGTCGCATTGGACTTTACTCGGTATACACGAATAGAAACTTGTAAGAGTTACGATATAAAATATACCATAGAGTGTGCGAAACAGGGTTTGCCGTCCGCTCAGCCGTACTTTAGCCACACGCCTGAATGCCATCTCTCTGTATCCATGGTCTATGGGGTGAGAGCCATCCGCGAGCTGATCGAATTTGATAAACTGGCTCATCTCTGCCAACACGATCCGGTCGCTATCTGCTCGACGCTGAGCGGCAAGGTAACTAATTTATGGATACGAGAATAGACCATCGGTACTTACTCAAGTTTTCTTGTATGTCACCACTGCGCAGGCTGGGAGTTATCCGGGACGCCCTTCTCGTTGAATGACTTCGAGAAACCTTGATGGAAGAGAGCCGACAAGCTTGTTGGTGTGACGAATAGAGGGTGGGCTTTGTATTGCTTTGGCAAATGAGCGACTGTGTGAGTTTGCTCAATGTACCAGCATCGGGAAATTTGGCGAAGTAGTCGTCGTTGACAGTCACTTTCGGCTGCTTGAGGTAGAATTGGCTTGAGAAGCACCCATGCTATTGGTGGCTTAAGGTACCTAAGCCATGCTCTCGGATTTTAGATCCAGGCTTTCTGAAAACTCGGCCGCCCTTAAGGTCCGTTTGACAGAACTTGACAAGAAACTGCGTGCCTATGGAGGACAAAACCCGAATGGACTGGTGGGAAGAACATCAACCTGGAACATTCAAGGGTGTTAGGAATTGAGACTCGATCAAGACACAGTAGAGCTTCGTATACGGAATTTATTCCGTATGAATCAAATCGAATTCCAATCAATCTGATATTCATCTTGTATATAAACCCTCATGTTTTCAGATATGAAGAACAACAATTGATCTTCCTCAAAAAACCACAACAAAAATGGCCGAGAGGCTAACCCCCACTGTTGTCTGTAATGATCATCAGGAAAGTGGATTATAGACTGTAAACACTGATGAAGCAAGCACAGCAGCTGATTGAGCCTGTGAAGATTCCCTGGCACAACCAGAAGTGTCTATCTAGAACGGTATCAATAGAAGAACAAGTCATGGGTAAACCGAGTGGATTCAGTCCTCAAAGTAAGGGAGAAAGGTACAGTAATCCTGTGAAAGGAGATCACGTGATCTCGGACCTAGCCACCTAGTCATCTCCTCGCGTAGTTAGCTAGCTAGCCTACACACACAATATCATCCATATTGCTCTCACAAATCCTCTACAGGGTCTTATAATTTCGGATCTCCCGCAACCCAACTTGACTCCTGGACCAGGCGTCTAAACATCGCGTGATGATTCTTGCCCACCACCAGGCGTGAATACGAGTACGAGTACGGAAAGATTCTCCATCCCGTATTTCGTGTAAATCCGAGAAGCGACGATGTGTTGGTGCCTCAGACTACAGGGAAGCCTGCTGAGATGCCTGACGGGGAACATAAGCGGGCTACTGTCCACCAGCCCATGGGGTTTAGAATGAAGTACCAGTATGCATGGCGTAAGTCACAAGGAAAGGGACATTCATGGGATAACCTTAATTCTGTTACTAGCAGTTACTCTCTTCTATTAACTATAGTCTTATATGACGGGGTCTTGTTTGATTGTGTCAATCTAGGCAAACGTGAAAAGCAAAACAGGCGCGGGGGAGTCAGTAAGAGCTCCCTTAATTTTGATTTTCAGTGTGAATACAAACAGGCAATAAAATGAATCTGGACTATGCATGCCTGTTGTCTCACCGACATGGTAGAGTACCTATCCACCTTCATGCGGTGAACTTGGAGAGGAGAATGCGCCTGACGAGCTCATTTGCACTCACGCTGCAAGGGGGAGCTAGCGGCGTGTTATTCAATAAAGCAGAAGGGGGATAAGGGATTAATCGCACAAACTGGGAGGGGAAGCAATATACTTTCCTCCTCCCTTTCCCCCCAGTACAGACGGGTAGTACAATCTCAAAAACATCTACATTGTTTTCAGGTCTCCCATGGATTTCCTTCGAAACTGGGATCCTGTAAAGGGATCTGTGCTGGCTGTGCTCGCGAGTGCGCTTACTGTCTGCCTCGCCATCGTTGTGGACGACTATCTCTATGGAAGGAGCATCCGAAAGCAATTGGGAGGTATTCCCATAGTCGGTGTGAAGAGTGACGTTTGCTCTTTGCTGCGATGGAGGTCAACCGAGCACGATCTAGTTAACGAGACTGCTCACGCGTACGAACAGGTGAGAGCTTATGTATCTGTTGTCTCCATTCGGAACTACAATTACTCATTCGACAGTATACCAAAAATGGCTTACCTTGGGCTATAAGATCTCTCAACCGGTTCTACGGGATATGCCTCCCACCACAGTCGGCCAGGGAATGGAGCTATCTTCCACAAGATCATCTCAGCTTCATCAAAGTAGTCGAAAAGGTAGGTCCACCCCCAAGAAGCCGAGAAAGTCAGGCTAGTGACCCCTTCAGGAAAGTATGCACCACCTCCACTCGGACGTGGCATCGCAGACAGTGACCAATGCCCTCATCAAATGCAATAAGAAGCCTTATCTGGGTGAATTTCGAAGATCCTTGGGATGCTAAAATAGAGAATTCAGGGAGAGGAGTGCTAATACTAGTCTCAGATGCATTCTCCGACAAGGTCGCCAGTCAGGTCGATCAGATCATACCGTCCGCGTTTTCCGTGAGCCCCGGCGAAAAAGGTGAGTGGATGCGAGTGCAGAGGAGAGAAACCCGGACAAGTGACCAACTCAACCGCAGGATGGCAGGTGATCAATGTCTGGGAAAGAATAAGCTATATCAACTCGCGGATTATGATTGCGTGCATCATGGGCCCTGAGTTTGCATTGGACCAAAAGCTCCTTGAGCTTTACATGTCCTACGACTCTTCGATAATATCCCATACAATCATTTGTGTCAGATTCCCAAGAGCCGTGCATTCCTTAATCTCACGGTTTGCTCCGGCAAATCGGAAAATGAGGACAGTCATGAACGAGCTCAAGAGCAGACTTATTCCTGAGATTCGCTGTCAGGTGCGTCGACTACGCTCCGAAAAGTCTGAAGATAGGTCCTGTTCGCTACTGGATGCCGTGGTCGAGGAGTGTATGGCTGAAAACACAATTGGTCGTGAGACCAGGTACTACGATGAGGAAAAGCAAATCAGCCGGATAGCTGACAAGATCATGTTCCTTCACTTTGAAACTGTTCTACCGATCACAGTGATCCTGTCTGCAATGATATACCGCATCATGGTAAATCCAGAGTGCATCGCACCTCTCCGTGAGGAGCTACAGGCAGCCCTGCCCGCGGGACAATGTACCTGTCCTGACGTAATGAACCAATGCCCCAAGCTGGAGAGCTTTATGCGTGAAACCCTGCGTCTTCACAGCTCCAGTCTATGTGCGCAATCTCCCCGCCACCCGTTCTAGCGAGACACTAACAAGCAACCAAACCTACCAGACTCCTCGAGTCGTCTTGTGATAAAACCGGTCCACATCCCTTCCCTTGGCCGCACTTTTCCCCCGGGGTCGATCCTCACGCTGCCATGGTACTGGATGGCCCGAGATCAGGATCTGTATCCAAGCCCGGAGAGGTTTGACAGCCACCGCTTTTATGATGCGTCCTCGGGGGCCTGTACTGCCCGTGTTACGACCACATCCGACAAATTTCTAGCCTTCGGATACGGCACCAGCACCTGTCCAGGTCGCTTCATGGCGAGCAGAGTCATCCAAACCGTCTTCGCCAAAATCCTCCTCGATTTCGATGTCACTTGCATGCCTGGCGTACAGGAAATTCCTTTCAATATCTTGACGAGTGCGTATTTCATTCCAAATAGTGAAATTGAGGCGCGAATCCGGCCTCGTGCCATGAAGATGTAGCCCTCGCCGGCCTGGCAAAGTGGACATAGCGGAACATCTTAGTCCTGCTAGAAGCCAATCTTAGCTGATAGTCTCATTGATCTATTCTGAGGTGCTCTGAGAGGGTGTCCCTTTCTCAGCAGCACCATACATTTGTATGTTACATGTATCAGGTAGACCGACGTAGTGCTTTAATATGGGTCTACCGAGTCTGTGGCTGATAGCCATCAAGATATCATTTCCCTTGTCCCATCCAATCTTATGAACAGCCAATATTTTCAGCATCGATAAAGCTGCTCCCCAAGTAGTAAAGGGTTTAGCAAAAACTACGCCAGAATACTCTAGACAGTCCCTGGGTGGCCCAGGTAACCAAACCCCTCGGCGGATCAGAGCCCAATACAGTACAAAGGGGGTCGTGGTTGTCGCCTCTCTGAATTGCAGAATTCCCTTACGCCAGTTGCCCGTGGGGACTCTCCGACTAACTCGTGGTCAGTTGAGACATGTATGTAAATTTTTCTAGCTGATCGCCATTATTGCGAATAACCACTCAAGTCTCCATTGGAATCCGTCAAGGGATGGAGCAGGGGATGGAGGCAAGAATGCATATCTTTCAGTGGAACCCAGCAAATTTTATCTATCTTGCCTGGAAGGAGGGACAGCGACAGTCAGTTAGTGGCCCCCCTATGAATGCAAGGGGTTCCTCTTCCACGATGCGCCGTCTCAGTTGCGTGCTCCGGCCTGGTTGTCTTCGAGTATGGTCTTTGCTTATGGGTAAAAGTAAAAGCCTTTGGCCAATTTTTCTTATTCCCCCCTCTGAACCTGAATCTAGTCGTTCCCGCTTCACATTGTCTCTATAAAACCATGACCATGAAAAAAGGGCCTCTGCGCGGACATCGCCTGCCACTCCGAGTATCGGAGCTGGCGGTCGCTGGAGTCAAGCCTACCATGGCCCGGGAACGTTGCCAATGACCCTCAGAGCGGCCAGGCGCTTCTGGCCCTTAGTTGGATAGTCCTGCAACAGTACTACCAGCAGGGCATGTCTGGTCCCGTGGGTGTGCTCGACCTTTTGACATCTCGCAAGATGGACTACCGCTCCGCCCTCCGTGTGTTGGACATCGCTCTTGACCAGGACCGCTTCGTTTGCGAGGAATTGAAATCGTTTCAGAAGCAGATCTCAGATTCTTCAATCACGGACGATCAACCAGCGACAAATCTCCCGGCCATCCTTTCGTGTGGCTAGTATACACAATCAACTCTTCTGGCCTGGATGGAACCCAGATAGACGATGGGACAAGGCCACCCCCTCCAAGGTTGCACAGCAATGCAGAGAAGCTCGGTGTGAACGGAATACCACGGGCGGGTAGACACAGGAGCCCTCTACATCATATCATGCAAGGCCACTTTTGACAGGACATATGATATGTCCTTGCGAATGCAATGGTCTCATGAGTTAAGTGTCCGTCTTTTCCCCGTCTCCTGACTTGTTGGATATGGCCATCATGAAGACAGTATAGCCGAAGATTCAGACGCGCGGTAGGCTCGGGCAAAACGGGCTGTGCTAGCAAACTTATTGTTGTACATTGCTTTCCAGAACGTTGGTGGGCTGTGATGATGAGCCAACCTTAAAAGAGTATTGGCTTCCGTGTATTGCGATTGTGTCTGGTGAGTTGAAAATGGGAATCATCTGTTGCTGCATTCTATCTTGCATCCAGCTTTTGGCAATGTTGCTGGTGTTGTGGCTGTGATTCTCACATGCCATGAAATTTGCTATAGTCTGGAGATATGTTTTCTTGTTCATATCTAATTGTAGTTAGTAAAAGCAAATCCCGGCATGCTGGCGGCGGCAAATATCAGGGTGCAAGGACAGGGTTTATCACCATTCAGGCCAATGCAGGTGTCGCGGTATAAAGAATTAACCCAGAATGGAGAATAGTCTGTGAAACACTGATATTTCGCCATATTTAGAGTTATAAGCCAGGCATGTGTAAATTTAAAAAATCTTTATGGCAACTGCGCGGATAAATATCTCGCATGTTCTGGTAATGAATGAACAGGGCCTATGGTGGCCTTCGAGACCCGCGACATTAAAAGGAGACTGCAGGAGTAATGTGTCTGTTCACCAGAACGGTTGCTCGCTCGAGAACCTGGGTCTGGGTTCCTATGAGTGAGGGGCCATATTCGAGGAAGCAGGCCGCTGTCCTCCGGGACTGCCATGATTCGGCGGAACCTATTCATCTATCCTAGGAGACTTCAATCGTAGACTTCAACAAAATCCGGTGCCTCCATAGGCAGCCCTCCCAAACAGAGAAGTGCGTGCATCGCGGGCCATGTGGCTCTGTTGTTGACCAATTTCATCGGCCTCTTACGCTCCCGCTACTCAGCACCTGGTGATCTACTTGAAGCCACTCCACGCTCGTGCTGCTAGATCCAAAATATTCCCTGCTCATTAAGCGGTCGATCTTTCGCGCCCTCGCACGCTCAACTTTCCCCTCTTCGGCAGACATCTTCCATCCCGTAATAGACACAGCTGTGATAATCCACCGCCCTTCAGGATACACTAAAGAAAGTTGCCACCTTGCGTCTGTTTGAAAACGCCATCGGAAGGAGAGTGTGAGAAGAGATTTCTAAATCATGGCTCATATGTCATTCCATCCCGGCTGCTGATGCCGTATTAACTTGAATGTAACGAGTGCTTTAATCGCAAGATATATCGTGCATAGAGACTTGGCTCCGGTGCTGTAGTGTAGAGCAAAAAGACACTGTAATCAATTTCATCTATTGACTTGCCTACAATTTTCTAAATGAAGACGATGTCGCTGACACGACTACCTTTTTGACCGATGGAAGGCTTGTAGAGATTAACTAATGCCTTATAATACTTGCTCTCTCTCTCCCAGTTGACCATCCGGATGAACAGTACCATAACTACCTGGGCAATTATACCGGCAAATCCATTCTTGGGTATAACCAGTGGTCTCACGACTCCAGCAGTTTATCATGATTCTGGTATACGTATAAAGTCAAACCAGTTGCACCAGGTAATAGGAACCATGAAATTCTTTTGATCTCTCGAAACTCATCATATCCCAGTCACAGATTAATGTTGTAGCACAATTTGCAACGCCAAGAGACGCCAGATCTACTGCTTTCTCTTTAATTACTCCATCCAAGCATCATGCCAGAATGTGCCGCTTGCCCTTCGGATTCCTCAAGTTCCACAGCGGAATTCCCCTATTGCGCATCGCCTCCCATCCCAGACTTAGCGACTCTCGCTGAAACTATTCTAAACGGAGAGCCTGGCGCCCTGGGCCTTGCTACCCTGGAAGACTAGTTCCTGTGTACTGTAGTCAGCCAGCCAGAAACTGAGTCCACCATCCAAATCATATCTATTGTGCCGTGAAACCAACAGTCTTCTTCGTATTGGCTACTGGTGACCTTGCTCCGCCATCAGACGTTCGCTATATATGGGGACTAAACTGGCATCCGGACCTTCAGTGTTTCCTACCATACGAAGTTCGAGCCTGGCGATGTTCTGAGAGCAGTCTGCCGGAAGGTTATTCAAAGACGACTGGCCTGGCTTGAAGCCACAGTGACTCAAAATGACGTGTTAGTTGCCAACGCATCGGCTTTATACGCTGAGATTCATTCTGAATCTGTGAATAATGAAGAGGCTCCGGAGATCAGAAACCCTGCAACTCGAAGTGACCACTAGCTATTCGGCCCAGCATATAATTGATATTCCTTTGAAGGAGTGGCACAACTGTAGTTGATACATGGAGCTGTACTTAACGCAACCTTTCAGCATATTTTAATACTGCACATGGTTTGACATTTAAGTTTGTGTATTATGGGCGATTTGTAATCTCAGAAGAGTTTTCTTTACGGGCGAAGCTAGGCAGGCCCAGTTTGGCCGCTATGTAGTTGGCTTTGAGATGCCTTACGCTCTCATTAGTCATATTATTGTACTGTACGGACCCTTCGTTAATGGGGCTCCTTGTCGTCAGCATTGGCCGCTTAGGCGGGATGTTAAAATACTTGCAGCAGGAGTGTTCTCCAACCTAACATAGAGGATATTCCTTGTACAGGGTGTCACCTATTCGCCCCGTTCTCAGGATATAGCTCGAGTCTAAACACTAAGATAAATGCTGATCGCACACACCTCTAAGTGTCCAAATTTTGTGTGTATATTCCCCAGCACTCACGCGAAACTATTACTGCTTTGTGTTGCGTAGCTTCTGACTCTTGCCTACAACCCTGTCTTCGGATGCTAGTACTGAGACTTGATTTACAGAATGATATAGAATCGACAAAGCGCCTTGCTAGTCTCATTATGAGGCAAAAACCTAATTTCTAGCAGTAGTCAATTGCTGACGGTTCCCTGATGTGCAGGCTGGTTAATGCGGAAACCCGAATAGCTAACTGAAAGCAGGGAGCCCTTGCAAGCGGATTATAATGGGCCTGTTCATTTTGGGAGGTCGAAACGGGTCTGTGAATCCAGGCCAATTACTCGGTGGGCCCCTGGCGAGCCAGAACTGCAACAAGGAATACCTTGGGCAAGAGCATACCGGAGCAAAGTACGCCAACAACATATCTGAGGGAAACGCTGGCAACAGTGGAAGAATTCCTGAATGTTAATTGCAATGGTCGGGTTATCTCGTCGTCCAAAAATGGTCAAGGCATGCTACGGTTTCAGTTTGGCCAAGGTTTAAGATTAACTGTAGACGACAACGTATTATTGGGGCTTAGACATCTGGGCATATATGGAAGCTGAAAATTGACATTCAATGCTATGTTTAAGGACAACGCGTACACAAAAGAGGAGCTTCTGGTTCCGTCTCACCGTAGATATAAAAGAATTATAGACTAATAGATCGAGCATCATATCTGTTTCATATCCGTCCGTGACACTACGGATGTTGAGTATCGAATGGATAAAATATACCCGGGCATCTTTCCACAATCTCGGGTGAAAGGCCGGGCGGGCATTCTTTTCCCTCGATAATGTATACTGGTTTTACTTCAGTGTCTTATTGCCATATTCAATCATCACGCTAGTAAGGAAGACCAACCATCCACGAAGTCCGGTGAAATATCGTGCAAATAGCAATTCCGAGTAAACACGCCCGATCAGACAGATGATATGTGCATACATGACCTTATCAATGAGGCCAGGGGTGTCTGAACATTGGAAGGGGAATGGTACAGTATGAGCAATTGGGCAATTGCTGCTGCAAACCTCGATTTGGGCATCAGAAGGGAAAAAAAGCCTCCCTGATTCGTCATTTACGTGATGGCAGTGCTGGGTTTTGGGGGGACTGTGGCGGGCAAAAGTGAACTCGGAGTCTAGCAACGGGCAAGGGGGAGACCGCTAGTTGGGGTGCAATTTATTGAGTTTACTTACTCAGGGCACTCAGTCTTCCGCTCACCCCGTGCTCAGTGATCGCCTCAGGCTGCTCAGGGCGTGCTCAGGTCTACTCAGTGAGCAAAAAGCGGCGAGGGGTGAGCACTAAAATGGAAAGGGAAGGCTGTCGACCTGGCGAGAAAATCAAGTACTTATGTCATATATCAGGTTGTTGTATTGTGGCTAGTGACTACTTCGAGACATAGAAATTGTGAATTACTGTCACTACAGTAACAACAGAACACAACGAATACTTAGAAACCTACGCAAATACACTTCTCCAAAACCCTATCGAAGCCTCCCAAGACCATCTCAACTCCAATGGAAGTGACATAGCACCTCTCTTCTGGGATGATGATTACGATCCCGAAAGCCCTTCCAACTGGTCAGTGAGACAAAATTGGACCTTGACTGCCTTCACCACCTTTCCCGCCATGATGAATGGAATCTTCATTACCGTGTCACACTTCGAGATCTCCAAACACTTCCATATCAACAAGAATACTTTTCCAAATTCTTACTGGCCGGTATCGACATGGGCTACTGGCGGTGTATACTCTGCTTTATGTATTCTTCCCCTAGCAGAGGATTTCGGGACCAGACCTATCTTCCTCTCAACATATATACTATTCCTGTGCATCCTCGTGCCCCAAGCCTTGGCTCAAAACTTCGCGACATTAAGTCGTCACCCGCTTCCTTGCCGGCGGCTGTATCGCTTTCCTGGCCAATACCGCCGCCGGTGTGGTTGGAAATCTATGGAGTACTGAGTAGTCCAGGTCTATTCCAGTCTGTCTATATATCCTTGGCTATATGAGCTGGAGCAGTACGGGCCCTGTGATTGGCGCCGTGATTTTCCACTCCTTAAGATGGAGGTGGATTAGCTATATGCAGCTCATCTGGTTCAGGGCTCTATTTCCAGTCTACTATTTTTTCCTACATCAGGCCCGTGGCAGCGCGATCCTTTCAGAATGAGCACGACTCAATCGCAAGAATGGTGACGAGAGCAGTGGTCATGAGGCGAGTGGAGCTGTTTCATCTCGACTGAATCTACAGAGCCTTATAGTCAGCGCCACAAGGCCGGTGATTATGTTCTCGACAGAAACCTATCCTCTTCGGGTCGACTATTTGGTCCACTTTTACAGTGGGGACACCGTTTCTCTTTACCCAGTCTGTCGAGCAGGTGTTCATGGGCCTATATAAATGGGATGTTTAGTTATGTTCAATGCGCTATCGTCATCGGAGAATGTCTAGGCTAGTTAGTGAATTTTCTTTCTCGGAAGCTTTACTTCGCGTCTGCTTCCAGGAATACCGAAGTTCCCGGGACTCCGATCCCGGAGGCAAGGCTGTATATGGCGGTGGTGGGCGGGGTTTTTGGTCTCTCGGGTGGTATGTTCGTCTATGCTTGGACTTCGTATTCGAGTCTGCCATGGATTGCACCTACTATTTGGTTGACCTTTGTAGGTGCCGGTAGTGTGTGCGTCCTGACGGGAGTGTCGGACTACGTGGTTGATTTTTACAGCCAGTTTTCTGGAAGTGCCATGGGTGCTGTTGCTGCGGGAGAGAATGTTTTCTCTGCTTTCCTGCCACTTGCAACTATGAGCATGTACCGGGTGCTAGAGTATCAGTGGGCGTGTACGCTACTTGGTTTTTTTTTTTTTTTTTTTTTTTTTTTTTTTTGCTTGGTACTGTCGCTTATTCCTACATTGATGTTTGTCTTAGGGAAGGAAGTGCGTGCTCGGAGTGCCTTTATGGATGAGATGGCGAATGATGCAAGGAAGAAGCGGTCGCAAATGGTTTGAGGTAGCCATAGCGGAAAACACAGGGTAATGATTGATGCAAGAGTGAATAAGGTAAATGGATTTGCTTCAGACAGTGAAGCTCGTTCTGGGTGGCGAATTACGAGTGTAGCAGATAAGTAGAAGTAGTTCGAAATATATATAAAATTTGATCGAGTTGAATTGAGATTGAACTACACTAGCTAGTACTAGCGCCATACCGAAAGCCTACAAGAATAGGACCTATACTGGGACAAGTCCAGGAATGCCAATTTACTTGACATAATCGGGATGGTGCCACAGCTGAACACAAGTGAAGCTTCAAAGATTTGATAGTTATCCCGGCGATAGATCTTGCACGGAAGGCGCCCCACCAGACCACAAGACGGCATGAGATAGTCCACCCACCCGCTAAGCGAACAGGTCAAAAAAAAAGAAATAATAAAAGAAGAAATGACCTACGCAGGATTCGAACCTGCAATCTCTTGATCCGTAGTCAAGCGCCTTACCATTGGGCCAGCAGGCCAATTGATATGTCTTTGCAAATAATTAGGCTATATAACGCAGACTGAAATTAGATTCACTAACAAAGTCAATTCCCACCCCAACGCCATCCATCCATCCATTCTAACCAACACGACAATAAAGCAGATGCTACAAGAAACCAACCATGCTACTACTAATAGTAACTCACTGCCGGCCACCCATTCAGCCGACTATACGCATCCAACGGCGTAGTCCCATTCAACTGCTCATAAAACGCCCTTTCCCCACACACTTCCTCCTCTTCCCCATTAGTGCTACTAGTGCCAGCAGTACGAGTGACATCCTCCGCACACCTTCCCTGCAACAGCGCGGCAACATTATCCCCCGCCTCACGTCCCTCATACCATGCCCCATGCAAGAACCCGAAATAGGGGGCACTAGTTGCCTCCCCTGCGAACCAGAGTCTTTCCGTATTCGCCCGCAGATTCTGATGCATCTCGAGGGTCGTTCCCGCCGGCCAGTTGGAGTAGCTGCCGTAGACCCAGGGTTCGTTTGTCCAGCGGGGGTAAGTAAACGCCATGGGCTCGGGTATGTCCTTATCGGGAAACATCTCTCTCAGCACATCGAGGATTTGGTCTTTCGTTTGGGTCAGGGATTGGCGTTCGACACGGTAGGCTTGTTCGTCTACGACGGTGGCGAAGAGAATGTTAGATTCGGGGAGGAAGTTCTCTGTCGAAAGGGATTGAAAGACAGGATAGTAGCCTCTTGTTGTTGGGGAGGCGTAGAGGAAGAATTGTGTGTCTGTGGGCCAGAAGGTCTCCGGGAATTGCATGAATATCTTGGTGTAGGTACCCATGTTGAATTTTTCGATGGCGGTTTGTTTCCAGGACGGCAGGGGTGGGTCGAAGGTCACGGCTTTGTTCTGGAGGACGCCCAGGGAGAAGGTGCAGATTGCGTAGGCGGCTCGGATGCAGGTGTTGCTGTTTTTGTTGTCCTTGGTGTGAATTGTTACGCCCCTTGGGGAGTATACGATGCGGGTAACACGGGTGTTGAGACGTAGGCGGCTATCGGAGGGGTTGGCCAGGAAGGTTAGCGCTTCGCTTTCGATGATGGTGCTGTATCCGCGCGGGTCGAGGACGAGGTGGTTGGCTTTGCCGAATTGGTTGAAGGTTAGGTTTTCGCCGGCGATACCGAAGACCAGCGAGCTGGTTTCGGGCGTGTGTGCGTCTTCCCAGTCTAATTGAGGGGATATGCGTTAGTCCGGTGTGGGAGATGGGATAGGGTTGATGTTATCCCGATGGGTGTAAAAAGGGTTGGGTGTTCCCCCTCTTAACGGTAATTGTTCATACCCCAGCTCCACCATTCCACGGCTTGTGCGGCCATGTCATTCTTGCGTGGTCTCCAGCCGGCGAGGGCGAGCCCAGTGCGTGCGGTTTGGTCTTGCAGGTTCTGCGTCAGGATGCGGCCGGCATTGCGGGCAGCAATGTGGTAGGCCTGGGCGTAGTCGTCAAGTAAATAGCGGTAGTCAGTGTAGCCGGTCTCGTTGTATGTTCGGATGGAGCTGTAGTTGGAGTAAGTGTTTTTCAGATTGTACTTTTTGGCTAGTGCCCAGACTGGATTCTCGATGGCTTCAGAGCCGAGTCCTTGGAGCTGTTTTTATGGTGAGGCGGATGTTGATTTGACAGAGTGTAGATTATCATACACAGTTGGCTCCTAGCTCAATCACATATGGTTTGCCCTGCTTATCCTTCCCGAAGTCGGTATGCCAGACACGACCACCTAAGGTATGGCGATATTCGAGGATAATGAAGTCATCGATAGATGCGTTGGATAAGGCTTGCTAGTGGTCTTGGTGAGCATTTCCGGTCGGGGTTTAGGGTAGGGGGCCTGAGGGTCACCTACTGCAGCTGCAATGCCGGCCATCCCTCCACCCCTGTTAACGTTAGACGCTAAGCTCCAGCGCGATATTAAATCTTAGTGGGGAGCTCCTACAAGATGGCCACCGTTGTTTCGGTGCACTTGTCATCGCTAAGCGGCGCCTGTGCAACATAAGCGGAGCAGGAGAACAGAAAGGTCGTCGCTAGGAAGGCGTATAAAGACACGGTGATGGGTATCGTATGCATGGCAGGTGAGTGACGTCTACGGACAGTGAAAGTGGATGGCAATAGTAGTCTGGTATATATTCACTCAGTTCTGCATTAGAATGATTTGCTTGCTATGCACTGGTAGTAGTAAGTAGACTGGCCGTGGTGAGAACGACAACTGCTACACCAGGGAGGATAAAGGGGGTCAAATCAAGCCGGTCAGGACCTGGCATGGTGGGCTGGTCAGCCGGACAAGGGCCAGCTCAAATATTAGTTAATCAGGAGTGAACCCAAAGAGGGAGGAAGCAAAAGCAAAAGCATCAAATCAATAGTGTGTCTGCACGGAACGGCAAGGATGATCGGTGAAGGGCTGGTGGGAGCGCCTTGTGATCGGGACAGGCATCTTGGCGGGCAGCCAAGGCAAGAGGGCGTACCACGTGAGACATTCCTTGACAAGCTTCTGGAAGGCGATTCATTCAGCAATCATCAAGGGATGAAAGCCGCGCAGCAGAATAAGCCGGTGGTTTTGCACCAGACAGGAATGTCCAGGCGGGTGAGGCGTTCCTCCCTCCTGATTGGCTAGCAACGCCTGATAAGGCAGCGATAAGGAGATAAGGCATCCCCACCTCGAAATGGACCGATGGGTGCCTGGGGCCGCCATTCCGGATAGATCCTGATCTGCCCTTTCTGGTTGACAGTACTAGTTCCGCGCAAAGAGGATTGGGCGATGCTTGACCAGCCGCGGGTAGATTAAGCTTCCCCGCATGAGGTTGGACATACCCCTTTGATCCATAGCTCCTATTAGCCCAACATTACCCCTCTCAGTGCGATTTAAGCTGCCAGTAACCTCATGTCGCACTTCAACTCCATCATCCGCCAAAATCTCCCGTCAACAATCTTCTTGGACTGACTCTCGGCCATGGAAAAATCGAAAGCCGCCCACGATGGGCCTGAGGATGATGTTCAATTGGCCGAAATGGGGCATAAACCCGAGCTGCAACGGAACTTTTCGACCTTGTGTGTACTATTGATTGCCTGGTCCTGGATGCGCCGATGGAAGAAACCCTATTGACCCGAGATTAGGTCTATGCTTGGATTGGCCTTTGCGGTGCTTAATGTATGTCCTCTGCAGTGCCAACTGCCCACGGGTCGATCACACGTGCTGATAATCTGCCGATTAGTCTTGGACGGCTCTATCCGCGAGCTTATCCCTCAGCTTACCCTCAGGGGGGAGCACTAGTGTCATCTGGGGTGGGCTGCCAATGGAATTAGTTTCCTATTTGGGTTTGCTGATCCCCAGTCATAGGTTTGGTCACGGCGGGGTTCTGCAACCTCTGTATTGCAGTGTCGCTAGCTGAATTCTTGTCCGCATATCCAACGTGAGTTCTATCAAACCAGCTTGGTTTGCTAAAAACTTAGTCACTAACAAGAATGTATCAGGGCGGGAGGACAGTATCATTGGGTAGCCGGTATGTTTTCCCGCAGCAACCAGCCAGGATGCCATACTAATTTTGACTTGCAGTCAGTACGTAGGATTATCCCTACCTCGTTAGTATCCCCTAACGTCTCTCAGTATCCTGGCCAAAATGGGTTCCTATCCTATCCTGGGTCACCGGATGGATTAATGTGGCGGGATGGGTATGTCTCCGCAGAAATGGCCTGATCATCGCTGACCAGATAGGTTGCCCTTGTCGCCACCAATGCCCTTCTCTCCTGCGAATTGATTGCAGGAATCGTGTCATCCGTGTACCCGGTAAGACTTCTAGTGTCTCTGGACAATCATCTGGATGTTGATACCATGCTGGTAGGACTTTGTTTGGCAGCGCTGGCAAGAGTTCCTGATCTATGTGGGATACACACTGCTTGCATTCGTCATCAACGCCTTCATGAATTCAATCTTGCCTATCATCTACCGTGGAGCATGTAAGCTACCCTGCGGAAATTGTATCAGAGCGGGTCATTAACTGGAACAGTCACCTGGTCCATCGGTGGTTTTGTTCTTATCTGCATCACGGTGCTGGCTTGTGCATCCCCGGACTACAACTCCGCCTAGTATGTATTCCCGTCATCGTGTCTTGGCCGCGCACCATGCTGACCATGCATATAGCTTTGTGTTCTGCGACTTTGTCAATCAAACTGGCTGTAAGTTTACCCAAGGAAAGGTCCTGTGAATATTGCAAGCCAAGCTAACAAGCGATAGGGCCTGATGGAGTGGCTTGGCTACTGGGGGTTAGCCACATCTCTCATACTAGTCTACCACGACGCTAACAGACGCAGCTTCTTCAAGGGGGACTTGGAGTGACCGCATTTGTAGGTATCTCACTCATTAGTGCTGAATTCAAAATAACATGAACTAGGACGCGGTGGCTCATATGATCGAAGGTATCACTTCCAATATGCAGCCTAAATAACCTATTAATAACAGTCGACCACAGAGATCCCCAACCCCTCAATCAAAGGACCCAAGATCATGGTAGTCTGCGTCGGCATTGGTACCTTTACCGGGGCGGTATTCCTCATTGTCCTCCTGTTCGTCGCGGGCAACATGGACGAAGTAGTCAATTCCAGCGCAGGGCCTCTACTAGAAATCCTCATCCATGCCACCAATAACCGGGTGGGCGGCATCTGCCTCCTCATGTATGTTCCACTCCCTCTATTTCATGCAACCGGCACTAAAGTCGGATTACAGGCTCCCTCTCGTCTGTCTATTATTCGCAACACTCAGCGTCATGACAACGAGCAGCCGAATGATCTTTGCATTCGCCAGGCATGTCATCCCTCCTTTCTCGCTCCCCGCTCCCCGAAGCACATGGACACGAAGACTAACACAAAACAGAGACGGCGGCCTCCCCGCCTCCAAATTCTTTGCGCGAGTGCACCCCAGACTCGGTCTTCCCTTGAACGCACTCATGTTAACCGCCTTTGTGGTGATTATTTTCGGGTGCATTTACCTCGGATCAAGCAGGTACCTCCCTCCCCGAAAATTATTTTACCCCTGAAAAAAATATAAAACACATGCTGAGATAAACGCAGTGCCTTCAACGCAATCGTCTCCGCTTCTGTCGTCGCACTTGATCTCTCTTACGCCATGCCAATCGCAGTGAATTGTTTACGCGGACGGAGAACCCTCCCTGATCGCAAGTGGAAAGTTCCTAATGCAATTGGCTGGGTGATCGATACTGTATGTCCAGGAACAGATATCTTCGTATAGTGGCAGATGTTCTAAGTTGACTAGATCTCGCTATCGTATATTGCACTTACTACTGTGCTGTTCCTATTCCCGCCTGATCGGCCGGTTACCGGGAGTAGTATGAGTAAGTTTTTCCTTTTCCTTTTCCTTTCCTTTTTTTTTTCTGAGAGGCTGGGGCCGTGCTCAGTGCTGACATGTTCTGCTAGATTACTGCATTGTTGCATTTGCCATTATTGTCATCGTCTCGGTGGTACAGTGGGTTGTGGACGGGAGGAAGAATTTCACGGGGCCGCGGGTGGATCTGTCTTGATTTATACCCCTGTAGAAGTTTCTCGTGGAGGCTTTTGAGAGTTGAAGATATATGTGAGATAGTAGCAAGGGGATAGCTATATAATTCTAATGGATACGTGCGTCTACAGGTACATCCTTAATATAATGGAACCATGTTTTGTCCGGAGTGGACTGTTCCTTTTCATTTCTTTTTTTTTTTTTTTTTTTTTTTTTTTTTTTTTGGCGTGGATTTGCGTAATCAAGACGTTTCGATCCATAGATTGCTTCCCAAAGTGACGCATCTAGCTTGACAATAATGGGCTAAATAGAGTTAGGATCTAAAGAGTACGAATGGTTGGCTCTTCAATGGCTTGTTGGGAGAGTCACTAGAAGCTGCTGCAAGCCAGTACTTCATCATGCTCATGTACGTGCGAGAGGTCAGTGTAATCATTGCGAGGCGGCGACATAACCAACCACTTATAGCGCGTTTCCACCAACCCTGGATTGGGTGATATGAAAGCGCAGAAGGTAGGTCTGACAGTAGGTATTTCAAGGCGTAAGAATATAAAAGAGTCTGGTTTATGGATCTGCAGCATGGATCACGTTTATTCGTACCAAATGAGACAAAGGAATGAATCAACAATTTAGCAGGCTCAGCATCACCAAATCTATGTTTACGACTTCGGCGGAGGCGGCGATATCCATCTTCCATCCCGTAGCCAAACCCCGGCTCCACCGTATTTGCCTGCTTCCGCTCCCTTGAGGAAGGCGAACCGAAAGAAAAGGTCTTCCGGCTCAGAGTCATCACCCTGCACAGTGACATCCAGCTGATCACTCTCGATGGTGGGTCGATGTTGCAGTTCCAGCCCTCTGTGCCCATGTCGATGCCATATAAACTCACCCCGCTTGTCTTCATCCAGATAGCCGCGCCAGCGCTCGACGTCGTTCACCAATACAGAAATACCATCTACGCCCATCTTGTCCATACGTTGCCGTTCCCAGAGATTGAATGTGATGTTTCCATTTCCGTGATGTGTTTCAGGAGACCCAGGACCAGGAAGGGAGACGGAGACCGAGGAATCACTGACATTGGGGTAGGTCCCGCCCCACCATCCGTGCGAACCCCCAGGGCCCGGGGCTTGCTCGCCCAAGGCGGCGGGGGTTTCAATGATCGACGCAAATCCCCAGCGAGCGATGCCGTTGATGAAGAGGCCCAATAGCAATCCCTGATAGATCAACGAGGGGCGCGTAGGTAGGGCCGTTCCGGGCATGAGAAGGATGGCAAGAATGTAATGATGGATTCTCAAGCGCAGACCTGGCAGTGGGAGTAAGATCAGCAGGATGAGACCCATAGTGCAATAGATCTTGAGGTAGCGAGGCATTAAGCCTCCCATGCGAATTTGCCAGGCTTGACTCAGGATGATGCAGACCACCGTGGGGATCACTAGAGCCAGTGCTACCTTGGCTCCGGGCTGCTTCTGGATATCATGAGGAGTCAAACGCTCGAGCGGGATCAACCTGGCGAAAGTGTAATTATTCAGACCACCAATAAAGGCAGGGGGCAGGTAGAGGAACAGTTTAGTCAGCTGGTACATTGGCTCGGAAAGCGGGGTCAGAAGCGGCCGTGCGCAATACCTATACAAGACAAAGGCCACAAACGACGCCGGCAAGAGTCGTGAGAACATAGTTGAGAAAAGGTCTGCAAACTGAGAGATCGAGGGCGGATCAGAAACCAGTCCCACCTGGCAAAACAGCATGACGAACGTGCTGAAGAACAGAACAGGTGGGGAGACGCAGAACAGCCAGAGAAGACTTAGTGCGCCAATGGTAATGCCTAGCAATGGCCAGCGAGGATCTTGAGGGCAGGTTGCCTGTGCTGAGGACAGCTCGACAAAGCTGAACGATTTGGGGAAGGTCGACGGAAATTCAACCGAGCGAATTCCATGTTGCTTTGACGCATGGAAAGAATGGGCGGCGCCATCCAGTTTCAATACACCACAGCCACCAACCGCATTAGTGATGACACCCGCATGAATGGCTGCCTGACAGACGAAACTATCTGCTCGATACACGGCAGGCTCATCGGATTCTGGTTGAGGACCTCCCACTACCAGGCCCTGGTAGCTGTAGGTCTGGTTGCCGATCGTATGCGGCTGGAGCAATTTTGAGTCGCGGCAGTTTGCAGGACACCGGAAGGCCATAGTTGATGCAGAGAAGGGGCGACAGTCGTTGCCGTTGAGGCCACAGTCATTGCCAGACTGCCATAGACTCGTGGAGCAAGCGAGTGTCTTCGGTCGTCCATAGCCCTCGATGTAACCGCCCTGTCGTGAATGCAGCAAGACAATGGTCCAGGGCAGAAACCAGACAAAATACAGCAGTGCCAGCAATGCGATCTTGTGCTTGCGTTTGGGAAAGAAGCGTTCGAGTAACCGAACCGGCAATTCTTGATAGCGAGGGAACAGCGGCTTCAATAGCAGGGATTGCGGAGGTTTCGGGCCCTTGACCCAGTCGGCTATGGCCCAGCCTGCTTTGCGTAGCGGCAATGGAACCCATCCCCAGCGAATGGATTTGGATGACTCCCGTAGCCAGACGGGTAAGTATGGGAGACCGGTCTCTTCATGCTGAGGGAGGTCGGGGGAATCGTCAGCGGGACGGTTTTCCGTTTCCCACAGTGGTGGGACATGAGGACGAGAGCCGTCCTCAGGTCCTTCTCCAAGCATGCTGCAAGGACGTCGATGCGAGCAATTGTGGGAGATTGTGGTGGGTGTATAACAGAACCCCGAGAAGACCAAGGAACGGACGCAGATAACGGTGGGGACGAACGGTGGAGGGGCGCTAGGACTCGGGGGATTCTAGACCGCGACCAGAGAGACCCTTCCAGCCCGTGGAAGGAGGGGATCGGAGGGCTCAATGATAGAGCACTGGAAGGGAGAGAAAGACGAACGGGAAATCAGGTGTGAGAATAAGAATAAAGATAAGGGAAAGAATGAGGCGCGTCGGGAATAGTTACATGGATGCATATCCAGAGGCGACAAAGCGACAAGACAGACAGACGGACAGTCGGTGACTACTGGAGTCAGTTAGTCGGGCTTCCGTGAGTTTCCGGTGTTTCGCCTCTCTTTTGGCGCCCGATGTCACGGCACGTGATGGTCAAGGGCATGTGATTTGCTCATCACATGACTGACGGCTCCCGAAACCGGATTGCCTTGATGCTGATCCATGACTCGAAAGAATAAATGAGCAACAAACTAATACAAGAGTGTAGCATGGAACATTGGCCTGCATCTACTACTACTTCCACTCACATAGATTCCAGACCCCCAGTGGACTAAGTAGATGTTAGAAATGAAGTAGTAGTACTGTCCGACAAACCTTCTAACAAATACTAGAGAAAGATGGAAACATAACTTATAACTTATGCAGTACCCCTTCTGTTGAAATGGAGCCATTGTCTATATCAGACCGGATGGTATTGATGTCCGCCTTGCATGCCGTCGCAAGGTTGTCCGGAAAAGGAAGTTTTAACGCGTAAAATATACAGGGGCGGCACGACCCGTTGATTTTCCCCGGCGGATTGGCCTTGAATAGGCAAGTTATTGTTCTTCGTGGCCTTCCATTGTCCTTCTTCTTTCTCCTTCGTGTTTCATCGCGCCCAGAGTCTTAGCATGCGACATCCTTGCAACAATGAATGAATCTGAAAGACTACGTCCAGTTGGTGAGTGAGAAGTGCCTGACTTGAGAAGCCGAGGCCAACAAGGACTTGAATTGACAGCTGTCAGGGCCCCTGGAGAAATACTCCACCACGCGCCATTCTCTCGGACTATATTTCAACGTCGCGGTGTCGGCAACCTACATCTTGCCGGATACTTTCACTCTGCCTTTGAAAGACTATGTATACAAGGCTTGTGAAACACTGATCGGGCAGCATCCTATCTTGTCCGCCATCCCCATCAATGAAGATACCGAAGATACCTGGTTCGTGCGCCTCCCGAAGATTGATCTGAGCCAGTCGGTGGCATTCCAGAGGCGCACCCGCGACTTTCCCAACAGCAATGAGCCGGATATAGAATTGTGCGAATTGCTGCAAGTTCAACATAGTACAGGGTTTGCTGCCCCTTTGCCGTACTGGAGACTATTCATCCTGACAGACGAGGCGAATGACCTGCGCTTTACGGCAGTCTATGTGTTCCACCATGCGATTGGGGACGGGACTTCAGGGAAGGCATTTCATCAGACGTTCTTGGATGCATTGCACGCTCCTGCTACTTCCTTGACCCCAGGCGAGGTTAAGCAAGTCATTCAGTCGCCCACATCACCTCTGCTACCAAACCTGGAAGCGCTCCATCCATGTCCTACGACCATACCTTTCCTTCTTAATGCTCTTTTCAGAGCGAAGGTATGGTCTCATCGCGATCCACGCCTCTGGACAGGAGCCAAAATATTTGCTCCAGTTAAGACCGAGTTACGCCAAATCATCATCCCCGCAGCTGTGTCTGCAGCATTTAGGAAGAACTGTCGTCAAAACAATGCAACGGTCACCGCTGCTCTGCAAGCAGCAGTGGCCCGCGCTCTTCTCACCCACTTGCCAGCGAAGTATACCAAAGTTCAAATGAACGGCGCCATCTCATGTCGAAGGTGGCTGAAGGGAGGAGAAATTACAGATCAGTCTATGGGCGTTTGGGTCATGGACTTTGCCGAAAGCTTCTATCGGAACGAGGTGAATCAATATCCCGACACCTTCCCATGGGATCAAGCCAGGAAGTCTCGTGCGACTATCGAACAGACACTGGGTCGCGAAGGCAAAAATGCTGGCACATGCTTGCTTAAACATATAGATAACTTTCATGACCTCTTCCGGGGAAAGATTGGCAAAGACCGCGATGAAAGCTTTGAAGTATCAAATGTGGGTGTCTTGCAGTCCAAACAGGAAGAAGACCCGTCGCGGCCGCAGACCACACGGGCGATGTTCTCCCAGACACCCAGTGCTTTAGGTGCAGCTCTGGAGGTCTCGTCAATCACCGGTGGCGATGGCTGTCTGGTTTTGGGAATCACATGGCAGACAGGCGTCGCGGAGCCAGAGCTGGTCAATGCAGTTATTGACACCCTAGTTAAGGAGCTACACAATGCTGCACATTGATTTGCAAATCTACCTCTTCCCACAGCTTCGTCTCTCTCACCTTGTGTCCGGAGACCCCAGACGTCTTATTCAATTACGAAAATGATTATCCTCTGACGTCTTCCATGTTTGATATCTATAATCCTAGTATCTTTGGCTATATGATAGATTTAATATATTAGGAATATTTCGCCCTGTTGTAGCACTTTGGCTCTTCAACAACAAATTTACGGAAATACTGCATTGGAGTAGAGATGTAACATTCCGGCTGCAGGGCCTGTAAATATCGAGAACTGCCTATCATTGGATGAAAGTATGTAAATCTGGGAGAAAGACATGAGGATCTTTAGACTCGAAGCGTCCACCGAAATATTATTAGCGTTCACGCCTCTTAGTAGCGAAGTGTGAGTGGTGCACACGCTCGCTTTATTAGCGCTTGAGCCTCGGTTGCTCGAAGGCTACACCGGTATGCGGCGGGATACTTTTTTTTTTCGCGGCTCTCTCTCTTCATCTTGGGTTAGCTTCGGCCTCTCCGCTGCGTGTAGATTTCGGCTTTTGTCCAGGTACTGCCCGCATCGAACATAAATCAGCCACAATGGTCGATGGTTTACTCAATTATCGAAGCACAAATGCGTGGGTCCAGCTTTCCTCGAGGGAGGGAACCTGATCAGAAGCAGAATGCATGGATTCCTCATATGCATAACTCACCTATACTGAAGCCATCTGGACTCAGAATAGCCCCCAAACAAAGGAGTTTTCCGTACGACTGTCACTCTGTTGCATAGCATCAGGGATGTCTGGGTCGAAAAAACCATATAATAGTCGAAGAAATGGATATATCCTTATCACTATTGCTTATAGCCTTCTCACGAGCTGTACTTGGGCCGTTTACACGTTTGAGATCAAAGTTATAAATATCGCAGATAGTGTCGCATTTATCTGGTCGTCAATCACTTTACAGCTTCAGAAGCCGAGTCCGAAGCCACGAAGATTAATAATCTCCAACTACTTCACATTTTCGTATAGTAGTCCCACAAGGCTTCACGATATCTGATATTACAAATCTCCCAAGGTAAGCTAATCACCACCCAGCAAACAACATGAATTGAGATTGACGCCGTACGCAGATGAGTATTCTAGTGCCAGTTGTGATCACCAATTCCTGCCACTGGTCTTCGGTGTATGAGGGTACACCAAGAAAAACCTGGGACTGTATGAGAACTGACTGCGAAGATTCGATTGCATACCGGCCTAAGAAATAGAGACGGAATCCGATATGGCTTTTTGCCCACAAGAAGAAGAGAAAGGGGGATTTGCAGACGGATGATGCTGGGGGTTAAATCATTAGAAAGTGATTCATTTACGCTGACATTGGAAGATCACAAAGAATCAGTCCCTAATCACTCCAAACAGACCAGTGACATTCAAAACCGTAACGATACATTATACGTTGTTTCCTTAATTGTTAGCCCTGGATCATCACACTGAAGACCTAGATATTAGCTTCCACGTAGAAGTGTCAGGGGTCGGCGCGAGATTGATATTGTAATTTGATTGTTGCGAATCCGAACATGGTAGTTTATCTTCGGCATGCGAGTACTGTCAGAACCCAGAGATGGGACATTTGAGAACTTGTAAGTACTATCTCCAACGCGTTTTGACGAGCAGTACTGTGTAGATACAGTATCAGCTGAAAATTTGGACCACTACAGTAAACCAGGGTATACGCAACATCTCCAGCTGGAACAACTGAATCACTTGTCTCATATGGCTGCACACATAAGATTGCATTGAATTTATCAGCTACTAGGAGACCATCAGGTTTCAGGTATTGTCATGTATCAGTTATCTTAATTTGTGGATTCGGATAGTAAGTCATTGAAGATATGTGCTAACTACTATGGATACCGTAATATTGCGATAAGTGTTGTGGAAGTGTGAATAGAGTCCTGTTCAGTTGGATTCCGCAGCTTAGAGGCTTGTTCCGGCCGCAGGCGCCCTGCAAGAGCACCCTGGCCGCGATAGTATTAGGGTAATCCAGTATCTATCTATCTATCTATCTATCTATGACTAGTCTGGTGCAAAATCGTGAAACCTTAGTCAGCTCGTCTATAGGGAACTCCCGGCTATAACAGTTCGAATAGTGATCTAAATTAATCGATACATCTGTGATTTGTTGTAATAGCAGATTAACTAGAAAAAACATTGTCGGCGGCAAGCGCACTCGTACGAAGTCACGCGTCCCACCCCTTATGATCGGATTTATAAGACCAGCTCACAATCCCCTTGGCCATGTCGCGTCGTTCATGTTCCACTCAGTTCCCCAGGTCCCTCATAACTGATACACCGCGATATTATGGAAGTCGTACAAAAGAACGAGGCCTTTAGAAAGATCGAAGGGAAGATGAAATTTGCCTATGTCGAGTGTTTCGTCCGGCAAGACGGCATACTATATTCTGGAAAATGGACGAATCGATTTGAATCGCCGAAAACACTTCACGATCTCGATGAGGTCAAGCAGATCCCAACAGCGGATAGGGGCCCTGAGGTGAAAGCCACTTGGTCAGCAGTCTACGTGAAAACCCCAAGTCTACTGGCGTATGTCAATGGAGATCTCGAAAAGCAAATCGCCCGCGAAGTCGAAGCATGCGAAATTCTTCGCAAACATCCCCATCCAAATATTGCGACCTATTATGGTTTTATGGAGAGTAACGGCCGAGTTTCTGGACTTTGCTTCCAGCGATATACGTCCACGCTACTCGAAGCGGTCAATCCTCAAAGACTTAACAAGGTCGCTTTCCTTTCAAGTGCTCGTGAGCTTGTGGGAGAGAAGATGAAGGAAGGTCTAGAAGGGATTATGTCTGCCATCAAACATATTCATTCGATCGGACTTGTCCATAATGACATCAACCCAGCGAACATTATGATAGATGAAAAGGGTACGCTTGTTCTGATCGATTTTGATAGTTGTCGGTTTATCGGGGAATCGTTGAGAGACACCGAAGCGAAAAGAACACACCAATGGCATGACCCTTCTGTCAATGTTGCGCTGGAGAAGAATGACCTTGACGCGTTAAGAGATTTACGAATTTGGCTGGCTGGATCGGCGGATGAAGACTTTCTATTTTGAACGAAGCGCTTTTTAATAGCACTTTTTCCTGAGGATCTGCTTACATAGTGCTGTTACTGAAATCATGTTGCAATTATCAAACGAATATGTGTAGTGGCCCAGTGGATTCAGAGAGGAAATCTGGCCATAATCATTTCGGACAAGGGAACACCAGAAATCAAAATTCTATTCTAAGCCAAGAAAAAATTGCCATCTATCCGACACAACCAATACCGTAGTAAACAGCCAAACCAAACATTAAAGATACAGGAAAGCCAAAGAGCAAAACCTATCAAACTCCCGGAGCAACCTCATCCCCATGAGGGACGCTATTAACCAAGCTCAGGAAGCAATTCCATCCTATACAACCGTCAGCTCTACCCAGCAACCAAAGCAAACCCATGGAAACGAGATATCCAAAGATACATACCAATATTAACCACGTTAACCGTCAACACACGGTACTGCAACGGCACCAAAGCAAGGTTAAGGGTCTGAACCGCCGGCCAAAGCATCCAATTGGCGCGCAGGGCATCCCAGTACGTCCTACTGAGCTTGTCCTGAGGATCAACGCCCTCCATGACAGACATACTGGTGAGAAAGACACCAATCATAGTAGGAGCGCAGACGAGCTGGTCAGCACTAACGCGCGCAGCAAGAGTCTTGGTTGGTGTTGAAAGCTGGATGCGGTTCTGGAGGAATTGGAACCATTTTGTGGCGACCGGGCCGAAAACAGCTATATTTTTGCTTTTGTTTAGAGGGAATGAAGGGGGGGATGAGGGAACGGGGTCTGGCCTGGACTTACCACCACCATACAAAGCCATCCGTCCAGTTCGGGTTACATCATGATTGGGCAGGCCCTTCTTCTCGACGGCTTGCTGGGCGAGCCCGTCACCTACTGCGAAGAGGGTCTGGTGGATTTCTTTCTCAGCTTTGTTGAAAGAGTGTGATGAGGACAGATTGAGGCTTACCGCTGTGGTGAGGCTCTGCGTCAAGAGAGGACGCTGGATAAGACATCTCTGGTACCTGGGGAATTGATATCGTTAATGCGGGGGATGGAGATGGTAGTGGTGGTGATTGGGGTGGGTGTTGTTCAACTCACCACGCGAGCATATTGAAGGGGAGTCAATTGGTTCCTTTCCTTGAATCTAGTCAATGGATCAATGGGATGAAAATGAAGATGAGATGATGAAATTGGAAGTCTGTTTTGGTTCAATAGGGAGGAATGTCGGTCGCGTGGCGGATGCGCCCGACTAGGAAATCGGCCCGCAGTGATGTAATCCGACCACTTGCAGGGATCTGGGGGCACTATTGGACAAATTAGCCTGATTGGCAAAGTTTATGCAAAGTATTATGTGAAAATTGTGACCGATTCAGAGAGACAGAAACTTTCATCTGGAATCATGCCCTGATTCTTTCCTCTACTTACGACTCGACTCCTCTTTCATCCAGACCCTCATTATTTCTATTTGACGACTAGAGGATTCCGGAGTATGTCATGCTGGTGTTACGAGTTAGCTCTTTCGGGATCATAGACACAAGAGTAGAGTGGTATCATGTGAGATCTAAGCTAGAATTGCAACTGACACACCGGTGATGCGTCTCCTACACCGGCATTCGCTCATGCTTACAGTTCTGCCAACACAAACCTGTATGCTGTTCCTCGTACCAGCTAACATCAACCATCGGACCAGTCAAAACCTTCCGCTTTGGGTTTAGCCGGGTTGAGTGGCAAAGCTTAGTGCCTGAGGATAGGAATTCGTACCTGAGGCACCATATGCCGAGGACTAGACAGATCTTCCAATGCAGCGTGGCGTCTAAGAACCCTGACATGAATGAACCCTTCTACAATGTCCTTAGTACAGTCCACTATGGGACCCTCTTAGCTATCTCTACAACAAGCGCTATAAATGAGTACAGTATAAGGCTGTCGCACTATATTCCCTAATTCGCTCTAACCTCTGGCTTTGTTGCAAGGACGGGATTGCGATCTTGGCTGTGCATTAACTTACCGCCTGTAAACTGAGGTAGAAAAAATACATCATGTGGCTAGCAGAACCTGACTGAAAAGTCAGTGAACTTACTAGCTAGCTAGCTGGTGGACGCTACCAATAACGATTCGAAACGGAGGATGAATTGATTCACACATAGAGAGCCCTCCGAAAATCGCCTTTTGAGGGCTTTTGTGCCCTTCTTGATGCACATGGCGTGGCTGTCGCGGCTCCATGTGATAGTACAGGTATTGTAATCCCCGAAGACATATCATAGTGTCTATGATCTACTCCGTAGTGTACCCAAGCTCCTGCGGAACACGTTGAACATGACAGGGCCCATCGGTGTAACATTGCCAGCCAGCCAATCGGAGGCTGGTGAAATCCGTAGAACGGGGTAGTATATCTATTTGCAAATCCAATGAGTCACGCAGGGAAGCCAAAAAGATCTGCTCAGTCATTGATTTGATTCATCAGCCGAGCATCCAACCCATCGCATAATTCCATTTTGTAAGCGGTGGTGAAAATCCCCTTCACGTGAACCGCACACTAATCCCAAACAGGCTGCTCGACGGAGAAAGCTCAGCGGTAGCCACCGAAAAATCTGGGTCGCTAACGGATACTGGGTGTGAGCTTGAGGTGCCTGGTTAGGAACAAAGAGACGAAAGTTACCGGTGGGGAGGTGCTGGAATTGCAAATAATCTACCAAGATGAAGGTCCTGACGATTCACTGGGGTGTGAGCAAGTGTGATGGCCCCGGTTATCACAACATATGGACCTCGACTCAGGGTTCATCTTGTATCTACAAATGATCTATCTACTAGCTACAACTTGATGAATCGTTCTAGAACTTACAAATCTGGAGAGGGGTAGGGCTGCGCTAAACACTCGGGGACCCATATGTAATTCAGCGGCAATTTCAAACTCCACTTCTCTCCTCCAAAACCCTTAATCGCACCCAAGCTTTGTTAGCATCGTGCCTGCCTCCCCACCAGCCTTCATATCCATCCTTGGAAAGGAAGGTTCCACTCATCAGCTCTTTCCGATGGAGCCATTGCCTAACCCTTTCTGGTGAACCGGATGCAATTTTCCCGCCAGAAGTTGTTACGATATTCCTGCAAGGAGACTACGAACTGCTTGGAATGTCCCACCCTGGTCTGACACCAAAGACGATTGCCGCGTGGATGATTTTCTACATATAAATCCCTCTGCTTGTCTTAATATTGGCCCCTAGACTATAAGCTTCGAGGTTCTCGGGAATATCTTCGCACAGACAAGGTTTCTCACGCAGCCGATCCTTTGTGTGTCCTCGCGAACCCGCAAGCATGGTGGCAGTCGAGGATGAGGAGAAGTCCTCGAGTAGGTTTCCTACTCCATCTCTTGATTTCTAGAACTAGGATTCTAACCATGGACACAGCCCCTTGCAGTGATTGCTCTAATGCAACGGTCGTGGACTGGGATGGTCCCAAGGACCCCCAGAATCCATTCAACTGGTCCACTTCCAGGAAATGGCTAATGACCATTACTGCTCTGACCACCACCTTCGTGGCCCTCATGAATGGCACTATCATTACAGTCGCCCATGAAGCAATAAACGACGAATTCAATGTCAGCGATGCCACTTTTCCAAACTCATACTGGCCCGTCGCCTCCTGGACGATGGGAGGCGTCTTCTTCTGTCTCCTTATTCTGCCCCTCATGGAAGACTTCGGCACCCGCATCACATTTCTCCTCACCAACTTCGTCTTCTTCATTTTCATAATTCCCCAAGCCGTCGCCCAAAATTTCGCCACTCTTATAATCGTCCGCTTCTTCGCCGGCGGCTGCGTGGCCGTCCTCGGCAACGGCTCCGCAAGCATCATCGGCAACCTCTTCGAGACAGAAATGGCGCGCACGAAACCCGTCGCTCTCTGGGTCGTCGCCTACCTCGGTGGAAGTAGTGCGGGGCCTTTAGTCGGTGCACCTATCTTCGCTTATCTGTCCTGGAGATGGATCTCCTACCTACAACTCATCTGGGTAGGCGCATTGCTACTCGTGAACATTCTCATCCTTAAGGAAACCAGAGGATTTGTGATCCTGCAACGTCGAGCTCGGAAGCTACGCGAAAAGGGCGAGAACGCATACACGCAGCACGAACTCCAAGCGGAGCCGCTCCGCCAGGTCCTGCTCACCAGCATTCGCCGGCCGTTCAAGCTGCTCTTCACCGAATACGTCGTCTTTTTCTCCACGCTGTGGTCGGCTTTCACTGTCGGCACATTATACTTGTTCACGCAATCCGTCGAGCAGGTCTTCGTGGGACTGTATAACTGGACGCCCGTGGAGGCAGGGTATGTCCAGGCGGCGGTATTCATCGGCGAAGTGTGTGGGTGGTTTTTCTCGCTGATATCCGCACGACTGTACTTCAACTCTTCGAAACGTAATAAGGAAATCCCCGGGACGCCCATTCCAGAGGCTAGGCTTTATCTTTCCGTCGGAGGGGGTGTCTTCGGCATTGCGGGGGGAATGTTCGTGTATGCATGGACATCTTACCCCTCCATGCCGTGGATTGCTCCGGCCGTGGGACTCTGGATGGTGGGCATGGGCAGTGTAGTTGTTGTCAGTGGCATTGCGGATTACGTGGTAGACGCGTATTGCAAATATGCTGGGAGCGCGATGGCTTGTTTCGTGGTCGGGGAGAACACTGTCTCTGCGTTTCTGCCGCTGGCTACTTCCAGTATGTATAATACGTTGGGATTCCAGTGGGCGAGTACGTTGTTGGCGTTTATTAGTTTGTTGCTGACGCTGGCACCGTTGTCGTTCATTGTGTGGGGGAAGAGTATCCGTGAGAGGAGTCCGTTTATGGCGGAGGCGATGTTGGATAAAAGGGCGGATCTGATGGGGGAGCCTAGTAATGGGCCCGCGAGGAAGATTAAGGAGTAGACTTTCTGTGATGCGTGCATGTTTGATGAGTGCATGATGAGAGCGTGGCCTGGTGCCATTAGCATGATGAAATACTATATTGATGTAATGGGCTTATTGTATGTAGGTTGAGCGTTGATACTGTGACTGATCAGCGGGATGAATGTTGAGCATATCTTGGATGTACCTACTACTACTTAGTAGTTGCCTTGTACACATTGGGTTTTGTCTCTCGTTGGTGCAATGCAAGAGTGTCTAGTGGTGGATCTAGATTCTTCACTCTCAATCGTGCATCGGCATGATAGACCTGGTCCATCAAGTCCGGGCAGAAATGCATCAATACAAATACTCAGTCTCAGCCACGAAATGCTCTTTCGGACTAGTCTGCTGTAGGCTGGCGAAGTCCGTAATTTGCTCCGGGGTGCGAGGACTTGACTGCCCTAAAGCTATCAATTCCGACGCGTCAAGACAGGGGCCAACCTCTCAAGAGGCAAAGCCTCCCGTCAAGACTTTTAGGTAGTTCGCGGCCTGTTTACTTCGAGCTGTGGATGGCAAATGGACGCTGGATGGGCAACAAACACTATAGCTTCTTTCGTATGTGGTCAGTAAAGTCAATCATAAAGCGGCCTAGCCGATTCCGGCTTCTACGGCATTTCATACATGCTCTGATATGAGCGGCCAGAATAATCCTGGCATGAGCTGCAGTGACTCGAGATGGTACTGTCTCTGCTATTGGAGGTAGTGCATTCAGGGGGCCTTCCGGTATGTGCGGAGTGCTTCCACATTGCGCAGGCGGATAGATGTTGATAATGTTAGGCTACGTAGACCAAAGTGAGGGGTGAGGTGTCCAATCAGGGCATCAATATATTCGGGCTAACCAAAACAAGTAGAGGCCCATCTGGATGTATGCAGGAGTTGGTCATGGAAGCAAGGGGGGTCCAGGTGATGTCTGCCCATACTATAGCTAATCACCCAGTCTTCGAGTTCGGCTTCTGCATCATGAAATATATCTTGTAGTACAGCAAAGCATGACAAGGATATGGCAAGGTCCTTGCCATACTGTGCATAGCCGGCCAGTGGCGCACATAGTATTGTAAGCTTTCCAAGGGAGCTTCCAATCTGATTGGGGAAGTTCAGGCTGGGAAATATTAAGATCGGGACTTTCTAGTCAATTCGGCCACAACCGTATCCCAACAGTTTGTAGAAGTATCCAGAATTCACGGTTTATCTCCTGCAGTGGTGGTTTTTCTTTTGGTGTTGATATTATACTAATGATCTGTTTCCATGGGTAGAAAGAGGTCGCATCGGG